TTTAAGAAAAAAATGGTGGGTTGAACCTGGTTTTGTGGCATGCCATCCCTCCCGCTTTTATGGCAACGTCAAACACAACACCAAAACGACAACATCACATGACAGGACCACAATACAAATAAATGAGTACAAATACTAAGTACGGGGATATTGCCCGTAGGTAATATTGTTTATGACAGGAACATTTATTTTCACACCTTTTACTTACACCCCAGTTCTATTGTTATACTTCATAGTTTCTATTTCTGAAACAAGTGTAAATTGAATAGATCTATTGTTACGAATAACAATGGATTTTGACCACAGGATGTGACGAGCGGGATTTTTGGAAACCCTGCTTCTACATCCCGCAAACAAAGTCCATTGTTATTCGTAACAATGGAAATTGATTATGAACATAAGAAATTACTAATAGTGTTCACTACAAATTGTTTCATGATATTAAAAAAAAAAACATTTTTTGAAATTCCAATAAGTATCTATATGGTATACAAAAATAATCCTTTAAATACTTTTTTGCTTGAAGGTAATTTTTTTTTATCCCAGTCATATGTCTCTATTCTAAAGCATTCATCTTTAAAAAAAGAAAATGGGATTCTAACTCCCGGACCCCCTCCCCCGGTTACCCAGTGGCCGATCTGAGGTTGGGGGTTCCGCTGGTTGGACCCGACTTTTATTTAAAAGATCAATGCATTTGAATGGTTGGACCCCCTCCCCTTTTTTTTTCTCTTTCCGGCTGGATCAGCCCCTGATTGTCCCTAAAAAAAGGGAGTTCCTCAATTTTAAATATTGTATGTTGAGCGTGTCTTGTAGTCGGGTTTCTAATGCAGACACACCTATTCCTTAGTATGTTCGAATATGAATGTTTGTTTATTCTCGATATGAGGGAGGGGGGCTTTTGTTTTTTATAAAATCGTAAGATATAAAATACAGTTATGATTACCTTTATTAGACTGATACTGTCAGGTAAGTACTTTGGGTTATAATATTGCCTTTATCTTTAGTCTCTTCTACCAAATCCAACGCTTGCCACAAAATGTCGCCCGTCTTATAACCGTCCATATTGACAACTGTATACCAGGAGCATGATGTATTTTTTTTGTTTGTGCCGGTAATAAGAATACACGAAACATTCAACCTTGACCTGCTGATCCATATTAGCACATGGATTTAACGGGAATATACAAAACAACTTGACATTTGTAAAATATACTCACTTGTCAAAGTTTGAACGAAGATACCAAAGAAAGGTTACTAGTGGGGTTTCATGTAACAAAAAATATTCTTATAAATCATGGTTTGATATTATCAATAAATATGCTATCGTTTTTTTTTTTTTTCATTTAATAATCAATGTTAACAAATATAGGGTTTAGAATGGGGTGTAAGTTAGTTATACAACTCGGGATACGGTGTGTCTGGATAAGAAGTCCAGACACCTATCCCTCGGTGTATAACTATTACTTATATGACTGTTTATTATATCATGATTAGGGAAATGAGCTTTCAATCATAGAGTTTTGAATGTCTTATATAATTCCGACAAGAATTTATAAATTGTAAAAGAAACAAATAATTAGCTGTCTCTGTCCATTATTGTATAGAAGTTTTCAATGAACACTTTAACCTAGAATGACCAAGCGAGGATTTTGACAATTCAAAACTTTTTCAATGAATTCCTTCTTTTTTGTTTGTTTTATTATTGATCAAACCAAGGAGGTTATATGATCTCCTAAATCAAAAAGAAATCCACGAATTACGTATCTGAATTTTTTTTTTTGTAATCAGCGATCCACGAATTTACTTATACGTCTATCCACGAAAATTGATACCCACGAAAATAAATGAATCCACAGTATTGCTTCGTTGATGATCTAATCATAACTGCGTAGTTGCAAAAACTTCGTTCCCGTGAAAACTAAGAGTTATAGATATTTCAAATTTTATCAAAGTCTCTTCTGTGGATTTAAGCCAGCTGTCTGACGGGCTTCAAAGTCGACAAGATAAGAGGTAAATGCATTAAAGTTCTGTGGTACATTCTAATGTACAATGGGTAAATGTCTGGTTGAAAACTAATCTTGTCTTTGATGTGCCGCATAAGCATCCCTATTAAGTAAGACAGTCCTTGCGAGACCCATGACACAAGATATTTATGCATTTCATTGGCTATTTTCTATTAAAATCCAGACCAGCTAGTAACTTTTATCAATTTACGTGTCTGAAAACGAATTTGTGTAAAATATTTTTGTTTGATTTTAATTACTGAAAATTTAAATAAACTGAACTCTAGAACAGAGCTTTGTTAAATATTTGCAATTCTTATAATATCACAAAACTTGCAGATTTTTGTATTTCTTTAGGTGGAATGTCTGGAAAAAAAGAGGGGGGAGGGGGTTACTTGACGTCCGACACTTAATCTACAATTTCATGTTCAACGTAACTAAACAATTTTATTACTGAAATAGTTAAAGATATCAATTATGACTATGTAATAAAATTGAGAATGGAAATAGGGAATGTGTCAAAGAGACAACAAACCGACCAAAGAGCAGAAGACAGCCCCTAAACAAAAATATACTAGTTCAGTGAAAATGGACTTCACACTAATTCTGAAACATAAATGAACTAAAATTAAAAAAAAACATACAAGACTAACAAAGGCCAGAGGCTCCTGACTTGGGACAGGCGCAAAAATGCGGCGGAGTTAAACATGTTTTGGGAGATCTCAACCCTCCCCTATACCTCTAGCCAATGTAGAATAAACAAACACACAACAATATATGTAAACGTTTTTTTGAATATCGAACACTAGTTCCCAACTGAATCTCTAAATATATCCGTTTGGAATATTTTTTCCCCATATTGACAGCTATCTGTTCATAGGACCTCAGTTTTATGTAGACGTGGCAATCCATCACTTTTATCCAATCAACAGTCTTTCGTGATAATCATTGGCGTGCGGTTGTAGTTGAAACAATGTAATTTATATTATGACATTGTAATAGTTTTAGGACACAGTTACATCAACATCAAAATGTAATGTACTTTAATGTAGAAGATGTGGACTACTGGTTCAAAATAAAATTGATTTCGAAAAGTTGCTTTGTAACCACTGTCATGATATTGGGTGTAAAGGAAAAGAGAGGCGAAATATACCAAAAGGATATCTAAACTCATAATTCGAAAAAAAAGCTCACAAAAAAGAAAATGACCAAATTACAAACAACGGTATACAACACACTCCATTAAAAATCGAAAGACTAAACCCCACCAAAAAACGGGGGTGATCTCATGTGCTCTGGAAGGTAAGCAGGTCCTGCTCCACATGTGACACCCGTAGAGTTGCTCATGTAAGAACAAATACCGTGAAAAGTCTAGGTAAGTACGGTAACATTCGGGGAAAAGAAAAAGTTGCGATGTTGGAGTATAATTGTATTCTGGCTTCCATGCATTATATTTAAGTCATCACATTCATATAACACGCATACACAGATACTATTACAAGTAATTTTGAGTTATCTGATTATAACTTCACATGAAATTCTTCATTCATTAGCAATTCATGGATTGCATTGGAAAAATGAAACATGTACATATAAAACAACGGTTGACATCGGTTGAAGAACTTTTATGGTAGCGAATATAACTTTATTCACCATTTATTTATATTTCCAAAAATTCTGCATTGATTGACAACATATTTGTTACGTGTTTTTCAACAGACTGTCGGAATTCCAATGGGAACCAATTGTGCCCCTCTTCTTGTCGACTTGTTTCTTTATTATTATGAGGCTGACTTCATACAGGAACTTCTTAGGAAGAAAGATAAGAAGTTAGCAATATCCTTTAACTCTACGTTCCGTTATATTGATGATGTTCTTTCAGTAAATAATACAAAATTTGGTGACTATGTTGAACGAATCTATCCCATCGAACTATAGATAAAGGATACTACAGATACAGTTAAGTCTGCCTCATATCTTGACTTACATCTAGAAATTGACAATGAGGGTCGGTTGAAAACAAAACTTTACGACAAAAGAGATGATTTCAGCTTCCCAATTGTGAACTTTCCATTTCTATGTAGCAACATTCCAGCAGCACCTGTATACGGAGTATATATCTCCCAATTGATACGATATTCCCGGGCTTGTGTTTCCTAACATGATTTCCTTGATAGAGGATTGCTGCTCACAAGGAAGCTATTAAACCAAGAGTTCCAAATGGTGAAGTTGAAATCGTCCCTTCGTAAATTTTACGGACGCCATCACGAGTTGGTTGACCGTTATGGAATAACCGTTTCACAGATGATATCGGATATGTTCCTTATGTCGTTACTACAATACCCTCCCTTTTCACGAATGTGACTTACCGAATTAGACTATTTACCGGATTTGTAATAACATAAGAACACGACGGGTGCCACATGTGGAGCAGGATCTGCTTACCCTTCCGGAGCACCTGAGATCACCCCCAGTTTTTGGTGGGGTTCGTGTTGCTTAGTCTTTGGTTTTCTATGTTGTGTCATCTGTACTTTTATTTGTCTGTTTGTCTTTTTAATTTTGGCCATGGCGTTGTCAGTTTGTTTTCGATCTATGAGTTTGACTGTCCCTCTGGTATCTTTCGTCCCTCTTTTATCGAACTGTTTGAAAGAAATTGGTTATTCTATGAGATAAAATGCATATAGCATTTTGTTAAATAAAAAGACAATGTGTAGATACCATCACAGAATGCTGTAAAGACCGTTCGATTTGTATAAAATGAGAGGCGGCAGATATAAAAGGGACAATCAAAATTTTAAAGTTGAAGAAAAACTTAACAATACCATGGCAAATTTATACAAAAAGAATAACAAAAAGATAAACAACAGATTGTAAAACACTATATAGAAAACTAACATAATCATTTATTTGCTGTTTCAATTATGTTTATCCCAAATCTCATTAATCTACACTTCACGTAAATTAAAAATGCAATCAATACAACATTCAACTGTTTACCTGCAGTATAATCTTTTGGGCTATCACAAAATTCTGTAATGTTCTCGTTATTTGGGTCATATAAGCAGTGGTACTTATCTGCAGTTCCATTACATACACTATCAGCTCTTATTTTCCAGTGTGGTCTTTCTGGACATTCTAGACTATAGTTGGCCAGTCCGACATCACAGTATACCTAATTAGAATAAGTTGAAACAAATAGTTAAAAAAAACATTGACATGCAACAAGATTCCGACATTAATATTTATAATATTTCACTGAAAGAGTATTTCGAGCTGGATGTGAACGTCTACAATGGACTGCATGACCTGGAAATATGATCATCTTACTACTGAAGTTGGTCCCTCGTTGACACTAACGCCAACTAATCGTTACGCCAGTAAAAAGTCTTACTATAGTAATCTACTACTGCTTTAATCACAAATAAAATTATATGGAATTCAAAATAATTATAATGTAAACATACCAGACATACAAATACTGCACAGACCGCAATATCTGTCACTTTCATATCTATTTACCTTGAAGAAAAAATATGTGAAACGGTTAAACGCTTATACAAAAATTAAAAGAGCCAGATCCAAATTGAGAAAACAAAATTCAAATAATAGTGCTTCAAAATCTCATACATCAATATTTGTTTATAATTATACTTCTTCTACTTCTTCTTCAAACAAATAAAGTGATAAGCTTAAACTGACAGTAATCAACTTGGTGAAATTTCGGATTTACATGTTTCGCATTTCGTATATCTGCAACATTTGTTTTTCGTTGTATTGGTTTGTGTTTTATCGTAGATCAGTCAGTGAGTGAGAGAGAGAGAGAGAGAGAGGGAGAGAGAGAGAGAGAGAGAGAGAGAGAGGATTGACATTGGAAGTTCGGATGAATTTTACTAGTTCAAATCATCATGGATTGACCACAATTTCCCCTCCAACATTGTATAGTGATTTGGAATAAAGATATACATTACATATAAGAAGAAGATAACAAAGTAACACAATATGATTAGAAAGTTCATTTTATTTACTGCTGCTCGAGTCGAGCAAGTGAAGTCTATAAAAAAAATGTGAAATCAGTACCTTTCAACTTCGAAGCTTAGTTTGTGTAAGAAGTATGTAAAATATTCAATCGATTTGTATTCCTTCTTCTATTACTAGTTTAATCCTGTATTTTTAAGTCTTTATGGAGAAGAAACTACTTGTTTACTTTTAATTACCTGATGTAATTTAAATATCAAGTCATTACTTTGACGCCATTATATAAAGATCAAAACAGGAAGTTTGTATTTTTTTTTATTTCAATGCATATATTTACCAAATAAGATAATACTATAAACATTTTCTTATCTAACGTAGTACTTACTGCTTATTTTAAACTCGAATAACTATTGAATTGTCATATCTAATCCTTTACTATTCTTGTTCACGTTTGTTTGTATCAAAATAAATAAAATATCGGACAAGTAACAGCTTGTCAAAAAATTTACGATTAAAATAGTAAACCGAAATATAGATCTATATATGACGTAATACCAGTACAAGGATAATATTTGAACATATTCGTGTTTAAGGAAATAGTAAGAAACCCCTACTTGTGCGAATTTTTCCTTGATATAATTTTTTGATATGTGCGATATAAAAATAAAATCAGTTCAAAAAATGTTACGTCTATTTATAGTAAATCCGATAAAGCAGGGTTTTTTCTATATCTGAAATACAATATTCTAAATTATTATAGTTATCTTTCCTTACTTAAACTAGAAGAATATTGAAGATAAAAAAGATATGTAAATATTTATATCTTTAAGTCATCTGACCAAAGACACACATCGTTGGGAACTAATAATACCTAATAAATCGGAAGAGAAAAAAACTCAAAGGTAAATTCAAAGAGCGGGAAGTCCATAAAACCTGACAAAATCAATCAGATCGGCCACATCAACGAATGAAAGTTTTCCAGACTTGCTATAGGCATTTTCCGAAGAAAATGGTGGGTAAAACCTGGTTCTTCAGCTAGCTAATCCTCCCACTTGGAAACACAGACCACATACATACAATAGAAAACGAAAGACGGAGCAACATGAACCCCACCAAAAACCTGGGATTATCTCGGGTGTTCCGGAAGGGTAAGCAGATCCTGCTTCACATGTGGCACCCGTCGTGTTGCTCATGTAAGTACAAACCGAGTGATAAGTCTTATTCGGTAGATCACATTCAAGGAAAAGAGAACGGGATCGTGGTTCCAACAATTCGAACATATCCGTCTTCATCTGTAAAACATATATTCCATAACGGCCAACCAACTCGTGATTACATCCCGCCATTGTGTTATTGTGCTATGGTCATTTTTTGTATTCTTGTCTTTCATTTTTGATTATGTGCTTTGTCTATATGCCATTTTGTTTTTCTTTGTTGACATATTTTTTTGTTATTATATCTGTTTGTTTTGTTTACACATTGTTGTCAATATAATGGAATTTTATGCGACTGTCATACAAGTGAGAGGTTAAGCTAGTTATAAAACCAGGTTTAATCCACCATTTTCTACATAAGGAAATGCCTGTACCAAGGTCCAAGTCAGGAGCTTTTGATTTTGACATTTGATAAGGGACTTTCCGTTTTGAACTTTCTTTGGAGTTCGGTGTTTTTGTTATGTTACTTAACCACTTGGAACACTTGGTTTAATAGCTTCCTTGTGAGCAGCAACCCTCTATCAAGGAAATCTTGATAGGAAATACAAGCCATGTAATGCTAAAATATATTGAATAGAAATTTAGTACATGGCAATAGCATCAAAAGTTAATGATTGAGTTTGAGTCTGTCCCGCTTCAGCAATTTCATTGGAAGGTATGGACCTTCGACACAGAAAATTGCTTATAAAACTATGTGCTTTCTGCACTTTTTCTGCAATGCCTGATAAATTGATTTAATATTTGATATACAATTAAGTCATACAAACGTACAGGACGAGTTTGATTTTTGTTCCGCTTAAGTAATTTCAGTGGAAGATATGGGTATAGAATATTGTTAAGGTTTTCAACACTTTTTATGTTATTCCCGAATAGTAAATAGAATATTTTGTGAATATTCATATCACAAGAACTTTGAGTTTTGTTCAGCTTTCAGAGGAAGCTATGTGCTATGGACATTGCTTGAAATTATGTATTTTCGCACTTTTTTTGTAAAGGTGTTTAAATTGATAACAAATTTGGTTTCTTGAAATATCATAAGAAGTTACAATTAGAATTTGAAAGTATACTGGTTGAATGATTATTGCATAATTTGCTGCCCTAGAATGCGAAAAACTGCTATGAAAAAGTTTGGTACAATATTTATTGTAAATTATGACTAAGTATCTTAAGTTTTTTTTTACCTTTTTAGTGATTTATGAGATTTGAACATCGATCAACTACTATTGTCTCTAATTTAACTTATATTTAGTGTAAAGTTTTATCTTAAGACTTAACAGATTAAGAGGTTTTTTTTCGTCGAACATTGTTTTCGATATTTGTGGCCCTTTTGCATAGTAATTTTATAAAAAAAGGGTATGGGGCTTTCTAGGGGATGTTGAAAATATAAACAAATATTCTGACCAGATTTAAGATTAGTGGAAGTTCACAATCACGTTAACAGCTACAATTCCCAATTTGAATTGTAACACCTGACCTTCTCAAGGGAAAGCTTGTTCCTCGTCGAATATTCCTTCCGGTAGAAGACATTATATTGCATATGCAATGACCTCAGAATACTTGTTTAGAAAATTATTTTGGTTTTTACGTTCTTGGTGGGGTTTGCGTTGCTCAGTCTTTATTTTTCCATGGACTGGTTTGTGGACTTGTCCTTCTTCGTCTTTCGTTTTGTGTCATTGCGTTGTCAGTTGACCGTGACTTAGGAGTTTTGAATGTCCCCTTGGTATCTTTTTACCTTTTTAATTTAAGTTTAGTACAATTGGTATTTCCTATTTTTGTACAAAGCCAAAATGTAAAGTCAGATGATGGCTTAAGCACTTTATTATAATCAATATGGTATTACAAAATCAATGATTGTACTTATAACAACAATTTAAAAAGATTTAGCAACATTAATGATATAAAAAAAATATGAATAACAATATTTCAATAAACTTCTAAGATTGAATGAATTTTACTTAAAGGATGCTATAAACATAAAACGATGTAAAAAAAAAAAGAAAGCAAGTTTATATATCAATTTTTTCTCTCCAAATCTTTACTTTATTTTACACTTATATTTATTTTCTAAGTACTATTTGAGCATGTTAACAAAGGAGGCCATCACAATTTTACACTTACTACAATTCACACAATCTTTTCCATGCTATTGCGCACCTCCTATTTTTCTTATCAGAATAATTATTTGGGCTTTCCTTACCAAAGCATGATATTGGTTTATTTTTGAGGAAGCCGTTTTGTATCAGTAACTTCTAAACCCCTCATTACAATGTTGTTTAATATGAGTGGGTCTTTAGTGCCAATTTTGTGTTTGAAGAAAGTCACATGATAAATAGTAAAAAAAGAGAAGTTGCGGAAACAATGTGGGTACTCCCAAATAAAGAAATGGCAAAGTATATGCTTTGGTAAGGAAAATTCAAACCAAAACACAAAATAGGAGATGCACAATGGCATTAAATGATTAAGATTTTTTTCATTAAATTATGATTACAGATTTAGGAAAAGAAGTGGATACAAATGTCATCTAAAAATAAACCCCAAGAATCATTCAGATGAAGAAATGAAATAGAAGGTTCAAAAGTACATCATGTGAGTGATATTCTGTGAAAGTCAAAATCATATCAAGCTGTTTATAAACAGTTGCGGTTACGAAAGTTGCACTGAATGACGAAAGAACGGACGGACGGAGGAACAAACAGATCGTTTCTTCCATCGCCATAAAATCCCGAAAGAAAGCGGTGTATAATGAAAGACTTTGCTTTTCTATTGAAAACAATTGCTTAGGTCGCATCTAAGACAATGCTTTGTCATATTTGAAACTAAGGTTCCAATTTCTCTGCTGATGCATCTTGGTTGGTTTGATTTGATTCTACTTTTGATATTTTTTTTGGCTGTAAAACATTTACATTATTTATACATGCTTTACTATCAAAACTTTTTCCTCGAAGTATTTCTGATAGAGACTGAAAAAGAAAACTAATCTGCTAAGGGTGGAAACGTTAAATACGGTTACCACATCAGTGCGTCGGTATGAATAAAATAACTGTACAATAAACTTAATCAATAGACAATTTTCTATAACCAATAAAAGATATAATAATATATAAGAGATACCCATGCTTCAATCGCCTTGATAAAAGCAGCAACTAAAGTTTAAGTTCCATTTCATTGTAGGGTTTGTATGTCGCTCCTGGCTGGCTGGCAAGGTCCAAGAATACCACCCGCCCTATAACCAGTGACTCAATATGACGTTTGCAATAATTGTAATTCAATTGAACAACTACCAAATGGTCGGTAAAATTGTTGTGTTTATGGTACATTTTTCTTCGCTATTGCTACAAGACTACTGGACAGATATGTATTCCATTCCATTGTTATACACTTCACAATGTGTTTCCGTGAACAGATGTTTACCCCAGGCATAAATAACCTTCTAAAGATTCGACATAACTTTTTTTTCTTTTTCTATATTCAATTCTCTTTAACTTCGTCATTGATTCGGCTATTAAACTGTTTTGATTTGAGTGGAAAAAATCGTCTAACGTACTTAATTAAAAGACAGGTATCCCTGGTGATTTTTTTATATGTATGTTGCTCTAACATCTCGTTTCAATTGCCATTTTTCTTTGAACGTTTCCTGGATAAAAAATTTATATGATATGACGGGTGTCAGCAATTTCTTTACACTTAGTGTTAGGCGATAAAATCTCACTGGGGTATTTCTTTGACAGTTCGTACTTCCTAGATTTGTAATTATTCCATACATTGAACAATTTTAAAATTGAGTGTTTTCTGTCAAATGTTTGTTTGGTTTAGTTTTTTATACTCTTTTGTTTGTGTGTGTGTGGGGGGGGGTCTTTACCAGCCTTTCAACAAGCAACAAATTAAACACCTCATAAGTAAAATAAATTAATTATTTCAATATTACTTGATAAAAACATCGAACATTTTATTTAGGATAACATAGTATTAAATACATAAACATGAGATGTGATTAACATATAAAGCATCTTTCAAAATGCAGATGATGTCTTGTTATGTCAAGTTAAAAAAAAGTACTGTAAAGTGAGCTGAAAACTGAATCTGCATTTAAAACGACCTGAAAATATTTTGGTTTATATAAATATAAAACCAAGGACGCTGTTGCTGCTTCAGTCACACTTCGGTTTTACACCCATAACTTTTAGAAAATCTGAAGAAAAATAAAATATCATATTAGATTGATTTTAAAGACTAAAACTTAATCATTGATATCGAAATATTTATACGGTTTTAAATCAACTGTGAGGTGATATTAAACATAATGTCGTATCACAGAGATAGCTGACTTAAGCATAAGCTAATTGCATCATTTGATTCATAATATTGTAATTGACCATTAAACATTAACGGTACCAATTTTATTGCATCAGACGCCCATGAAAACAATGTCTACGAAAGTTTCAATATTGACTTTATTTTTGGTAAAGGGTCGTTTAAGTGACAAAATTATGCGACAATACGTAATATGCTTTCAAAATCACCTTTAATTTGACAGAGTTGAAACAAGATGTCGGTTCGTCATCAATTAGGCAACAACCCAACAACACAATAAAATAAACGACACATACAGTTTAACATGCGGTTTTAATTAAAAGGCAAAAGTATATATATTTATATATATACTTCGAATGCGATTTAGCCAAACAATGTTCAATACAATGTTTAATATGTTTTTGTTGAGCCTGCGACTTTTGTCGCAGATAGTTCGACATAGGGATAGAGAACCAGCGGCGGCGGCGGCCACGGCGGCGTTAACTAACTACTTAAAAGCTTAATATTTCCGAAGGTAGAAGATTTGGATGCTTCATACTTTGTATATAGATGCCTTATGATATGAAGTTTCCGTCTGTCATATGTCCTTTGTCCTTAACCTCATTTTTATGGTTCTGTGAATACTCGAAAAAAGTTTTTGTAATGTTAATTTCTCTCTTATTATGAGTGATAGGATAACTATATTTGGTATGTGCATACCTTGCACAATCCTCATGCCTGTCAGACAGTTTTCACTTGACCTCGACCTCATTTCATGGTTCAGTGAACAAGGTTAAGTTTTCGTGGTCAATTCCATATCTCAGATACTATAAGCAGTAGGTCTACTATATTTGGTGTATGGAATGATTGTAAGGAGTACATGTCCAACTGGCAGGTGTCATCTCACCTTGACCTCATTTTCATGGTTCAGTGTTTAAAGTTAAGTTTTTTTTGTGTTTTGGTCTATTTTTCTAATACTGTATGCAATAGGTCAGCTATATTTGGTGTATGGAAATATTTTATGATATACATTTCAGTCTGGCAGGTTTTATTTGACCTTGACCTCATTTTCACGATTCATTGCTCAATGTTAATTTTTTGTGTTTTGGTCTGTTTTTCTATAAGCAATAGGTTAACTATGTTTGGTGTATGGAATGTTTATATGTCTGTCTGGCTGGTATCATCTGACCTTGACCTCATTTTCAAGCGTCCGAAGCATCCTTCTGAATTTACCTTCACCTCGAATGCTCAAACCTAAACATTTTAAAGCCGGGGATGAATAAAAATTCAAAAAATATATATAATGATAATTTATAATTCATACTTTTTTGGAAATAATATTGATTCACTATTTGCATCTGAAATAAACACATTTAGCGTGGCGTCCATTTCGCTGAATTAGTATACATTACTGTTTAGGGGCCCGCCACCAGGTGCGATATTTTATCGCTGCGTTGAAGACCCATTTGTGGTCTCGGACTGTTTTCTGCTCTTTGGTCGGGTTGTTCTCTCTTTGACATATTCCCCGTTTCCATTCACTATTCTATTCTCTCAATTCATTCACATCAATTTGTTTCAAATTTACACTTCTAGATATCTAACAGCCCTATTGATACAGCCGCTTTCTGTTAATTGACTGTTACCAGTAATAAGATATTTCAAACACTAAGTTCTTTTACGCAAATCACAGATGACCTATGTCAGATTTGCAACACCTGTTAGAGAATTTTTTTGTTTTCATTGTCCCTCAATTTTATCATTAATTTTGTTTTCAAGTTATTTTGATTCATGCGCTTATAAAAAGTTTGGTGTAGTAAATTATAAGCTTTGTAACTTTGATGAGTACTGCTGATTGACCTTTTGTCTACGATTGTATCACAACCCTAGTAGTCAGAACTCCTGTGCTGACATGAAATATCATTGATAACGTAAATTATTTTTTTATAAAAACTTAAAAATCATTCGAAACACATTGTGTTCATGATATACGGATGGCATTACATGTAGCAGGGTGCTCATTACACAAAAATGCTCCAACAGAGTTATGAGGGGAAAACGACTGAAATCGACACTGCATAACATTTTGGGTCACCACCACAAATTGGTTGACCCATACGATATGTATGTGTCTCAACTCAATAGTAACTTGTTTTCATAGTCTTAGAATTTTAAGTACCGGAATACTCGTCTAATCTGTAATGTTACCAATTGAGATATTTTGACCAGGTGCGGATTCGCGTGGCAGCAGTAGACGTTTACCCTGTCGACACACTAAGGTCAAGCGATTCCCTTAGTTTTTGTTTGTAACCTTGATTGGTCTACATAATAGATTTATGAGATTTAAACATCGATTAACTACTGTTGCCTAAACTGAGAAAGATTTTTTTACCCCAGACATAGATGACATTAGCTAGATTTGGCACAATTTTTGTAATTAGGATTCAACGGTCGTAAACATTACAATTTTAAATTTAAAACTTAACGTTTGGTTTTTTTTTATTATTTTTTTTAATATTGTTTTATTTTGTTTGGTCTCAAATCAAAGGTTTTGGCGAGAAATAACGCTCTGTCAACATTACACCAATGGGCTTTTGGCTTGATATCGTGTAAAAGAGAGGCGAAAGATACCAAAGGGACATTCAAACTCAGTTATTGCTTACATCAACTTCATTTGAACTTTGGTGGATAGTTGTTTCATTGGCAATCATACCACATCTCCTTATTTTTATATTATAAGTCGAAAATAAACTGACAACGCCATGGCTAAAAAATAAAAAGACCAACGAACAAAAAGACAAACAGACAAACAACAGTACACAAAAAACAACATAAAAAACTAAAGACTGATCAACACGAACCCCACCAAAAACTGGGGATGATCTCAGGTGTAACCAATTTCTTTTATATTGAAAGTGCATGACCTTGTATCGTTTATTTTTTTGATAGTATAAATAAGCTTTCCAGTTTTAACAACCTCGTTAATTTTCTTTTTATTTCATTTCAAAAAGAAGAACCGTATTTTTTCAACATATGCATGATCGAGTTCGAAAGTCTAATTGTAAACAAATGCTTTGTTGTGAAAAAATATCGATTTGATTACATAAATAATTTGAATTGAAATTGTATGATAAAAACATCGTACTTTTCTATTTTTATTAAACCAATTACGCGTTTTATAAACCTTGCCCTTTTAGAGTTTAGTTGGACAAAGCTAAAATAGTAAATGACACTCAATATATATATATAAACCGATTTCATTGCGATTCGTTTTACTGAAATAGTCTCCTTTAAAAATAATACTGCAGCAACAAACAAGGGGCAAAACGTTCTATCTATAGACCAATAACAGCGACCGGGAATCGACCGTTATAGCTTTGTACAAAAAAACAGACTGCTTAAGAATCTGTACGTTTTGGATGTTAGTTAAGCTTCAGCGAAAGATATCATACCTTCGTATCTGATTTTACCATCTCCATCAGTTCTGGTTTGGTTTATAAAATCTTGAACTTCTTCGTCAGACAATTTATCACCAAATTTTCTCATCAGATACCATATTTCTACAGCACTCACATATTCTCTGTCCTTAAAAATTATATTTATAGCGTCCCTTATTTCATCTTCATTGTCGATTTCGTTTATTTTTCTTGACATTACTGTCAGGAATTCCGGGAATTCTATCACACCATTTCCTTCAAATATATGTTTCAATAAGTACGAGTATGTAACTGCACAATTCATAATTACCTATATTTTATATTGACAAAACGGAGTTCGTCATACATTTTAATTAAATTATCAAGGTATAGGTATTCAAAGGGGACTTCAATTTTAAAGGTGCATACCTCCTTCAATTAACACACAAAAACATTTAATAGGTATATATAGGTAGAAAAAAAATCCACTCCTGAAGTATCCTTATGGGGTCTAAAGAGGTCTGATTTTATAAAATTAAAAACGAACTCAAACTAGTAAATAATTTCCCCAAATATCGTTTTTTCAACAAAGGAAGCCAAAATCATATGCAAGACATTTATTTGTATTCTGGTTTTTTATTATTATTTGGTCATAAATTGTTATCTGCACGCCTGATTTTCTGAAAAAAAATACCAAAGACTGGTCGGCTAAGAGTCAGAAGATGCATGTTTCGGGTTGGTTGACATATTTACCCTACGTACTGTAGAAAAAAGGGAGATACCAAGGGAAAAATTTAAAACTATAAGTAAAAGAAAGACAGACAACACAATGGCAAAAGAAAAAAAACAGACAAAAATCAGTCCAGAAACATTATATAGAAAACTAAAGTATCGTTTTCGTCTTTTGAAGGGACTTGGCGTAATCTGTATTTTTTCGACGCGATTTTCTGTCGTCTTTTGATAAATGTATCTTCTTTCATTTTTGACCCGATTTAAGCAAACTGTAGTTGAAGTTGCAGCTTCTCATTTTTTGAAATCATTTGCTTGATGGTGATTTGTATTTTAAATTTCAATTATAGTTCTTTAGAGGCCGGTCTTATAAATTGTGTTTTCTCTATGATTGTGTTTGTAAAGGTGGTGTTTTTGCATCCATGAAACCATTTTTTAAAAACAAAACCAACGTTTTCAAAAATGAATTCACTTTAAAAAATAATACGATATAACCATCGCAGCCTTACGGTGATAAAGTTGGAATGTTTACTTTTTTTTGAGTACTTGAGGGTTATATTCCTACCATATTTATACATTTTAAGTTTACTATTGATTTGATCTAAGGATTCCTGATTAAAATTAATTTAAAACAGCAAATTAGCTTATTTGACGAAATAAGATAAATTAATCTTCAAATACAACATGTACGTGTCGGCAAGAAAGGCGAGACGCTCTTACCAGGATCATTCACATTATGCAATTAAAAGAAAATTTTAGTAATTTTCCCCAAGATCTTTGTTTTGAACAAAGGAAGCCTAACTCATCGATTGAAAGACATTTATTCTTTTTAATTTTTTTTAATGATGTCATAACTCGTTCTCTCAACGCTTGATTTTCTGAAATAAAGACCAGAGACAAACTATGATAATTGATATTCAAAGACTACATGTACAGTGCGGCAAGAAATACGAGATCATTCACAATCCTCAATGAAGGATATATGTAAAGATATCTTATAAGTTTAGTGTTATCATATTTTTATATTAATATGCCTGCTCAAATAAAAGAGTATTGTAATGGCTTTGTATGTCAGTCCATAATTAGATGACTGATAGATCACGTGCAAAATAAAATATCTGTTATTTAGTGAAAGAGCACGCAGTATAGAGCGCCGGTATTTTTTTTTTTTTTTTTTTTGACAAATGCGTGTAGATATTTTGTGTCAACGATCAATACGCAATTTCCCCATTTTAGACGTAGTGATAAACCACACTAACCTTCAGCGTCTATTTCATTTATAATATCCTGTACTTCCCCGTTAGACGGATTCAGTCCTAATGCCCTCATTACTGTGCCTAGCTGGTTGGTAGATATGGTTCCATTTTCATCATAGTCGAACATACTGTAAGTCTTATGGAATTCTAGAAAATCAAGTGGAGAAGCATAACTGTTAACCAACTTATATTTCTGATTTATTTTCACGAATAGAAAAAAATATAACTCAAATATAAATACTAGTAGCCAAACCTGGATAAAGTTTCATAAGAATACACGAGCAAACATAGAAAATCGCCGCGAAGTCGGCTGAAAATGACTATAGCTTACAATACGGTATTGGTTTTGCTCATTGTTGATTCTAATCATCAAATAATCAAATAGACCATGCTTATAATTTTGAACGCCAGACGTGCACTTCGTCTACTAAAACTCAGGGACGCTCGAATCAAAACAATTTGAAGGCCAAACCAACGAAGTTTAAGTTGAGTTCAACGTCATTTGGACTCTGGTGGATGGTTGTCTGATTTGCAATCATACCACATATCTTTATTCTTACATTAAACGCGAAAATTAGTTTCCGCGAAGAATAGTTGGTTTACAGTATTACAATTGAACATCTATCAAATTTTTGTCTTTTGTCTAGCTTTATTTAGACATCACTTTTTTCTAGAAAATAATTGGTAGTAGATAAATCAAACACAAAGAAAAGGATGTTGATTTCACCAAAATATAATAGACATCGTCCTAAAAAAAACTAAAGCTTTGGGCTATACAGAGTTATGAAAACATCAAGTGATAGCATGTACTCATAAAAGCCGAAGCCAGTTTTATTCCGTTACGGTTAAGATGAAATATGAAAAAGAATGTGTACCCCTAATTGAAATACGTCAACGTATACGACTCATCAGATAAAGATCAACCGAATCGGTATGAAGACCGTAAAATATTTTATGTGATAATATCATTTAAGTCTGAAAGTACCCTGATGTAACAGTTGATAAATTGCTTGACGAATTATTTTTTTGTTTTTATTTTCCAAAACCAAACATGAAAGCTTTCTTTCTCCAATCTGTTCGTAAAAACGATATATATAACAGTATTTAAAAAAAAATACCTTTGAATTTACCATAGGCGGGTGAAGAGTAAATTGTGAAAAGGGAAAAAGTGTAATAATGACGGGGGTCAACTAAAGGAGCTGGATCTTCCTAACCTTCCAGAGCACAGGCGATCAACCCCAAGTAACTTCTTGTCAAAATACATCAAAATTCCTGCTTTTATAATTCTTTTATTTCTATATTTTCTTTTTTCGTTTATGCAGTCCGCAAGGAAGCGAATAATCATTCTCATTTTACCATGTAAATGAAAAAAGGGAAGAACATACCATAGGAGCAATCAACTACCATAAGTCATCACCATGGTCAACAAACTGTCCACAAAACAAGACTAAAAATCTAAGGATTTAGCCAAACGAGTACCAACGAACAAAACGTAAGTGAACGCAATTGTTCCTGGAGGGTAAGCAGCTTCTGTTCTACTAGTAACACCCGTGCGAATAGAAATTATAATCTGTTGAAAATGTTATTCGATTTCATGTTTAAACTATCTAGGAATCAGAGGACTTTGTCAAAAACATAGACGTCACTAGATGTGGTCAATAATGATACTAGTTTCTACTATTAATTCAGACAATTTTTCAGGTAACAGTGTTTGATTCATTAATTAGCAAAGAGTATATAAAAGTGGTTCAATTAAAAGCATATCTATCATCCTGCTCCATTATCTTTTTATACTAGGCCAGTGGTCGTTATAGGAAATAACGGATCAGAGTGCATGTGAGCCTTATCTTTAATCAAATTAAACTGTAATCTATGTCCCGAAATAAAATTTGATAGATAATTCCTTACAATGGTTATAGGCTATATAGCATTTACAACCCTAAAAAAGAAGCATTCACTTCTTATAATTACATGTATATGCTAAAACTATGAAATGACGAATTATATATCAAGTTTTTCGTGTGTTTTCCTATGCATTGTAGCCTAGTGACGTTATCATGGGAAGCACGTGCAGTCATGAACGTTGCATTTTATTGAGAAATACATTTTGATTTAAGAATGCCTCACGATTTTTATTAACCAATCAATAGTACTGATTCTTATGAAACATACATGTACTGCAATTATTGATATTTAAACTAGAGGCTCTAAAGAGCCTGTGTCGCTCACCTTGGTCTATGTGCATATTAAACAAAGGACACAGGTGGATTCATGACAAAATTGTGTTTTGGTGATGGTGATGTGTTTGTAGATCTTACTTTACTGAACATTCTTGATGCTTACAATTATCTCTATCTATAATGAACTTGGCCCTGTAGTTTCAGTGGAAATTATTTTGTAAAAATTTACAAAATTTATGAAAATTGTTAAAAATTTATTATAAAGGGCAATAACTCCTTAAGGGGTCAATTGACCATTTTGGTCATGTGACTTATTTGTAGGTCTTACTTTGCTGTACATTATTGCTCTTTACAGTTTATCTCTATCTATAATAATATTCAAGATAATAACCAAAAGCTGAAAAAATTTCTAAAAATTACCAATTCAGGGGCGGCAACCCAATAACGGGTTGCCTGAATGGTCTGAAAATTTAAGGGAAGATAGATCTTGACCTAATGAACAATTTTGCTTTGAAAGATTTGCTAGAAATGCTTTGGGTTTAGATATATGAGCCAAAAACTGCATTTTACCCTATGTACTATTATTAGCCATGTCGGCCATCTTGGTTTGAGGGCGGGGTCATCAAACACAATTTTTAAACTACATACCCTAATGATGATTGTTTACAACTTTAGTTAAATTCATCTTAGTAGTTTCAGAGGAGAAGATTTTTGTAAAAGATAACAAAAATTTACGAAAAATTGTTAAAAATTGACTATAAAAGAGCAATAACTCCTTAAGAGGTCAACTGACCATTTTGGTCATGTTGACTTATTTGTAGAACTTACCTTGCTGAACATTATTGCTGTTTCTAGTTTATCTCTATCTATAATAATATTCAAGATAATAACCAAATAAGGCAAAATTTCCTTAAAATTACTAATTCAGGGGCAGCAACCTAACAACGGGTTGTCCGATTCATCTGAAAATTTCAGGGCAGATAGATCTTGAGCTAATAAACATTTTTACCCTGTCAGATTTGCTCTCAATGCTTTGGTTTCAGAGATATAAGCCAAAATCTACATTTTATCCCTATGTTCTATTTTTAGCCATGGCGGCCATCTTGGTTAGTTGGCCGGGTCACCGGACACATTTTTTAAACTAGATACCCTAATGATGATATTGGCCAAGTTTGGTTAAATTTGGCCCAGTAGTTTCAGAGGAGAAGATTTTTGTAAAAGTTTACGAACGACGGACGACGGACGACGGACGCTGGACGACGGACGACGGACGCCAAGTGATGAGAAAAGCTCACTTGGCCCTTTGGGCCAGGTGAGCTAAAAAGGCAGGCTCCTTATAATACGAAACCTTTTATTTCTTCATCTGTGAGTGGTTGATGTTCATCCTGTAACAGTGCATAGACACATGAAAATCAATTTAATGAGTAAGGAACGCTTGTCTTTTTCTTACTATTTGAGGTTCGTTTATAGCAATATTTTTTTTGAGGACCAAAACACATAAAGTTAGCCTAAAAGTACCTTGACAAAAAATATATACCTAAAAAAGCTGAAAAGAACTTTTAGTTAGCTTCCATCATGTTGAAGCCGTGAATAATTTGGAAAACTTATGAGGACACGCAACGCTGTACAAATAAATTAGAAATAAACGTCATCGTTGTAACAATAAAATAAAAATCAATTGCTGTGCAAACAAGAAAAGAAGTTTCAATTTATAAACATTTATGGTATTTGGATTTTTTTTCTCACTTAAATCCATATTTTTTTTACAACAAAAGCTCTCTTACAAAAGTGGAGTTCTATAAACATCTACTGGAACTTTTATTCGACCTGCCAATGTCCATGAATACAAAGATAAGCTGGGTTTATAAATTAAGGCGACAGCAGTTTATCAATGTTCAAATCTCGTAAATCGATTAGGTAGAGACAAATCAGGGTAACAAACAGAAACTGAGGAAATCAGATAAACTCCAAATGGAAGCGAGACCGGATGTGTCGATATGTAAGCGTCTCCTGCTATGCATATTCGAATTCATACTCAAGTCAAAAGGTCACAATCGGTAAAATTACTGATCAGACGCCTATTTTTGGTATCTTAAGACCTAAGACATCGAAAACATGTCGCTAGTGAGTTAAGACACCGACACATCGTATCAGTCAACCAATTCGTGATAGTGAATGTAAAACTATTTTAGTCGTTCTTCCTCATAACTCTGTTGGAGCAGTGTTTGTATAAGGAGCACACCCCTGTTATATGCTTCTAATTAAGCATGCATGAAATTCAAATGATAATGCATGTAAAAAACGATATTTATTTATACATGACAACTGATTTAACTAAAAATATAACAAAAATGATAAATATATAAAACGAATTCCAACAAAGGTCGAAAAATAAATATTTTTGAATTCCTTGTTAAATCTATTGGTTTTTTTTCTTATTTAAATCGGCATAGTTAGAATTTAATATTGGTTCTAATTCCAAATAAGTAAACAAGTTTGGGAAGCAAAAAAAATTATCAATAGTAATTTAGCAGTGTTAAACAAGCAAATAATTTGGCGTTTACGATAGATCTTTATAGTATTTGATAAAGTAGTCCATAGTATTTAGTCACTGGCATCGATTTAGAACAAGGGGAGGTTTAGAACTTGACATCTTGTATAGATGTGTATTGGTAATTTTTCTCATTGGACTGCTGACTGTCTAATTAATCCACACCTAACATCTCCCTTTATTCATACCCGTCTATTGTTGAAGGCAGTTATGTTGACATCCAATAGTTTGTGTATAGATTTTGTCAGTGATGTGTGCCTCACACTTTCTTTAATTTAAATATGTTATTAGTTCGTCATTTAAACTCTTCTGCGAGTATTACAAAAGGTTCAAAATGATATTTAATCGTAGTTGATAACGCCCAACGTTATATCCAAAAACACATCATCAATCATTATCATTTTTGGTCAGAATCAAACATGTCGAAATTTTGCTAATCCCCCTTGTTTTGCTTTTCTCGAAATGCCCCCCTTTAAACTTGAACCACTTGGTTCGATATTTAATAATTTTAACCAACTCGTGTGCTTGTCTGATAAGATAAACAGTTATTTACAAGTGATTGAGTTTCAGCGATTGTTTGCTGCATAAGATGCCATTAACCATAGACCTGTTTCGATTTGTCGGAGCAGAGATCGCGGATTTTCTGATAGGACCAAAGAGCTAACAGAGGCTTGCTTCCTCTTCGTACAGAAAGTTCAAACATGTAAATACGTGTATTATTGTGCAATAACCTCCTTTTGTTATCGTCGGATTTAAATACAAAAAAAAGATAAAAATTTTATATGTTGTGCCTTCAGCTTATGTTGAAAATCAACTTTCCTGGCGTGAAAAGCGGCTCCGCTTACATTACGGCTGCGTATAGCAATACTGAGCATTATGCTACAGGTCTCGCGCATCAGTCCTCGTTGAATGTTTTTTTTTATAAGTTTGGTATTTTTTGCAGAGGTTTTATAATTGTTTATATGATGAAGATGAATAAATCTATATGCAGAATTGCAATACGGCGGTGTATACATATTGCAACATTCATATTAACTAAAAGTTATTTTTTCAATAGCTGGGACAACAACAAAAAATGAGATTCTATTTTCACGCATTTTTAAAAATATATACATATAACTGTAATCTAATTTTTATACGCAGAAATGTGTAACGAACATCAAAACAATGTTACAATGTAAACACTTTTTTCATTGAATGTTATTTCTTGTTCACTGGTATCGTATTTCACTTGTGCATGGTTTGGGAATAGTGCTCAGACAAATATTAACAATATTCAAACATCATGTGTTTTGTGTACTGTTGTTTGTCTTGTGGTTTCTCGTTATTTGGCATGACATTATCAGTCTGTTTTCTACTTATGAGTTTGAATATCCATTTGGTATCTTTTCCTCTCTTTTGATGTATATCATGTTTCCTCAAAAACTAAAAAAAATGATAATTCATTATAGCCAACTTACCATTTTGACTAATAAATCCTTTTCAACATTACTACGACCTTACACTTCGAAACTTGAGACTCACTGTCTTTCAATTTGGATGATTTTAAATGTGCATGGTATTCAAATTAACAATATAAAAACTGTTCCGTTTTGATGAGCTAAGTGAAAATGATACTTATGAATTATAAATTTAGAAAATGATTAGTGGTTCTATTGAATGACAAACGTCCCTCACTTTTCGCTATGATTTCTATAAATATTTAAAATGTCATGTAATATTTTGAATGGATATGTAAATGATATACGTTTTCCTTGGTAATTTTATCGCATGATAGTATTCAGAATTCCGTGGTTAAATGGCCAACTAACATATCTGTTATGTCTATCATTCTTCTAATACCAATATATATATATTTTACCTGTCACTGACTGAAAAGAGAAAATATATCAAAAGTGTTTAATTGACTATCCAGTCATTTCAACTAATAATACTATGCGTATAGATGGTGGAATAAATGAGTTTGATAATAAATACAAGGTCAACAATAATTGTAATCTGCAAAAAAATCACTAACTTTCAAAGAAACCAATGTAAATAGAAAGCAAATGAATATGCATGCAACTTAATTATTTAAGGTTTAATAATCGTCATTATTTATTAAAGTTTTAATTCATAAATCTGTGACAACACTAGGAAAAAATAAAAGAGCTGGAGAGATAACTAAAAGCCATGTTGAAAATCCAAATTTCTTGTTTGATCGAAATTCCTATCGATAAATATTGTGATTAATCTGGATCGGTCATTGGTGGTGGAATATGCTTATCAGGGAGGAGAGACATGAAAAGTTGTGAAGGCGTGTCATTTTTTTGTTGTTAGAAAAGTGTCCTCATAACAGTAAAAAAAAATCAATAAAAAGAACACTCAATGTAAATACCAATATAATACTAGTGAATCCAAAATCGTTAACGTTTACACTTGCGCATCCAAGCTGTTGACGGAGGCTGTATCAATTCCTGCAAATTTGTATATATCTGATTACCAAAAGGTATAATGAAATTAAAATCGACTCCGTCCTCTTTCACAGGTAACACCTGCCTCTTACTTATTTTATCTTTAGTAAAAGATAACTTAGTTCATGTATTTTGCATTTGACACCTCAACTGTTCAAAAGGTCAATATTGAAAGCAGACTTTGCCATGGAATTACGCTTTCTCCCAACTTTTAAGTTTACAATTACCTCTCTGACAAAGTTTTACTTGGTAAAAGCTATCTCAAGTTGCAGTGTTCTTCTTGGTCAAAGACTTAAATTACAATACATATATGATATGGCCTAATCACATTCACCATTACACTTGTGACAAATGACAGGAGCACCAAGATACCATAAAGCGGAAATGTAAATCACATGTCAAAAGTATGTATTTTAAGAAACACGTGATTGGTCCATAAACAATCGATACATACCTAGTTTCCTATCAAAGCTCACGACTGTTGTCTTGTCTTCTGAATTTAAGATATATGTGAACACGGTCTCTGAGTATGAAAAAGGTTACATCTATATCCGATTTGAAAAATTTTGTACGAAGGCTTCAGAGAGCTTTTTTATAAGCAGTTACAATTTAACTACAAATATTGGAAACGAAAGTGAATGTTTTTTTTTAATTCACAGAGGGTTAAAGGATTGTCTTTGTGCTTTCCATTTGCTAATTATTTGGTATTGTCTATTCTATTTCTGATTGATGTTATCTGATTAACCGGTGGTACCTCTCTAAAAAAAATATGGATGATTCAATAATTCTAAGAATATAACACAATAGTCCCCACGCTTCGTCAATGGTTTTATATTCATGAAGTATTTTATATAAATAACACATAGCTGAGAGGGTGATAGAGCAGATTATTACCCCGAGAAAACATTGTCAACCGCGGCGAAGCCAAGGTTGACAATGCTTTTTCGAGGGGTACCAATCTGCTCTATCACCCTCTCAGCTATGTGTTATTTAATTTATTATACTGAATGTCCTATCATTATTGTCTTTTACATATGAATTTTATTGAAAAGTATGTTCTATGACGTCACGTACAAAACAGATGTTTTATTTTTTTTATTTTGACAGTCAAATAATAAAATCTGAGCCAAACGTAGAACTTTAGCATGGTCTTTAACTACTTGATGTAAATTCAATTCATTGTCCTTTAAATTATCGATTTTTGATTGGTCTGGACGAGAGGGTGACATTCAAAAAAATTGTCTTTCAATTAAACAACTTATACATTTTTTTATCCTTTTCTCTTTTTTCACTGAGAACATTAACGTATACACTGTCTGTATACAATTGGGCAAACGTGTATTTTTACTTGAATTTTACAGAATATTCCTCCAGATTACTATCATATATTGCAACGAATTAATTTTTATATCTATATTAAGTCTATTTAGTAGCAGTGTTCTGTAATTTTAAATTTTAAATTTGATATATAATCTATAACATCTAGAATGTTTTGACAGAGAACTACAATACCAATCATAGTAGGTTTGTATACCGGTATACGTCATTGGTTTAGAGCATGCATTAAAGTCAGTTTACCTATCGGCGTCATGTCTGGCAGATTCTTGTTTGAGTCGGTTATTTGATTTTTTTTTAATATCACCATCATTACCATCAACAATTTCGTTGCAATCTTCCATCATATATTTACCAGGCATTAAAACGTCACTATAGTCTGGTTCTTAAAAAGTTCGCTTATTTCATTTACATTAAAAGCTTACAATGTGTATATCTAGTCAGTTCAATTTATTAACACTGTCACTCATTCAAGTATGCTTTTATAATATATAGTTTTCATTAGTCAGGTGATCTTATCCCACCTCAACATAATAAAGGGTTGTATCCCTAACATAGAACATGGTGTACAGTGGCATGGAGATGGTATATATGTGCAGTTCATCTATTTTTCACTATATCGTAAAGTTTAATTGTTTCTTATACTGTCACGTATAGTTTTCTTTTTCTACACATACTTCTTTACTTTAGACAACTCTGCGTGTTGAAGAACGAATGTCCACCTCTAGATGTTTCCTTTTGTGCTGTTTTGTTCGTTTACTGTCTCATTGGCCTGTACATCAAATTCCATTTTATTTATAAATTGCCTTTCCGGGGCACCTGAGTTAATAAAGACACTTGATATCATCTTACTCTTTTATATAAGTATCTCTCTTGAATTAAGAATACGCGAAGAAGAAAAATACGACCGATCATCAAAGGTTGATGCATTGAACATGTGTATAGGTACTAATACTTTCCAGTTCGATTTAGAAATGAACTATTTTCTCTACTGCCATCTAAAGAGGCCATGATAGCAGGGTTGCGTTCAATATCGTAGGGCTACGTAGATTTATGACTATTGAACGTGTAGCTAGCCTAGCTGCTACATAGACATTGATAGCAGCTAGGCTAGCTACTCGTTCAATAGTCATAAATCTACGTAGCACTACGTAGCCGCTACGATATTGAACGCAACCCTGAAAACGAAATAGTAAAACTTTTGCTCAATTTTATCATTCCTACAAGAAAATCATTCGTAATATAAATCAACGTGCAGACATCTTATACGTTCAAGTATTTCACATCCCATCTTTTACGGTAAGATTCTATACAAAGCACAAAAATGTCGTCATTCACCTCAAACGATAAACAAACCTTTAAACAGACTTGTTCACAAGGGTTATAGTAACGATGCTGTTGTCAAGTCATAAAAGAAGGCATGTTTTGAATTGATATTAATTCACTTATAGGTCTTTGCATCGGAAATAAACACTTTATTTTAAAACCAGTTGTTGGCATAATACGGGTTGTGTTCTTTTCGTATACTATATGATGGCATGATACTAAACACCTAACGGGAGGAATTGTGATTGGTTTTCATATATATGACGAAGACATATAATCTTTCAATCACTTAATTGTAGTCTGAAGCTGGCATGTCAATAACTGCTAGTAGTCCTTTTTTAATTTATGTTTATCATTGTCAAATTTTGCTTAGTTTCTTCTGTTACCTATTTAAACATCGGACTCATGCACAGCAAAAAACACACAAAAAGCAAAGGAACAGCGATTGTATTGCTGTTCTTTATCTCAGTCACAGTGAGGGCTTCAACACGGAGCAAATAAAATCTCACCTGACGGCCCTTAGCACCATTTTGCGCGGAATTCTTTGCAAAATAATTGGGATAGACTTTGTAAGATGTAACACCACCGAATCGGGCCTGGTAAAAACGAACATACTGGAAAGTAGTACATATTTAAAACAAAATAGTAACCACGCATAGGCGCAAATAGCAAACTATGTAGAACACATTTTGGCAATTACGTATCAAATGAAAGGTGATGGACTGGTGATCCTTGTAGAACACATTTTGACTGAAAATTTTGAATAATGCAAAAATGTATGAATGAATTCTAAAATTGAGGGCATATTTTGCCTGTTCTTGTGAGTTTTTTTTAATTTTGGATCATTGTATGTTTCGGAGTTTAGAGTGGCGTCCACTTCGCTGAACTCATATACATCATTGTTTAGAGGCCAGATGAAGACGGATTTCGGGTGCGGGATAGTTTCGTTGCGTTGAAGACCTATTACCCATTGGTGGCCTTGGGCTGTATTTTGCCCTTGGTCAGGTTGTTGTCTTTTTGACATATTCCCCGTTTTAATTCACTATTCTATAGGATAACTGATTTCACCTATACAATTTATAATCGTCTGTATATACTTAAAATAATCCCCGCTTTGTTAATTAATCAACTTTCAATCAAGAAAAATGTATTTTATTCATCATTGCTGAAAGCCCTAGAAAAGTACATTTTTAAAAATTCAAATATAATGAAAATCTAATCGATTTTACAGTACAGCAGTACATAGTGAAACACTAGTGTATACATAACATGATATAAATGCAAACTTAACTGTACTGTTCTTCTCAGCAGTGTTGATATTATCTAACAGTCTTACAAATTAAACATAATATTCAAAACATTTAACAAACATTTCAACCAAGAAACAAATAAGACATACATTAAACGGTACAAACAATGATTGTGACACCGAAAGGCAGTTATTACAACAGTCAAACTCAGTACAAAAATGAAAAGAATCGTTATAGAAGAAGTGTGATTCAACGCATTATTATTTTCAAATACAAACCAATTTATCTGTTAAATTATGTAAATTTAACATGGCTGATTTTTATTCAAACAATCTTCATGATAATGACTGGAATAATTAAATTCATCAAGTCCTTAATACCTTGAAAATTGTCTTCAGTTAGATTGTTCAATCCATGTAAGTAATACATTACAATAAGAAAAACATATAATACTTCAGTTCTTGGAAATGCATATAAAATAAAGTTTATAATATATAAAAACTTTTGACAATAATGTGAAAAACATATGTTTTGGCTTGGATTTTAAAAGGATAAAAAAGAATATTTCAAGTTATTTCTGAACTTTGGATGATTTACATTTTGAAATATCTACATAAGATAAAAGTGAAAAGGATTTTATATTCATATACTTCTTCATTTGTATAGGTTTTTATTACTCATTTTATGTTCATTTTTCTTAGGGCTTTTACATTTAATGTAATGTAAAATGTAACTTCCTTTGCTTTGCAATTGATCCTTTAATACTTAAAAATGTGCTCCAAATCGAGCTAAATGTATATATAAAGACGTATTAAATGATTTTAAAAATTGCATAAAACATTTGAAAATATATAAAGGTATCAAAATAAATACAGATTAACAAAATATGACAAGTTAATACTTTTTTTATGATTCATTCATTTGAAAGTCAATATCACAGCATTCGTAAAATATTGCATTAAAAATATATATTCTGGAAAAAACTGTGAAGAACAAAAAAATCAACTGAACAACTCCACGTCAATTAACGTATAACATTGAAAATAAAACATGTTTTAAGTAGTACAGAAACTTCATGCACTTTATCTGAACTATTATAAGGGGAAAAGCTTATAACATATATTATAATCTAGTAGATTTATTCCTTCATTTGTTTAGAACCCCTCAGAAAATCCTTTTTTTCAAAACAATAAATGCATTTGTGCAATTTATATTATGCAAATCTAAGCAAAACGAATAACCCTAACATCTTTTTTTTAGATATTTATACTTCGCTAATACCATTTAAAATGTAATTCTACCCTGAATAAATACAACAAAATACTATTCATGTTTCCTAAAAGCCTTGGGCTAGTCAAATAAACTAAGAAAGAATAACAAAACTTAACAAGTGATAATAAAGTAACATTTTCTTTAAATGTTAAAATTCTAAAACATTCTTATTTTTCACCAGACTCATTCACAGAAGTAGTTGTCCCATTATTAATTTGTGGATTCTTTTTTTCTTCTTTTGAGACACTATCCCCACTACAACTCACCAATTCGGTTGCAGGAGGGGTAATTCTCTTAGGTGATTGAGTGGTAGAGGCCGGAGGTGATTTAAGTGGTGACTTGGGTGGTGACTTCGACGTTGGTTCACAAGTTGGTTGAGGAGGGGGTAATACAGGATGGATATCTACTGTAGCACCATTAAAGTGTTTAACTTCAGCTTTGTCAATGCTTTCTATATGACTTTGTTGTTGTACGAATTTATCTGCCAGTTCTTTTGAAGCTTGGTCCCAAACAAAACTACCATGACGCTACAAAACAGAATGACATTATTTTTTACTAATAAGTAACATGAAAATAAACAAATATATTCTAATAAAAGGTTTATGAGAATGTTATACACAAATCGGCTTTGTAATTTTCTGAAAACGTATAAAAAGAGACCAGCTCTATTTTCTAGAAATTTGAAGAACATTTTCTAAAACAGCATCTTTTTCATAGCATTTTGATACTCAAAATGTTAGCATCGCTCAAGATGAGGGTTTTTTTTATAAGACTTTAGTTTTGTGACTATTAATATATCTCTGCATACGATCGTGTGAATTAGAGTTTTTATCCCTTTTCTACATTTACGGGTTCATTTATCAATTTATTTTCTACAGTTGTATTTGATTAAAGCAATACAATTATCAACAATTCTTTTTTAAATAAGAAATAGTTTTACATAGTTTTATTACACTTAAGTGTTGTACAGCTTAATACAATCAAAGCATTTTAATTTAAGTTGTATATGAAGTTATAATGAATTAACACTATTAAAAAATATTGTTCGAGATAGATCGATCTCCTTATGTTTTACAAACAACATTCAGTACAGCAATGTGATTCTGGTATTTTGTGATAATACTTACTTTCCAAAAAACGACATCCAAAACATGCTGTACATTGTTGAATTTTATTCATACATACCACACGTATGCATCATTTATTACTCTGGCATGATGAACGAGAAAAGGGTTAATTTAACAAATCAGCATGTTTAGTTGAAATGATTAAAGCAAAATATTTTTGGTAAAAGCAAGTACTAGGGTCTCACCAAAAGTTTTGGACAACAGAAATATGTGACCATTTGTTCTAAAAAAAAAATACACAATTTATTTGCACCCTATCATTTTAATAAAAAAAAGGCCTCCTCTAAATTTCAGTTTGTTTTAATTTCACTTCCCATAAAATAAAAATATTTCAGAACCCACTTATAATTACTGAAGAAGTACATGTACTTCAAGAAAATATGATAATGTTTAGCAAAACAATAAAATACAATGACCTGCATACAAAATACATGTTAACGGTGTCGCCTATAGCATGATGTCTGTTTATTCCGCAATGAATTAGTATGAGCTTTGTTAAGTTCGACATTCTGGCGCCTAGCGACAATAATTTGGTGTCGTCGGGCTTCAGATGCTATCGGACTATGGCGGATCTGACTTTAATAATAGGAATGAACGAATTTTGTTAGATTAATGGAAGCTTTTACATTTCAAAGATGTCTAGATGAGAGTACGTGATTTTATTTTACTTACAAGCGGATACTTCTGAAACTGAGTCAATAAAATTGAAAGCAATTTTTCCAATTACAGAATAAGATTTAGTTCTAATGCAAACTATTTTTTAAACTTATGTAAATAAACACTCATTTAATAAACTGTTAACACAGAGATATGTCTCGCCTATTTGTTATTTTGATAATGCAAATGTTAAAATTAAAATAGCAATACTTTAACATGTAAGTTATGCAAATATTCAAAGTCAATGAACCATGACTGAAGGTACAGGGCTAAACAATCTCCATGGAAATGAGATGTGCCAATGCTAATACAACTGCAAACCAAATACCATTGACTTTTCATAAGTCGTTCCCTTTAAACAAACCTAAACTCAAACATTAACTTGTAAACCATGTAAAAGTTTCAAAGTCAATGAACCATTATTAAGGGGTGGGGTTGTATAATCTCCATGGAAATGAAACTTGCAAATGCCAATACATTTGTATACCGAATATCATTGACTTAACATTAGTGGTTCATCTTAAACTGAACTAATCACAAACTAATACATGTAAACTAAGCAAAAGTTTCAAAGTCAATAGACCATGACTGAGTGGTAGGGACCAAATATTCTCCATGGAAATGAGATGTGCTAATGCTTATACAACTGCATACCAATTATCATTGACCTACCACTTACGGTTCCCCTTAAACTGACCTAAACTCAAACTAATACATGAAAACTAAGCAAAAGTTTCAAAGTCAATAGACCATGAATGAGGGGGCGGGGCCAAGTAATCTCCATGGAAATGAGATATGCCAATGCTTATACAACTGCATACCAAATATCATTGACCTACCACTAGTGGTTCCCCATAAACTGACCTAATCACAAACTAATACATGTAAACTGAGCAAAGTTTCAAAGTCAATAGACCTTGACTGAGGGGGCGGGGCCAAATAATCTCCATGGTAATGAGATGTGCCAATGCTAATACAACTGCATACCAAATATCATTGACCTACCACTAGTGGTTCACCATGAACTAGACCTTATCATAAACTAAAACATTGTTGACGCCGCCGCCGTCGTCGTCGTCGTCGTCGCCGACGCCAGAAACAGCATACCTATGTCTCGCTTTTTGACTCCGCCAAGTCGAGACAAAAACTTAGAAAACCAATTTTGCATAACTTAATTGAAAATTCTGTCTGACGTTTAATGCATTTGTAATTGTTTTTACAAGTCATTTCAGTTCTTTCAATTCACATTGACTTCCGACGAAAATATTGTAACTCGCTAAGTTTTTCTGGTAAAAAAGAAGATAAACTTTAATATTCAAAATGTCTAATTGCCCAATACAAATATTGATTCGAGAGTCAATTTTGAAATAGCAACACAGTACAAATTAGTACAAGACCCGTTCTGATATTGTTCAACATATAAAACTACTTTTGTATCTAATTGTTAAGATCAAAATACAGTTTTCAACAATAAATAATTCTCTAAATCACCGAGTCTGTACAATGGTTGAGAATAAGATCTACCATCAAAAATGGATTCTTATAAGGACAAAATAACTAAAGTACATAAGACTTGAAATATGTATTTAACTTAAACATTTAGAAGGTGTTAAGCCGTGTTTCTCAGAACACACCACTCCCACTTTTTCCATCCATATGAGTGAATTAAAAGAAAAGTACCCAGGAGGAGCAACTAAACATCATTGAGATGGGAGCCATCTCTGTGGGCTCCGCTGTGAATAACGTGTGGTAAAAAATTTGTATCTTTACCATAGGACATGAGGTTGTCATCTGAAACCGAAGTTTTTGACTTGACCTTTGACCTAGGAAGTTGTACATACATTATGACACACCCTCTGGTGTTGGTTAATATACATGTCAAGTATAAACTTTGAAATCATAACGGTTCTCTAGATATAGAGCGGACACGATCTTTACCATAGGACATGGGGTTGTCAACTGAAAACCTAAGTTTTTGACCTTGACCTTTGACATAGGAAGTTGTACATACATTATGACACATCCTCTGGTGTTGGTTAATATGCATGTCAAGTGTAATCTTTGAAATCATAAAGGTTATCAAGATATAGAGCGGACACAAGCTTTACCATAGGACATGGGGTTGTCAACTGAAATCAAAGTTTATGACCTTGACCTTTGACCTAGGAAGTTGCACAAACATTATGACACACCCTCTGGTGTTGGTTAATATACATGTCAAGTATAAAGTATGAAATCATAACGGTTCGCTAGATATAGAGCGGACACAATATTTTACGGACGGACAGACGGACGGACTGATCACTATAGGGAGACCCGCCATTCGGCGGGTCCCTAATAAAAATCATTTCATATTAATTATTGACCTCTATAATAAAGATATTACAGACAAACGTAAACAAGAACGATAAAAGTAAAACAATATTAATAATACCGTATTACCGTATGCTTTCTAAAGGCAATCTCTATAACTACTAAAAATATAAATAAAGAAATCATGCTTTCAAACACTCTAGCATTTGGTATAAAGTAATACGGTGTGCGTGTACATGTTTAACTTACTTTATTTCTAATTGGATAATTAGGATCTGCTCGACTATTATACTGATGTTCATATGATATCTTTTCCTGAAATATTCTTTTCTGGCCATCTGTAGCCCCGAGAAAATTCACTGGAACTAAAACGTAAGAATACATTTGTATAGAAGGATTCAAATAAGAAATAGAGTTGTTTTTATCATAATAAAAGAAAAACTGCATAATCAACATTGAAACTATGTCTCTATGGTATCTTTCGCCTCTCTTTTTTCATTAAATATATGTATATTGTTGTCTCTTTGATTCTTTATAAGTACGAAACTAGGTTCTGTTCGAATATTATTTTAAGACTTTTTCAAATATCCTGGTTCAATTTTATGAAAATTGAACTTTGATTTTTAAAATAGTCCTTGGTTGCACAACAATTTATTTTGCTGTCGAAACATTGTAAAAGTTTGGTAAAATATTGTTACGTACCAACTCCATGAGCTGCATTTTTATTTGGATTAGCTTCATGTCGTGTAAATCCTTTCGCCGAAAATGGAGAATCCCTCATATATCCTTCTCTATATATTGTATCTTTTGTTTTGGGAGGTATCTGTAATGGTTCGTCAGATGTACGTGAAGGCCACCATAAGTTTTGCTCATCGTGTGTTTCGCCTGTGTATACACTACAAATTGGCTCGTTTAATACGCGAACATTATGTCTAAGGAATCCACAGCTATTCGGATGGGGTCTGTGAACTCGATAATCTGGTACTTCCTTTGGTAGAACTTGTGTTGATCTGTTATAAATGTCTGGTAGTGCTACTCCTCGTTTTAGTTGTTCCCGGTCGGGAACTGGGAATTTGTTATCGCCGGGAAATTTTGGGTGAGCGTCTTCTGCATTTGTACTGATTACTCTGAATGAATCTGGACTATAAATACAAAAATAAAATCAGTGACTTTCTAGAAGGAAACAGTTTATTAAACTATTTTTTCATGGTAAATTTTATTGTAAACGGCGATAATAGTACTCGCAGTTACTGAAAGCTGGTTAAAACCCAATAACAGCTAATATATAAATCAAGTTCTCCAAGACTAAAGTATCAATCAGTACACATCCTACCACTTGTACCATTGCACTTTCGAACCCAAAATTATCATTTCGTACCACAAATTAGTAATTCCGTACCATGAATAAATACCATTTCGTACAATACATAGAAATATTCATACCATATAGACCAACTGCTTGTTTATCATTCCGTATTATGTGGAATAAAAGCGACGCTTTCCAGTGTCCCCCGCCGATGCACATACATTATCATTCCGAGAGCAATAATTACAACGAAAATGTCCACTGTGTTGTTTTAAGCATACCGGCCCCACTCATAATTCATAGTATAGGAAAACATGAAGTAGGTGTCTGACCAGCCTTTATATAATGTCGGTGTGAGAAATAAAGCGCTTATAATACAATCTAACATGTTATTTCTTTTTCCAATGGACATAACTCCAGTAAAAATAGTTGATCGGCACTGATCATTGAACTCGTCTAATGCCTTGCTGAAAAAAAATCTGACAAAAATGTACGCGTGAGAGTACTAACAGTACAATTTTCCAAAGAATATGATGAATGTGGTTTTTCAAATATTTGGATTACTCAAGGTTTTGGTAACGATATATGGTTAAAAAAAATCACCACAACTGCGATTACAAGACCAATGCAAACAGTACTGGAATACACTATTACAAGAGTCTACAAAAGCAGTTAATTACAGAATTTTTAAGTTAGCATTAAATTTTGAAAAATATTTTGAGATCTTGGATCTGCACGAAAGTATTATTCTATGTAAATATAGAACCACAAACCACAGACTCCCAATAGAAACAGGTGGAGGTGGAATAATGTTGATAAATGATAGAAGATGTAATCTCTGTAATATATGTAGCACTGGAGACGAACTTCATTATCTGCTAGAATGTCCATTTTTAACGACAGAAGAAAATTATACCTCGAAAAATACTATTTGGCTCAAGTATAAAAGTTAAAGTTAAAGTTTAGAAAATTGACGAGCAAATTAAACAAAAAGTCAGAGCTAAAAAGATTATGCAAGTTCATAAAAAACTAAGGATTTTCTTATTCCAGGAATAGATTACCTTAGCCGTATTTGGCACAACTTTTTGGAATTTTGGGTCCTCAATGCTCTTCAACTTTGTACTTGTTTGGCTTTATAACTGTTTTGATCTGAGCGTCACTGATGAGTCTTATGTAGACGAAACGCGCGTCTGGCGTATTAAATTATAATCCTAGTACCTTTGATAACTAATTATGCAAGTTCATAAAGTGTGTAAACAAAAATGTGGGTCCTCCTGGCTAAAATGTATATTATTTTGAACCCACTGTATTGTATATAAATGTTTGTAAATAGATGCATATTCCTGTACATAGTGTGCACTCTCTCTGTACCTATGTATCTGCAATGGTTATGAGAATAAAGATATTGGATTGGTATTGCCGATCAATTACTAGAGGTTCATAATTGTATTAAATATATTGAGATGATTTACATTACAATTAAATTTTTCGTTTTCCTATTATCGGTTTCATAAAGTTTAATTTGTGAACAGGTTGATATTAAACTAAATTTTTCAGCTCTAAAATATATGGTAAATTAACCAACTTTCGTCAGGAAATGCAGTGAGGAAGATAACAAGGTATATATTAATTCCAAAGACCTGTTAGAGTACATACAGTCTAAGTCTATTTCCTCTTGCAGTAGTATTAAAACATTTGACTTTTCTACCCTTTACCCAAGTATTCCCCATTCCAAACTAAAAGACCAATTGAAAGAATTGGTCCAGCTTTGTTTCATAGGGGAACAAATCGTACTTTGTAAAAAATCACTCGGATACGAAAAAGAAAAAAAATTCTCTGTAACTAACATTATCAAGATGCTCGATTTTTTTATTAACAACATATTTGTTACGTTTGGAGGACGTGTTTTTCAACAAACAATCGGCATTCCCATGGGAACCAACTATGCTCCTCTTCTTGCCGACTTGTTCTTTTATTCATATGAGACTGATTTCATACAGGAGCTTCTTAGGAAGAATGAAAAGAGGCTAACTTATTATCCTTTAACTTCACGTTCCGCTTCACGTTCCTCTCACTAAATAATTCAAAGTTGTGGTGACTATGGTGAACGCATCTATCCCATCGAACTGTCAAGTCTTCCTCATATCTTGACTTGCATCTAGAAATTGACAATAAGGGTCAGTTGAGAATAAACCTTTACAACAAAAGGGAGAATTTTAGCTTCCCAATTTTGAACTTTCATTTCTATGTAGCAACATTCCAGCAGCCTGCATATGGATTATATTACATATATCTAAGGCCTTTTGATAATCATACGATATTCCAGTGCATGCATTTCCTATCATGACTTCCTTGATACAGGGTTGCTGCTTACTATGAAGATATTTAACAAAGAGTTCCAAGTGTTGAAGTTGAAATTATCCCTTCGAAAATTTTACAGACACCGTCACGAATCTGATGCCAATTATAAAATATCTGTTACTATTCGGTCCTCTTTTCCTCGATTGTTACCTACCTAATTGAAGTTATCGCCATAAATTTCATGCTTGTATAAGAACTTGCACCTTATTTGAAAAATTAAAAAAATTAACACCATGGACAGTTTCCCCTGTTTCACTACCGGGCTCAAACTCCTAAATTTGATGAAACTTGATAGGAATTTGAATATTTACATGTTTTTGTGCAGTTTTGCATCAATTGACACCAGTAACCAAAGTGAATTCATTTGTACGTGAATGATATTTCATAGCTTAATGTCTGATGGAAGTTGTTGAAAAATATATGGCAATCACTGAATAAAAATCCTTTTATTATTTAAACCTTGATTCGTTATTCAAATTGCATTGACAAGTATCTTTGATTGTTCTGTAAAAGTTTTAAACCAAAAATTAAACTTAAATAATAATCACTGATAAATAAATTTAAAGAGTGTTTCCATATTCTATGTATATGTTTCAATTTATATATTCTACTTGTATAATTAGTACATACACCTTACAATTAATCAATATTTTGACAAGAAGACGCACGTCTTTCCAATGGCACGTGTATCCAATTAACGAGTTTAATCTCATTAAATAGGTAAGGCTGTCAATATGGTACATATGACATCCTAGCAAGTGGACCGCGGTACGAAATGGTATTCTTATAGGTCTTTCATATGGTGCGAAATGATCATGGTACGAATGACATCCCGTTCATTCTACCTTTTTTTTATTGTTTATTTGTTTTATATTGGGTATGTTGTAACACAACAAAATTCCCTTTCAACGATGTAACAATATGACAGGTTACTACTGAACTTTTTTATGTTCACATCTCTCAGAGTTTTTTTATGTACACATCCCTCAGACTGGAGCTTTCATTGAAAATCCCCTTCATACTTCAAACACAGTGATAGAGTGATAAATAAATTTAAAACAAAGTCGTTGGTCGTCCTCTCTATGTTATATCAAACCATGGAAGTAAAATGCACTTAACTATTATATCTAGTGGATACCAGGCCTTAAAACTTTTCAAACTGCATAGGTTAGTCTGTACTCAGAGTAAGTTTTAATGTGAAAACATACCCATTTTTGTTCTTTGTTATGATGAACCTTATTTTCAGTAAAAAATGGAGGGTAAAACATTATCTGGATCTAAAAGTGTAAAAGCAACTGAATATTTGAAGATCTTCACTGTCTTAGCGCACATGACATTGCCAGATTATCTGTTCCATTCTAAAATAAAGACTCTGCCTTGTTGTTCATTTCTGCACACTATTACTTCAAAGCATCTACTCTTGTTGAGAATAAATTTGCCAATTATATTTGATGTCCTAAAGTCACTATATTTTTAAGTTACGATGTTAGGATTGGGTTTCTCCTTGGTTTCTTGCTGCAGGGCTGGTACCATCTCCTGGACACCTTGTAGAGAAATTCTAGACTACTTAAATGAAGCTTGTCTTTAAAAGCTTGTAGTTCTGATATGTCAGTAATACTACCCTTCTCTCTGTTGGTATACTTGTCACTAAAGAATCGCACCGTTTGTCTCTGGTTTCATTCTTGTTTGTATTGAGCTATAATTCTTTTTTTCCATATAATAATATGCAAAATTGTAAGTAAATGAGTCATGAGGACAGACAAATATACTCAATTGCTTAATAACAAATCTTATTGTAAAAATTATAACGTTCTGATTAATGCCCGACATCAATTTGTATAACCAATTTGCATGATCATGATAAGCCAGTGGACTGCATATCATTTGACAGTTCTAGTTATTCAGGAGCATAAATTCTAGAGGGGTCAATTTGGGGTCTTTGTACATGGTGTATGGGTCTTTTTACCATGAAAAACCTTTATCAACATAAAAATTCTTTTTGGTTTTCAATTTTGCACAAAAATTTCCACAAAACAATTTAAAGGAGCACACGATTTCCTGCAAATTTGTATATCTGGTTGACGAAAAAAAAGTGTTATGATGAACAATGAACATGCAAAATCCACTATACAAAAAAAAACTGTCGGGAGCACCTGCTTCATATTAATTAATATTATTTTTTTTATTTAAAAGCATCTAGATTGAAAGACTTATATACTAATCATCTATGAATCCAAGATTAAGTATAAAAAATTGAGATGTAATAAAACTACCAATGATACTTTTTTATAAGATAGATTGGTGTTTGTTCTAAGCTGACACATTTTGTATTTTGTTTTAGGGCTATGCAGAAATTAAATTAATCCACAGCAAAACGAACTATACTTGTTAATGGATGACATTTATCATGACCAAAATATGAAGGAGCCAAATACACAAAATAATTGGAGGCATCAAAACAAAACAAACAGCTAAAACATTCTTAATGAAAATTAAACGAATCTAAAATAAACACACTGCTTTTATGACATGATAAATTAAGATTTTACTATATCTTACTTGTATCGTTCTGGTACTCGCTTTTTACGGGCTAACGGTGGCATGTATAGCGTCATTGTTATTGAAATTACGGGAATCCGATATTTTCTAAAGGGAAACCATTTAATTAGCCGCCATATTTGTTGACAAACGTTTCCACAGCGATATCGTTCGGAGTACCTTTATACTTATCTTTAAACTGATACGCAGTTTTTGTTTCGTACTTCATTATTGTGAGAAAGGATAAATAAAAGATAGAATATCTATTCTATAAATTTTAATTATCACATTTACATTACAATTGCTACATTTCTGACAGGTCGAAAAGTAATCAGGTTTAGTTAAGTAGAGCTATAAAATTTCACTTGACAACAACAATACAATATGGCGACGATGGTCAGATTGCTGCGGCAGACTGACCAAATCGTTGAAGATTCGTACGAAAGGAAAAAGTAAGCATAATAAAACTACCTTCCTAAATCATAATTTTGAAAACAATCCCTGACTATTTCAGAAAATATACTTGACAACTGGATTATATGATAAAATAAACCCTAATTAGTTCGCTTCTCTCATAGGTCAAAAAGAATAATACATTTTTTTGGCCACATCTGGGTTGGGGAACTATCATTAGCTGATTACTTTGTGTTCATGTAGACTTCAGTGCAGATCAGAGGAAAATAATCATCTGGTAGCAGCAATAACAAACACAAAGACAATGTAAACAATAGATCAACCATAACTCAGAAGTAAAAACAAAATTGCCTCAAAGCTGTATAATTTATAAATATCAAACTACCAAACTCAATAATCATGATAATAACTAATGTTTCAAGGGGAAATAACATTCAAGCATATTCCTTACAACTGGAACTGATGTTATAAATAAATTCTGTTTCTTGATACCCTTCTGAAAGAGTTGCAAAGTTGTTATTCATTCATCCAATCAACTATATAGTCATTTGTAAAGAAAATAACCCAAGTTCAAATTAGCGATGCAATCACATTTATATTTTGGCACTGGCTACGATTACCAGCAAAAGGAAAAAATAAGAAATATTGTTACTTCTGAGGCTACTTGCTTAAATGTATTTCCGGACAGGGACCTGATTTCATATGGAAATTGCAGGTACATGTAACAATGATATCATTTTTCATTGTTACCTGCTAAAAACTCTCCAAATTATGTCTTTTTTGTGTGTAGCATCGTGTTACTTTGTACTGTCTTTGTGTCATTGCCCCGTATACATTGTTTAGTATGTTTGAACAAATTTTAAATTATATGAATAGAAAATTACTTATTGAACATAGCAATGAGATACAACAAATTTGGAGGGAAATCATATGATTCTCCTTCCTTATATTTTACACAAAGACCTGAAAGAAACAATACCAGAAGATAGTAGTGAGATTTTGGTAAGCAGGAGACAATATAACAAAATGTAGAAAAATATGTTACATAAGACCAGAAATGCCTGTAATTATGCAGCTACAGGTCACAAAATACTGAAATTTGACAACTGTACCATGTGATACCTTTTTGGACACATGACATGTCTACTGCATGTTTGTCAATTGCATCTGTTTAAGTCATAGTTAATGGGGCAATGCATTTGTTAGTGGTTTTAGCTCACCATGGTTTTTTTGTTGTTACTTTCATAATTCAGTGAGGCTGAACTGCAGAGACAGAGAGAATATTTAGCATCTGTAAAAATTCAGGCCAATTTTAGAGGATCTCAAGTACGATCATACTTCACGTAAGTAAATTTTTATGATACACAATTCAGGGTTGGCAAAAACCCGGGTTTCATGAGTATTGCCCAGCCCAGTGGGAAATACTGGGAAACCCTGGGTTTTACCGGGTAATACTGGGCAATACTGGGTAATATGAAATACTGGCCTGAATTTTAAAGAGGATTCAGTGATTAATCACAAATGCAATACACTAAAGTCGAAGAATTCATTTTTTTTTAAACAAATATAACTAATATTAAGAAATAACAAATCTATGTAAGGAAAATTACTTTTAAACATTTTTTGTTCATTACTTAAAATGTTTACTAAGTTTGAGCATATGTTTATGTACATCACTAATTAATCAGTAATTATTCAGATAATAATACAGATTTGTTTATATTACAATAATCAGCCTTTTGATTTCTATAAGTGTTCATGGCCTGTCCTCTTAAGGTGTTTATTCAGCAATATGATTGTATAGCAATTAAAATTTACAATTCACTTAAAAACACTGCAATAAAATGCATTTTTCAACTTGGATTTAATATTGAAACAAAGCTTGGAAATTAACAAGGTATCCTGATATGTCCAAGACATATTCTGCCTACATAGAATTAGTGGCGAAAAGGAAGAAATTGAATTTTCAATCTTCAGGAATGACTCTCAATGGTTATCTGTATAAATGTATATATTTAGCTATAATGCTATTAAACTACAACAAGTCTTTACTATTTTGTGTAAAAATAAGCTTGATAAATCATATTACCCAGTATTGCCCAGTATTACCCATTTCTAGGAGTATTGCCCAGCTCGGGAAAACCCGGTTTTTCCCATCCGGGTAATACTTTGCCAACCCTGATACACATTGTAAACATTTACTCATCTATATTATAACATAATAATAGTCCTTTTGTCAGGGGAAAATAGTGAAACTTGATGAATAATTTTGAACAACATTATAATGGAGTTTCCCCCAAAAAAATTTATGTTAATGAGATAAGATTTATAAGGAATGTGCTTTAGTTTTTATATTTTTGAATTAACTTCAATGAAGCGGATGTGACATGTTTAATTAGATAATGAGGGAACTGTTCAAACTAATTACTTGAATTTGTGTATGATTTTAGACACTTAAATAACTGTGCTACAGTATTACAAAAGAGTTGGAGAGGCTATGTTGGAAGACAGTCTTTCAGAGTTATTGTGAAGGTAAATATTGATGATAATCTAGATTATAAACCAAAATATAAACATTTAGATCACTTGTATGTCAGAAAAGAATATACAAGGAAGTTTTTAGTTTTGGTAGCCTAAAATCAGTTCAAAGTCAGCTAACTTAATTGCAAAAACAAAAAGTGTGTTTTCTTGTTAACAATTTAAGGCAAAAATACAAAATAGTAAACTAAACCATTCTGAATATGCATGAAATATTTGCCACTTGATTTCGAGCAAACACTAATGTTTTTCAACTAAATGCATATTTTTGTTTTGTTTAAATTAGTGACAAATTTTTGGCAAACAGTAAAATAACCACCACTAATTATAACATATTTAAAACTAATGTCAATATTATTTGAAAATTATTATTTTAGAATACATACAGTATGTATTTGATGTTCAATATGGCCATTTTCAAAATGCAGCATGAAGTAGACTTGTATAATGATATAGATTTGATTAAAAGGAGATTTGGGGGTATTCAGTAATATTAATAAGACAGCAATCAAATAACTCAATAAAACAAAAAATTGTCAGTTGTTGATACTTATTAAGATCAGGTGCTCTGTGCAAAAGAATGACACAAACTACATGTACTCTGAAATTATTTGCATGGTAAAGAGAAGATGGCATGAACTAACCTTCCATCTTTCACAAACTTATTTTGATTTTATTTTGATTTTCAGAATAGTGTGTTGATTATGAAACTGAACCATTTCAATGCTATGGCAACTCAGGTGTGTATTTGTGTAGAAATATAGAGAAAAAAATTATGTTTTATTTGATTACACAAGAAACTTGGAATTTTTTTCATTGTACAATTTTTATGAGTAATCATTCAAAGCAGACCTCTGTAATTATAAATTAAAAGAGAGGATGATGAATTTATTAACAAAAATTTGTAGGTTAAGGTTAAGGATAAAAGTAAAGTACCTCTATTTTAATAAAGATTTATTTTGAAAAAGAAGATTCATTTTCATACTTATTTGTTTTCTAAACTATCTAAATATTTTGTCCTGAGATTTTGTCATCCCAAGATATTCCTTTACAAATAAGACTAATTTTACTATCAACATTTGAATTACCCATCATATTTGAAGCTGATATAATGATTTTACTTGTATATATTTTTAAGGTACAAAAGATATGGCGAGGATATTATGTTAGGAAATATGTGTACAACTATTACAGTCAAAAGAGATATTTGGAAGCACTTATAGTCAAGAATGCTATCGTTAGGTAAAATAATGTTTCATATTGATCAGTACCATTAGGATGTTTATATCCCACTGGAAAAATAATTAGTTGGAAATTGCTTTGTGTCTAATTAGTTAAATTTAAACTTATTCATTTTTTCTACTATAGGATTCGTTTTGAGAGACGAGGAGGGCTACTTTTATAAACCATTTAGAGTTGTTTTTATTACCTCTATTTCTTCCTTATTTCTCTTTTTTGAAAGATCACCTATTTTAAAGGAGAGTTAAGTACAAAATGTATCATCAAAGACATGAGTTTGTTTTTTAGTTTGTATTGTTATGTAGCTGTATCCTGAGAGTTTTATCTTGGGTTTATTTGGCATAGATTTGTCATATTCTGATCTTTATACTAGGAGCGAACTAGAAGACTATACAGAACAACAAGAAAACTTGAGAAGAAGACAAAAAGAACATGAAGAAAGAAAAACAAATGAATTTTTGGCTCGTAAAAATCATCATCTCATCAGTACAGAAGTTATTCCAGGAATCTATAATTCACCATTTAACCCGTGAGTTACATAAATAAAGTTATTTACAGAATCAACAGAACATATAAAAAAAATAAAAGATTTAAGTAAACACCGGTTAGGATATTGTTCACAGTTTTGAATGCATTTATCTGTAAGATTTAAAAGTGTTAAAAATATCCTTGAAATTGGATGGAATCATTAAGATTCTGTTATTTCATCTTAAATGACATTTAACAAGATTATAAGAACATACCACTGAGAATTAAAAAAACCTAGAGCTTTACGTGAATTCACAAAAGGATACCCCCAACTCATACTATTTGTATATATATATATTGAAGTAAGTTCATTTATCGCCTCTTTAACATGTTGGACAGGATTATATTCATTTATGAAAATCCTCTGGTTGTGTTCTAGAATTGTGAAAAAATTCATCAACATCCTTCTAGTCATATAGGAGGGATCGTGCTTACAAGGCACATGGACTGGGGGCTTCCTATAAACCACCAGGGGAGAAAAATACTTTGAGGTAAGAGTTCTCAGTCGACTGATTGATTGTTGGTTGCTTAATGTCCAGTGGCAAATATCATGCATGTTCAGGATAAAGAATTCTCAGTGGAAATGAAAGCAAAACCTTAATACATAATACGCTGTACATTAAACAGACATCCATCATCATCATTAATACATAACAATAATTAACAAATAAGAAATAAAAAAGTACTGTCTTTTGGTGTGTATAAAACACAGTCATGCATAGTACACACCCCCTTTTTCGCCCTTGAAAATTGAGAAAAAAAATTCTTCTTGCGCTTAAAACGCAGGGACTTTCTGGAAAAATCCCAATTGGAAACTCGGTAAAAGGGTCAATTGAAAAGAGATTTCTTTTTGGGAGACAAATTGAACTCCAGTCCTGGTTGATTACAGGATAATGAAAATATTGTTGCAGAATTTAGCAAATGATGTTTGATTCTTTATTGTTTCCACAAATGTGTATTGCAGAAATTTTGAAAAACCAAATATCATTATAATTGACAGAAATACATGTATAACACTTTGACTGATCGTAATATTGTGTTACTAAGTATAAATAAGATTAATTTGACTGTTATTAAGTTCTGGTTTATGGTTAAAAATAAACTGACAAAAAAAAATTCAATTAAAACGACTAATGATATTTATAAAATAACTGTACTTTTTTTTGTGGTTTCAGTTATCCATCAGAGCAAGAATTTTTATTGAGGAGTGTACCACCACTTAAACATGAGAAGACAAAGAAAATAGGAAATACATATGATCCTACATGTAGAAGCTATGAATGTCCAAAACCTAAACAGTTGCCACCTATAGTTGTGAAACCACAGGTAAGCTTAGCACAGAAACAAGTTTTAAACTACTGATAAAAAATGATAGTGGTCAAGAAAACCTAAATATGGCTCTATAATTGAATCATGTCATATTCCATCTTAAAGCCAATAATGATATTCTTAAATATGCAAATGTAAACAAACCAAACTATTTTCAGTTTACTGACCACTTTAGACAATGTGAAAAGCTACAAAAGAATGATATTTCACGAGTTTTTGTTGTAGGATTTGTTGTTTTTAAATTTTTATACTGAAATAATTTTTAAAGTTGTAAGCAAGAGTGAATCTAAGGTTAACATGCAATGCTAGACAATCTAGACAACAGGCATATTTCAAAATGTAATCTTGTATTTCATAACTGAACTTTATTTTATAGGGTCCATTCAGAGATCCAACAGAAGTGCAGAAACAGAGGTACAAAGGATTCCAGCCAACATTACGTGTAGCTACATCCTTTACATCACTAGAAGAAGCCAGACAAATCTTGAAAGCAGAGGAATGGGTCACAAGACTTAATGATGATATGTAAGTTTCCTACTGAAGATTTAGTACTAAATAACAAAACAATTACTTATCTTTCAAAGGAGTAGAGTCTGGAACCCTTTTAAAGGGCAAATGTTTGTATTGCTAAATGTATTATATTTAAAAGTGTAATAAAATTTTTTTTATTAAATCTGCTTCATATTTATATAAATATTAGCCTGAAATAGGAATAGATTTCATTTTTTCGTCCATTTATGTCGCGAAAGTGAGATAATGTGATCCTAGATTCCGTCATTGGCGTTGCGTCGGCGCTGTCAACATTTAGGTTCAGTCTGTGGTTAAATTTATTTTAGACATCATCAACTTTGTCAAACCTTCATGGAATTTTATGAAATTTGGACAGAAGCTTGTTTATGACCAAAATACAGTATTCAGAGCAAAATTTAGAAAATATTTATTTTCATTTTTCCGTATTTTACTGATAAATGGACTCATTTTTTTTTACAGTTAACATTCAGATTCAGTCTGAGGTTAAAGTTTTTCAGTCATCAATAATTTTTTATGGTTAACATTTACAGACAATCTGGGATTAAATTTTTTTACATGATAAATTTGTAAACTTTCATGAAACTTGGACAGAAGCTAATTTTCAAGACCAGGAAATAGCATCTAAAGAATTTTTAGAATTCTGTATTTCACTGATAAATGGACTCACTTTTGAAGTCAATATTACACTTTTACACTGACAGCAGCAATCGCAGGCGAGACACAGGGTTCCTCGGAATGTCTTACGAATTTTTCTAGTTTTTGTCAACTTTCTAGACCTTTTTTTCATTATTTTATGTGTAGCCCCATCCTTCACCCATTGACATTTTGGTTTAATAGTAAAGAATATGGTATTTATAAAAAATATTTCACCAAAAATATTTGTTGGCTAAGGGTGGTGCCATTGATAATTTACAGAAAACTGTCATAAATTTAGTAGAATTCTGCCAAAAAATAGGTCTTTTATGAAGTTTGCCTACATTTATGACGTCACATATACATCACTATAACAACACAATGGATCGTTTCTGAATCTAAAGGACTACTGGTCATTTTATTGTTCCTACCCAAAATGGAAATAACGTCACATCATTGGTTGAATTTCAATTGTTAAGGACTTTTTTAACCTATCACGACGCTTTGGTGTACGCTTTTGAAAATATTACCCAGAATGCATCAGATTCTGAAATGGCAAATTGGTGAACAGCTCCTTTAACTGAAACAATAGGACATTTTATTATAAGTTTTCATCAATATTCACAACATTATCACAGTAAAAAATCAGATTTTTAGGACCAAAATTATGAGTTAGTGAACCAGCTACTTTTTATTACACTACAGGCTACTAGATGCCGCAGATTGTGCATTTTTTGTTTTTAACCATTGTTCTATGTAGTTGCAACAATGTGATAAATGCTCTCAGATATTATGTTGAAATGAAGATAAACTTGCTTCGTGTCTTTCAATTGTTAGAAAGAAATTTCAAAACTCCTGTTCTAAAAAATAATGAGTGGAGAAACAAATATTAGAAACATACAATAAACTTTAAGTATATATCAATATATCATATAAAAATAGTTATTTCCTAAATTATTTATCAGTACCAGTATATTGTAAAATATTTCCTAGTTACAAAGATTATCTTTTAGGAATGTATAAGGCACATATTTATATTACAGATTTCAACCATTTAAAAGAAGAGATCGTAAATATGAGCCATTGTTACACACAACTTCCAAATTTGGTCATTTACCATTTGGAACAAAATATTACAGAGAAGAATTTCTTGACAAACATATTACACCTAAGGTAATTTTACAATAAATGTCTCATATTTAAATAGTTTATTTTCATTCTTATTTAGTATTTTATTTTGTTTACTTTATGTTTATTATTTAATTTTGTTCAAACATTTAATAGTAATTATTTATTTAGTTATTATATGTCTAGAGATTTTTTGTACTTATCTGGCCTTTTTGGAAAATGTGATTTATAATTACCTTCAGCAATATAAAGATTGGTCATGCACAATTTTAGTATGTATACTATAAGTTTCAAATATAAAGTTTTGAAAAGTAAGAAAAAAAAGGAAAATGTTTAGTTGATAAAGAACTGGGAAAAAAAATATTTTGTGGGAGTCCCCACTTGTCTGCCATTTACCACATTATAAGCTGAGTTTGGAATATAGGGTGTGAATACCAGTATTGATTGAGCCTATAAAGGATCATTTATATATAGATAATCTAGTTCCATGGAGGTCCTATTTTATGAGTTTTATCACAAACTAAATCAATGTAAAGATATGCATTGGACATAGGTATAAGTGTATCAGATAAATGATACCAGCCTGTCAGAGGGATCCTCTTTAACTACATGGATTTCATATTTATGCATTTTTTATTACTAGAATTAAGTTATTTTTCATGAGACTTTGATTGAAAAAAGATTTGATTGATAATTTGTACATTATTTACTTTTCTTGTTTGAACATCTTACTAACTTATTTGTTATTGTTTAAGCATTTTTATATGATGCAAGATCCAGAAATAATAGAATGAGTATGTTTGTGTGAGGTTACAGTATAAATGTAATCAGGGAAAATATTAACAGTAAATTACAGGAGTTTAAAGGGAAATATTTATGTGACTTTCTTGCTCATATCAAACTTAATGGTGTTAGTATTTAGGACAAACTTAAATTGTATGCACTTAGTACAAAGTCAAATAGTTATATTTTTTTTCTAGATTTGAGTGCTTTCCAATAGTTCAGATTTGAAATGGTCATACTTGTAATCAAAATTTCTATTTTTACCCTGACATTTGAAATGTGTTAAATAAGATAAATACCTAGAAGATTTAAGTTTGACATGGCAAGTTTCAGTTGATGATGAAAAATGAAAAACAAGAAGTTGACAGTCAGAATTCTTATTAGGCAAACAAAAATTACAAAGCTCAGGTAGATAAAGTTATTGTAATTAAATTTCTTTTGTGGTGCAAATCTTTTATTGTTTGACAATTTAAATGAATTTTTAGAAATTTAATGAATTTTCAATGGCAAAAAAAAAACAAGTTCTAAAAAACTGTTTTTTTTTAATTTTTATTCTTTCTCAGTTATACATTACGATATATATATATCTGAGCTTATTATTTTTGTTTGCCATAATGGAACAAGGAGATTAATTATGTGAATTAATACTTTTTATTAAAAGAGGGGATCAGGAAAAGGTGAGGGCTGTATTGCTGTCTGCTTATGTTGAGATCAACAATTTTGTCATGGCTGATACTGATTGATATTATTGCTGCAACTAATACAAATTCCAATGAAACAGAATTTTAACATTTTCTTCTACATTTGTGAAAAAAAATTTGCCTTATGCTTGATGTTCTTAGTTGAACAGACATTTGGTGAAATTATGCTGTAAATAAATGAAACCAGATAATACACATCAGATGCTAAGTGTAAACAGAATAAAAGACATATATACCTCAAAATAATAGTTGATAGACTAAAAATAAAAAGTAAAAATTCCTAGAGCTGGCAAAAAATATTCAAAAAACTTGTGCTTTGTTTTCAATTTGAACATTTGGCATGGATCAGTACAATTTATATAAGTATAACAGAAATTAAATGATCAAGAAAATGTTGAGAATTAAGTGAAACAATGTCAAAAATTCAGGATCAGTTCATATTGACCTCATCTTAGTTGCAGCAATATCATGCTTACAGGTGAATTACTTGTTGTGATAATTAATATTAAAAGTAAGATGATATATTTAACAGCAAATACCTCTATTAAAACCATCTACAAAGGTACAAATGTGTGAAAAATTGGTTCAAAGAGTGTGATTTATATGTGTTTAAGGTTGTGGGAAGATTTTGAGTGTTGTATAGCATTATAAACCTTTCTTTTGTGGCAGTGCAAAAGGAATATATTACATTTTGTAGAGAACTCCTTTATCTTTATAATGGTTTTAAAGTGAAAAAAAAGTAAAATCTCAAAAATAGGTGCAATTTTGTTTTAGCTGCATTGTGACAAGAGCAGTAATTCAATGACAGTAGTTATCTTTTGTTATATATATGGCATCTTAAATCTATGTGGATCTGTTAGTTTTCTGATGCCCACATTCTACTGTTAAGTCGGTTTATTCAAAAATCCATAACCATTACTTTCTTTCTTGTGCATTTGTTTCCGGAAATGCAAATTTACAGTTAAATCTGTTTCGACTAGAGGCCTTTTTGCATTTAAGGTTTTTTTTTTATTATTAAGACATATTTTTTGTGTATGCACTTATAATAATACTATTTAGAAAAGAAAATCAGAAATTCTGAAAGAATACTTGATATATTGAAATATATTAATTCAATTTTTCAGGAACTTTAAAAAGATACAGATATCAAGTTATTTAATTTATTTAGTAATACTTAGTTGTGTCCAAAACATATTTATCAAAATTTCCAACAAATGAATTATCAATACAATATTAAAACCTAGGGTATTGTACACATTTTCTGTTTTGAAGCAATATAAATTACGGTGTATTTGAAGAGCTCTGTTACATGCACATCCTATAGCAGGGCTGCCAAGTCTCACGCAATTCATAAAATTGAGAATGGAAATGGGGAATGTGTCAAAGAGACAACAACCCTACCATAGAGCAGACAACAGCCGAAGGCCACCAATGGGTCTTCAATGCAGCGAGAAACTCCCGCACCCGGAGGCGTCCTTCAGTTGGCCACTAAACAAATATGTATACTAGTTCAGTGATAATGGACGTCATACTAAACTCCAAATTATACACAAGAAACTAAAATTCAAAACGATACAAGACTAACAAAGGCCAGAGGCTCCTGACTTGGGACAGGCGCAAAAATGCGGCAGGGTTAAACATATTTTTTGAGATCTCAACTCTCCCCCTATACCTCTAGCCAATGTAGAAAAAACAAACGTTCATGCATATTTGGCGGCATTTTCCTTTGATCTATTGTTTTTTCTTTTTGATCTTTATAATTTTGGCCAAATCTCACGCATTTGCTTCATGAAAACTTGGCAGTTCTGCTATAGTGCTTTTTGGAATAAGGAAATCACAATACACTGCACATGTATTTAAGTTAAATTTACCTGCATTTCCACAGAAATATTTTTTATAGCAAATTTCATTGAAATTGAATTACATAATCTCAAAAGTATATAAGTGATATACACATACATTTTGTACATTGCCAAGAAAATAGTTTTGAGCAAACTTCAGTAGCAGTTTTTTAAATCGATTTAAGTTATTATACCCCTGCAAACAAAGGTTTGTGGGGTATAAAGGAATGATCTAATATGTGTGTCAATCTATCCATGTTGACAGTAACTGTTGGACAGATATTGATGATAAGGGAAGATAACCAAATTTACTTACTTCGAGATTGCAATATGTGGTAATATTTTCTTGTAGTTAACCATTTGACAGATGTCGATGAAACTTTACACATTTGTAGAAAACTAAATGAGGATGTGCATACGGGCATATATTTATAATCCTGGTCTGACATGTTAAAGGGTAGATAATCCAATTTACTTCACTATACCAATAGCATTGTATTTGGGGTACGTAACTAGTATCCTTCTAGAGTTCTCTCACAGTTCTAGTTGATTTTTATTGCAGCAATGGGTTTCAATTATTAAAACGAGAAATTTAATTTGCAAAAAAATGTTTTTTTAGTACTAATAATCCGATGTAACATTTGCTGTTATTTAAAGATTAAAACTTGTATATTTATTAGATTATTTCTAATTCTTTTTATTTCTTTTTTAGCCTTTCAAAACCTTGGTCCCACCCATCCCTATGTTTGATAAATTGAATGACACATACTCACAAGGACAAGTGTGATTACCATAAAAATGGAGAAAAAACTGACAATTTGTGATGGTTCAAGGATAGAGACCTAAGGAAAAATACATCCTTCATTTTATAATGATATGTTGGAATTTTATAAGTACATCTAAACTAATAATGTGTTTATGAACTGTGATGTTATGTTTACATTTACTTATACAAGAAAGTTTTAAAAATCATGAATTCTTGTAACCAGTTGTGCTTTGTTGTTTGTTTATACATGAAAAAATAATGGAAACTAGTTTGAATTACTGATTTTTAAACAAATTTTCAATTTGATAATTTGAAAAATGGATTGCCCTTGAGGTACAAGAATTAAAGTTTTCAGAACTGTTCTTATAATAATGTAACAAAAGACTACTGCACTTCTCTTTATTAAAGATTATGTCCTTTGATTTAATTAGTTATTCATAGTTCCTTAGTTTTAACTAGCATGCATGAAATTTTTCAGGCATTTACTGGATTTCCAGATTTTGTCCCTACATATTCCTAATCAGTTTACAAAATACCAGTACTAGTGTTTTTGCACCTGCTGTTCTTTCACCCATGAACTAGATATTGGTATACCTCCTTTTATTTTAATTAACTTTATTGAGAATGTGCAGATTTTGGGAACATTTAAAAGGAGGAAGAGAATTATTTTAATCTACTTAGGGAAGACACAAATGATTTTATATTCATTGAATTGTTACTTGAGACAAAACTTCTATCCAATGGAAAGGAGAAAAACATGGATGTAACAATCCAATTAAAGCAAAGTCTTGCACCTCAAATTTATGAACTAAAGAAAATATATGGATTTCAGTTTTATCTGTGATGTTTACAAGTTATATTTCAATTCAGTACTTGCTAGATTACAAATTACCAAACACGATTATAATCTTATTTGTATTTCTTCTATGATATTGATGTTACTAAGTAGCAATTGAGGAATAAAAGGTGAATGGATCAGAAGAATGAGCAGGGACAGAAAAGGTGTTGTAGGAGATATTCTCTTATATGGTTGAGACATAGAAGACTTAATAAATATTTTGCTTTGGCTTAAAAATACAATAAAAAAAATGTGTTCTAACAAACCAGAAAAAATTTACTTCTATTTTTTTACCAGATATCTTTTACGAAAGCTGTATAATTTATCTTTTCCCTTATTATATAAGAAATAATCATTAAAGATTTTGGAAATAATTTTATTTTTGTTTACATAAACATGTAGATTGTGACAAAGAAACGTCATGTTTAAAATATAAAAAAATGACAAAAAACTTATGAAAGCAAAAGGTGTCTTAGCTAATATCTAATATCTAATCTTGTTTGTTATTTATTGTGATATTTTACAAGTTGAACAAAATATAATATTGTGATAATTCTGTATATTATTTTATTTAATAGAATCTTAATTTGTTGAAGTACATATTGATAAAAAAAATGATGTTTTTTTCTGTTATTTTGCCATTCTGAAGCCAGCAAAGAGGAAGTAAATATAAGTTTGTATAAAGGAAAAGTGGGGTATACTTCACTGAGACAGCATCAATGACACAAATTAGTTAAAGACTTCATGATTTATGTAATTGGCCTTGATTTCAGTTTCACATACTCTCTAGTGTCAGGATAAAGTTTCATTTTAATATTAGGTCTGCATCTCAGAAATTGTACATGATGGGTTAAAATATTGTTTATGTAAACTAATTACATGTACATGAGCATGTGCAACCAGAGGTTTAAATTTCTAACCTATTTGAGAGGTCATTTACCTTTAAGAATTTTCTGATATTGAAGCAGGGGTGACAATTTTTTACATCCCAGTCCAAGAAAATGTAATCTATACTTACTGTGGATTCATTTATTTTGTGGATATTTGATTTTGTAGTTTTGCCAGTCTGCATATAAGCCTACAGGAAATTTATACTTTGTAGAACATTTAAATTCATGGTTCAACTTTACCCATGAAATCCACGAAAAATGAATCCACAGTACATGTAATTGAAATTGGAAATTGAAAATTAGCTTTTAGTTACTATAAGTACTCCTTAAACAATACTTTTGATATACATGTGCTGAGTAATTTTATTTTACAGTTTGTTGAACAATCTAATAAAAATCACTAAAAATGACTTTTGGCTCATGGCTTGAATGAGGCGCATTACATATGTGTTGGGATTAAACATTGTCACCACCCAAACTCTCTTTAACCTAAGAATGGTGTGACAGCAAATACAATCCATTATTCTTGTTTAGTGTTTTGAACAGATATATCATGTTAAGGAGGGGTATTTGCGAAAAATACCAGTCGAGAGAATGTTAAATTTCGCGAGCCATAAGGCGAGGGAAATTCATTCTCAAGACTGGTATTTTTCGCAAATACCCCTCAAGAACATGGTATATCTGTTTAATTACACAGAATGTTAACGTACAAAATGCATTGATGATCGTGACATTACAAGCGTCCAGTCGGATAGAGTATTTTTTGGCAAATACCACGGCAGAGAGGCTAAGAAAGGCATATCCTTTTTGCATATACCCCGGCGCTGTTAAAAATGAACGATATTCATTTGATAAAAGTAAATTGGTGAAAAATACACTGGCTATCAACCAATCAAAACCCAGGATTCTTACATAAGGTGTAATTATGACTAAAATGACTCTGTTGATTGTTTCTTGTTATATCATCCCGAACAAATTGGCTTTTCTCATCACTTGGCATCCATCATCCGTCATGTTAACTTTTACAAAAATCTTCTCTGAAACTTCTGGGCCAAATTTTATCAAACTTGGCCCCAATATTCATCGGGGTTTCTAGTTTAAAAATGTGTACGATGACCCTGCCTGTCAACCTTCATGGCTGACATGGATAGAAATAGAATATAGGGGTAAAATGCAAGTTTTGTCTATTATCTTGAAAAATGCTATAGATGGAGAAAATCCAACAGCAAAATTGAGATCTACTTATTGACCTTAAGATGACGAATTTTACTATTTTTTTTTGTTTTTGCATATTATTTTGAAAATTATAATAGACAGAAACTTTGACAGCAAGACAAGATCTACAAATAAGTTAACATGGCAGAATTCTTCCCAAGACTCCTTATTGGAGTGAAAACTGTTATTGCTCTTTAATGAGGATTTTTACCAAAATTTTTGCATTTTTGCCTCACATCTTCAGGTTTAATCCACCATTTTCTACATAAGGAAATGTTTGTACCAAGTCAGGAATATGACAGTTGTTTTCCATTCATTTGAGCTTTGACTTTGCCATTTTATGAAGGACTTTCCGTTTTGAATTTCCCCTGGAGTTCGGTATATTTGTTATTTTACATTTATTCTTCAAAATTATGATAGATAGATAGAAACTTAAATAAGCAGAAATGACCAGAAAGACATAATCTACATAAAATTATTATGGCTGAAATCGTCAGATGATTCCTTACTGAAGTTATTGCACTTTAATGATGATTTTTATCAATTTAAAGTGTTTTGTCTATTATCTTGAAAACTTTCAAACATAGATAGACATTTTCAATAGCAAAAATGATCAGCAAGACAAGATCTACAGATAATTCAAATTTGCAGAACGCTTTAGTCCTCTTTGTAGGAGTGATTTGTTTACCTTCTTTTTTTTTTGGGGGGGGGGGGGGGGGGGGGGGGGGGGCACAATTTTTGTTCTATTTATAACATTGGCAAACATTTGGGTTGACAGGCAGGATCATTTAAAACTTTATTAACAAAATTTCCCAAGGGAGATTGGACCAAGTGGTCAAATTCACCATGTTTCATTTAAAAACAGTTGTAAAAATTAAAGGGCCTCAGCAACCAAGTGGTCTAAGTTGTTCATTTACGGTTATCAATAGCCTGTTAAGTGATCACAATAGTTAACACTGAAAATTTCGGCCTGGTGAGCTTAAATCCAATTATAGAGTAGCTTGTTACTTAAAGTAAATGAGTGATTCTACAAAAACTGTCCACAAATATTTGGAATGCAATCAACAATAACTGGCATGGTCTCTTGATAAATCATCTACAGACTAAATGTTGTACTTGGTCTCTAAAAAAACACCTCATAATGAAAACTTAATCATATTAAGCCTTGAACCATTATAATGACTTAAATGACAACCAGATGGAAACTAGAAATACAAAGCTTTGTACAGGTTGCACTTTGTAAATACAGCTGATTCACAAACCACACCTTGTTTGGGAAATACTTAATATTCATTGATATTTTGTTTTGTTTACCTACTAGTTCTAAGATATGATCTCCATGTTTCATTCCATAGAGTTTGGGAATTTTACCAGTATAAAGACAGTTGGATAGCCGTCAAAATGAATTTTCTGGAAGACTAAAAGTAATCGGGAAGGGGGACGTACAGAATTTTAAAAGAAATTTAACCTCATTGAAGTTCGAGGGATATAAATGTTCAAAATAAGCCGCACAACCCTGTTTTTGACTTTGCACAAAAAAGTAGTGCATATGAACTTTCCATTCTAAGATATAATTTTTCAGGAAACTTCATAGTAAAAGTGGCACAATTTTAGTCGTAAAAAGGATTTCCTATGGCAAATTGCATTGTCTATATTTACAGAAGTGCAACCTACGACTAGTTCATGCTGTTACCATTCAAGGATAATACACTTATGTTTCATGGTCAGTAATTTTTTTGGTAAAGGAGACATTAAATAACCATGTGTCTTTTATGGAATGGTAGTGAAAACACAATTTATTGAGGATGAGTGAAAATATTTATGTCATTGAAAGAGGTAAATAAATCTTTGCCTTGTAATTGATATACAACAGTTATACAGTATCATATGAATTTATTGTTGTAGTACATGAAAATATTATGTTGGACGGATCTAACAAGAAGAGTTTCTGTTAAAATGTTACATGACATGTTATCTAAATCTTCTCTTCAAAGAATCTCCACACAACAATCAGTGACATTTTACCACAAACCAATTTCTTTACAGAATTATATTTAAATTAGGAAAGTTGTGGAAATTTTCAATATCACATGATCGTGATTTTTGAATTTTAGTCCCTTCCATTATTTTTCCAATGCCTTCTCATTAAAAATAATAATATAAATAATAATAAAAAAATAACAACAATATCACACAGTTTGATTGATTTCCTGGTTATCACTTGTTTCTTCTGTATTGTCTAGTTGTGATAACAATTCTGACGTCACTTCTGTAAATAGTCTGTCCCAGTCCCAAGGCTTGTCCTCCTACAAGTAAAAATTGACAAGGTGCAGCTTAACAGTACTATAATCAATGATTCCAATGCAATACTTATGTAACAATTGTTTACATTAGATGAAATTTACTGTCAAATCATAAGTTATGATTAAGTCACAATATTGAATTGTACTGTTATTCCTTAAATATATAATTGTGTCCTTTTATATTTTTTCATTCAACTGTCAAAACCCTTCCCTAAACACATTATAAATGATATAGCTGCATTTTTTTGTTGATGGTTATTTTCCCACTCTTTTAGCTTAGTATTGTGTGTCAATTTTTCTGTACAAGTTTTCATAATATCTTAGGCTAACAACTTACATGTTCTCATCACTGTCTGGGAGACAAAAAAACTGATTTTCCTGAGGGCTATTCAGGGGGGGTGGTGAAAGGCACTTTATATTAATAATACATGGTTGTTAGGTATCAGAGCAACTTTTCACATGTATAATGCACTATGATTCTCAATTACAATTGTCTGGGTGGCGGGTGCTGAAACAAACTGCCTTCCAACCCCTTTTACATTTTTTTCTGGAATATCCCTGACATTTTCTGCTCATGACCAGTAATAAGTTTAGGTTAACCTAGCTATAACAGTCATACATGATAAGTAACTTTACATGAAAATAATTTAGTGAATGAAGGGATTTTGTGTCATGAGTTACACTCACCTCTATTAAATCTGCTTCTGTAGATAAATTCTTAGTCAGTAACTTAAGATCTATATCATTATCCTGTAAAATAACAACATGAGTTATAAGTATTTATCTTAATTTTCATTTTGCTACATGCAAATTCTACCACTCCATTCAGTTAGATACAATATTTTTTAAAAAGAGAAACTGTTTAATTTTCAATCACAAGCATTGCCTAGCATTTGAAAAAATTGAAGTTTAAATTTTGAAGGTAAAAATAAGTCTTATGGCATAATATGTTTATGTAGACTATATGTTTTTATAAAAATTCTGATGGAAAGTAAATGTTTGTGTTTGTAATCAACTTTCCAGCTTTGTCTGCATTGAATGTCTAATTATTTTTATGTCAATCAATATGTGACACTTCAATAAACTATTTACTTACTTACTTTTTAAAAAAATACTTTATGAAGTCAAAGCTAAGACACTGTTTATAAGGTTGGCATAGCAAAGCATTAAAAACGTGATTAGAGGTTTCTACGAAAGTGTTTAAATAAACAACATGAAGAACTGTAAGTGAACTCACAAAAGAATACCCTGGTAAAATAATTTATTATTACGAAAAAAATGGTCCACTACCTCAGACAAATTCATTTAAATCAATGTCAGTAAGATAAGTCTGATTTGTAAATAAAGTATAATTTTTACGAGTTGCTTTTTTTGGAAACCTCTAACTAAAAATTGATCCAGGGTACAAGGATTTACTACCACTAGAAAAGTAGATTTATTAAGACTAAAATAATAAAACCTTGTGTAGTTTTCACTCTTTGTATATCTTTTATTTTGACAAAGTTAAACCACAGATAAAATTTACACCAAAGCAGATACAAATTATATAAAATGCAGAGGTTGTAGAGCCTATAAATACATGGACAAAATCAAATGTATTTAAAAGTATGTGGCAGGGTAAAGCTTCTACAAATCATCATAGTTATACCAGAGTTGTAAAAGCTGCTTGTCTTAAAAGGTCATTATCAAGTTCTCTGTAGGTTGCAACTCTGTTTACTGCAACACTGAAATAAGAGAAAAGGGTTGATTACATTAACATGTTATAACATAGTAAAGGGTTGATTACACTAACATGTTATAACATAGTAAAGGGTTGATTACACTAACATGTTATAACATAGTAAAGGGTTGATTACACTAACATGTTATAACATAGTAAAGAGTTGATTACACTAACATGTTATAACATAGTAAAGGGTTGATTACACTAACATGTTATAACATAGTAAAGTGTTGTTTACACTAACATGTTATATATAGAATAACGATACATTGTCTCGAAATATAAATTTATTTGTACAAGGCTAAGAAACAAGTAGAAAGGGAGGCTTTGCCGAGCATTTCTATCCTGATTTGAGCAGAATACAAATAAAATTTATATTTCAAGACAATGTATGGTTATTCTTTATATACTGCAACTCCTATAACTGTTCCAAATGAAATATTTAGGGTAAAAACCATCGTTTTTTAATTTGGAGTGGACAACGTAAAATTTCCGCGAAACTGTATTGACATCATAAATACAACTCTACAAAATGCATTGTCAACGTCATAAACAAGGCGATACACAGTCAGTGAATGTATATTTCAAATGAATATATGGTCAATGCAATTTGACTTCCCAAATATCACACCTGCAGTATATAACCTAGTAAACCTTGATAAAATTGTATATTTACATATATTACAATTAACTTATCACAAAAATGTAATTTAGTATTTTACATTTTGTATAAGTGATAGATTTTGAATTTGGTGCATCTGAATTGCTTTTCTGGATTAAGATTCATCTGAAACTATCAAAGTTGATAGTTTACATGCTCTGTATATAGATCTGTCCTAATAGTGTAAGAGAGGTCAAAAAGCTTATTCAAATGTGAATCTTACATTTTTTCTTTAGTTATTTTAAATGTCAAAATAGTTTGAAGTTGAAATGGGAACATTTATATATTTATTTTGTATCAATATGTAAAACTATTAATTGAAGTTGTTCAATACTAGGTTTACTGCACTTATTCTTATTGACAGCTGCATACTTAATAAGACCTCTGTATTTAATTTATTCCATCTGATGGTCTGCTGTCATAGGTCCACTTGCAGTTCACTGTAGCAATTTTAAATTAGCTGATTTTTACATTTACAATGGCAATGTTAGAAAGTTCCTTTTGACCTTTATCTAAACAATGCCTTATACAAATCATCTTCTCTGAGCTCTAGTACATAGATAACAGGTATCTACAAACCACTGTTATCTTTCTCAAAGTTTTTAATTCTTAGCTCAGATAATTGCCAACTCAAACATTAATTTGCTTGCTCACTAAAGTTATATAACAGCATTATATAGTATTGTAAATTCAGAAATTATTGTTTGTATTTATTATTGTGATTTTGTGATTTTAGACCAAAATGCTATTATTATTTTTGCGATACTGAGAAAAATACCGCTTCATCATATAAAAAAAAATCAAAAATGCGAGTATAAATTATTGCGATTACAACCCTGTCACATTTTTCACAATAATAAAAACATCCAAATAATTTCCGAATTTACAGTATACCAGATAAATGATATAACGTGATGAAATCTTACTTTGGAGCTATAGCTACTTTGACTGTCATATCATCATCTTGTTGTTCTTCTAGGTCTGGTATAACAGGTATATCTAAAAAAGACAAATAAATTGTATAAAGAAAACTGATCATATTTATATCCAAAATATGTTTCTATAAAATGCAGAGTATATCATACTGTTGATATTGAACAAGCATGTTAGTGAGAATTGTATTTTTCAAGAGACAATATCTATCATTATCTTACCTCCTATACATTTCTAGGAATATCATTGGTTAAAAGCAACCATGTGGAGACCGTGTATATTTCATATGGGGTAAGTAGGCGTGGTTTATTTCAATACACGGTTAGTAGTGGTGTTACATCCCTTTGAAAAAACAACACGGCATTTAGAAAAAATCTGAAAAGTTTCAACAGACTAAGAAATTGATGATGAACAATTGAAATAAATGCAGAAAACACATTAAAAGCTCACAAGTTATTCTTGTTGGCATTTGTTTTTGTATAGACCAGTGGAAGTAGGTTCTTTTATTGAAGACTTGATCACTTTGATAGGCCACTAGTCTAAATGCCACATATTAAGATAGTCGGCAAGATAAATTCATTACACAGTGTGCTAGTGACCTAATACGATACATATAGGGGTCAGTAAATTCCATATGAGGTTCGATATTCGCTCTCACCCCATATGGAATTTACTCACCCTGTAAATTGTATAAGGTCGATAGCACACTATGTAACTAATAATATTACTACCCTATCAGGAACTGCAAAACCCCCTTATAAACTCTTGTTATATCAGCTTATCACATCCAGATCACAAAGCATTATTGAACCATTTACAAATACCAGGTAGTAGTGCACTTTAATATTAAACAGGAAATAGTTCAATACTATACAGTAACACTATTGTCATATTGATATTGGAGTAACTAGTAATGAAAATCATCATTTTTTTTTTCTTTTTAACCCGGAAAGCCCACAAGTGGAAATTATCAGAGCTAAAAATAAAAAAATTGGCATCAAAAGCAATAATTGAATCTAAAAATAAAACTTAGTGTATCAGCTTCAACAGAAAGTTGATCTCCATGAATCTTTTGTACTTACAAACAAATAGGAGTAAAAATATGTAAATGTAATGTTTTTTTTTTCTCATAAAATGGAGTTGAATTTTATACACTATATCTTAACTGGAACCTTGTAAAAATTCTAATCATCAATAAAAGTCTTCCTTTTTTCATTGTAAATTAAAAAAACACAATTATGTCATATAGACCAATAAATTCTGAAGCCACTTTTGTTGTTTCTAAAAAAATCAGACTTTGTTGTTGCTCAAGGAACATAAACCACAACAGACCTAAAGAAAAAAGCATAATACCGCAATGATGCTACACTGATTTAAAAGACAGATAAAACAATAAAACTGAATCTTCCATCTTCCATGCAACATGCAAGTTATAAATGTCAATAAAGAAATTTCAGTATTTCTTACACTTTCTAAGTATTTTTCAAAACTGAACATGTAAGTGTTCTTATAATCATACCTGTATCAGATTCATTATCATCTTCAGGAGTTCTAGGTCTTAATCTCTCACTGAAAATATAAAATTATTCTGCGACTAAAAAACTACCTATGGCTATTTTTGTTCTGATACAGTATCAACAATCCTTTGTTATAAAAGGTACCTATTGATGATTATAATTATCTTATAAAATGCATGTATTCAATGTTTTCTTATATATTCATGTTATGACCATCTCTTATCTTAAACTGCTCTTTTGATGTCATTTGGCAATGTTACGATGAAGATTATGCATATTCAAAAACAGCATTAAAAAAAATACAACTTGGTTAATTAAAACTTTAGCATAAAATTAATAAAAATACGATTTTAAATTAGCTAAAACACAAAACAAATTGCAACAAACTGGGTCATAATGTAATGGAGGAAAAAAAGGTCAAACAGGAATCACGCTCGGCATTTAAACAAAATCACACAACAAAATAAGGTGCATTTCTTAGTAAATAAATGTAAGAAAATATAGACAAAAAAAGGAAGCAAATAAACTTTTTTTTAAATCATAAGTAATTGAGTTAAATGTGTATCTAAAGGTTTCCTTTATTCCCTCATTACACATAAATCAAATCCTCTGAGCATGTATTGCTGACCTTAGTCTTTTAGCCAAACAAGTTTTTTTTTTAGGTACAACTTTATCAGAGCTGTTCATGGGAATAACATATGCGTTATCACTTTTCAATGCTTAATGCTTCGTTCTGTTTGAAAATTAAAACATAGGTCAAGTCAGTTGGTAAATGTAATAATTTGGCTTAATTTAAATGAGACACCCCAAAGCATTATATAGGCAAAGATTGCCTAAAATTGGCCTGGTGGTTTAAAATGGTACTTTATAAATATATATTTCATCTAAGGTCCTATGTAAAACTATGATTTGGGAGTAGAAACCATTTTGGATGGCATTTTGGTCTGGATATTTGAAAATGTAAATGTTGGTTGGTCAGCAGAGACAAGACTTAGTGACATTGAAGCTATTTTTAAAATAATCATAAAGATTCCAGCTTGTTTCAGATAACAGCTATCAATTAAATAATAGATGAAGGATGCCAAGTGACAACAGCAGCTCATATTGACCTCTGTATAAAGACAAGGTGCAGTTAAAACAAATGATTTTATGTTTTTGAGCATTAAAATGAATCTAGATTCCTCTTCACCATACAAAACTATTGAGGCTACGATTAAAAATAAAATAAACAATTTTTATCTAATTGGTGTTCTGTGACCAATTGAAAACTTCTACTTAGAACTAATATCAAGATTTAATCTAAAATATTCTATCAGAACCTGCTAATACATCACCATATTCTTTAAGCAAAAGAGCTGTAAAATCTAGTTTATTAAGTTACCAAAATCCCCATTATCAAAATTTTCTATTTTGGTATAGAATTTCGTTCCCTTACAATATCAGGTATTATAACAAGATAATTGTCCACATCAGTTTTAACATAATTTATAATGTTACTTATCATTAACCAATTTGTTATACTTAACTCCCACATTTTTCTCAAATTCATTTCAATATTAACGATGGACAACCTTCATGTAATAAAATTATATACTGCCATATTGAAAACTATGAAATATAACATTAAAAGGTAAGTTCAATATCCAAAATATTAAGACAGGTGCTCTTAGTGAACTGTGTTGATAGAAAGGTTATTATAAGTTACGACAAATAACTTGTAAAAGATTACCCAACAATATCGTCAATATCTGCTAGTACATCACTGAGGATAGAATAAAATATATCATTGAACTTAAATAAACAAAATATTTTTTGGTGATAAATTAATATTTGAAAATAGATTGAGCATAACCCCTGAAAATTTGTCTCCTGAAGCATTTTTCTAGGCAGTGTTGAACATTTGGTTTATCTGCTTCACTACTAGTTGATCATATAAAACAAATGACACTTTTACCAGTATGTCAGGTTATGTATTAAATTAAATTTATGTAGCATACAAAACATTAATCCTGTAATTTGTACAGTTGTTAGTAATCACTATTCAACCACCTGCACAAGACGCTGTGGTGGACATCTGGTGGAACTCATCTAAAGACATTTTATGCAAGACTAAAATACTCATTGCTGATTTTTTTCTGCTTAATTTCTGCGAAATAGCAAAAAGAGATCTACCGCCATAAAATGTATTATCAAGTCCTATCATCATGCAGAAAATGTTTCATTGACAATGAGTAGTAATCAAAATTATAATTACCTATAGTAAAAATTCATGTATTGTACACATTTTTTTTCAATCTTGAATTCAAACTTGCAGGCAGCCCAGGTGCATATCATACCATGCAAAGAGCAAGAAAGAGAGAAAATGTTGGTTTAAAGATGTTACCATGTGTTGGCTGTCTTATTCTTATTTACCAAGTAGAGGGTGCAATTATTTAAAAGTTGTTAAAAGTAATCATGCTTTTTTTTAAACAAATATAACAGTGATCTCCCCAGGCTATTTTAGCATAGCGGTACCGCGACGCTATAATTTTTTTCAGCGACACTATTATATTATAATAATATTCATAAAGAAATAAAAAAATATATAGATCAATTCTCTGATGATGTCATTGTGGACAAAAAAATTTCAAATAAATAAATAGCTTAATTAAATTCAAATATTGTCAGATCTCATGTATTTGTACAATTTCTATCCTGGCAATGGCTATATAATTGAAATCTCATGATAATTAAAATCTGTTATTCTCATATTTGACAAAAATCAGACTGCAGTATTTTCTCAAGTTGAATGGTTTTCCTAAAAAAAATTTCAAATAAATTTGAAGCTTTGCCTTTAAGAATAATATAAAGTATATAATGTATACATGAATTATGGTACAAAACATAAAAACTAAAATAAATATGTAAAAGGTTAAATATTTCAATATAGCTTGTTAGCTATTGATACCAGGACAACCATAAGCATTGAAAGCAACCGTCCACCAATATATATAGTTATTAAATTTTTAATAAAAATATCAAAGGCAATTTTTTCATTTCTTTCCACTGTATCTTATGTCTTATGTAAAACATTGACCATAATAAAAAGTACAAAAAAATATTAATACATTTGTACTGTACACCAACTTGTTTTCGCAAATACTTTATTTTGCGTTTAACTCTATCTAGCAGACTTTGCAGCGATTTATTTTTGTGATTTTCTCATTTTATTTGATGTATTTATACACAGGAAGATCCTATTTTCGATATTTTTCTTCTCCTGAAGGTCATGAACATAAATCGCTTGTGAATATTTGTTGGTTTACTGTATTATGTATCAAAATTTACAACTGAAACTTTCTTCTTAAAAGTCACACTTAAAGTAGGTAAATTGATGATTATGTAATCAGATAACTGTTCAATCTGTGGTGAAAACATACATTAACTGTCTTATTCTGTATTTCCTCATACAATCTACCGGCATTCATCAAATAAATAGCTTATGCAAACTAGAACAATTTAAGGTAAACTGTATATGCATTAAATTTATGACTGTAAAACCATGAATTCTCCTGCCTTTGCCATTTGCATGCATTTTCAAGATTTGTTGTTTATTTTACTAAAACATCATATTAGACTAATTTTGCTTCCATGCAAGAGCTGTATGCATGATTCCAGAGAAACATTTCCAGAATCTTGATAGAGAAAAGTTCAATCAAACTCTGCTAGACTATGCTCAAATATTTAGAACGACTTGTATTGATCTAAAAGTAAAGATTTATGTTTCTTTGCAAACCAAACCTTTTTAAAATTTATTCACATATCTTGTTATCTAGTTGAGAATTTTGATTTTCTTTCCTCCTTCATTACAAAACTATATTATAATCCTTCCCTAGACATGATAAATGTAGAACTGAATCAACTTTTTTCCATTTTTAAATTATGTTGTGCCTAAATTCAACTTAAAATAAATATGATGAAGAGTTATATAGCCTTATTCTAGATATTAAAAGGTATTTGAGTTCAAAGTTGCAGAGTTTGACTGTAAATGAAGCAGACGGCTGACTAGATATATGTGAACATGCAGCTTACTTCTTGCTGCTGAAAAGATCAAAAACATAACCTAGAAAATTAGTGGAAACAAAACTAAAAATATAAATAGAATACACTATAGTGTTATTCAATCATACACAAGGAACAAAACATTGTGACTTTAATATGATATATATATATATATATACTACATAGTATGTTTAGATTTTTATGAGTGATATGAATTTCTACATTCAAATCTTGAAGGAGCAAACTATTGATCTGACTAGCAGTGCTGTACAACTGTGTTATGTAGTTAAAGTAGAGCCGAACTTTGAACCTGAACTCCCTTGAGAGGAATCAAGTCTAACTAAACTAAAATTGGCCTAGTCCTTTCAGAGATCTTTTAGTGTACAAACAAATTTCTGCAGTAGCAGCCGTGTTAACTACTTGTTGTAGTACCATTATCCTAAATCTGTAATGTCTTAACTATTCTCTTTATAATATTGGAGACATGAAAATAAACAATGATAAACAAGTTTCAAAGGAAAATGCAAAAGAGAATGAAGAGGAAGTTTTTTTCTGTAAACATTTATGAGGGACAACCACCACCTATCAAACGTTAAACAAAGACCCATCTTATGCCTATATTATAATTATTTGTGGAAAATATTTTTCACCTGTGTCCACAATTTTTAACACATTTTTTTTTCATTTTGTTTTGTTAAGGCAATTTTTTTATTAGTTCACCAAACATGTTCCTTTTGAAATATGTTTCTGTCTGTACCAAATTACAATTCAGGCTATAAGTATCATTAGATTTTGTTTGTTGTTTGTACATCAATTTTCTGGAATGAGTACTCTATATCATAAAAAAACGTATTTAAAATGGTATTCAAGTCATTTGGTACAGTAAACAAAACAAATTTTCATGAAAACTGAACAACACAAAGTTCACCTTGATATTTAACTTTTTAAAGTGTCAGGAAGGTTGCTATTTGCCTCTAAATATTTACAGCCTGTTACATGTAAGTCACAGCAAACACTGAACATTCAACAGATATCATCAATCAGTTTATAAAACTGTATATCAACAAAAGTATTTGAAAAAACCCTGATTTTATCATTACAAGGTAGCATTTATCATATACTTTATTTATAATACTTTGACAATTTTGCTATATTCCAACAAATGAAATTATCATATTCCATCAAATGCACTTTAAATGGAATTTAACTAAAATTCACCTTGATTTAAAGGATATCAAACCAGTGTTTCAGTTAACAAATACTCTTGTTCTTCATATTATATATGTTCAGACATACATCTAAATGAAAATGCACTCATCTACTGATATTTAAACTACACATATTTTGACTTTTATTTGATCATGGTGCAAATGTAAATACATTTTTAAATGTTTTGATGATATGATTCTTACTTGTATAGTAAACAAATTATTCAATAACACTTACTCTTCAATGTTTTCAAATCCTTCACCAAGTTTCCGACTGAAAAATGAATTAGCAATAAATGTTTTGCATTCTACAAACAACTTCATTGAAATTCAAAATCAGCCATTAAAAAATTAATGTTAAAATATTATATGTACATTGTACATGTACAAAATGTATGTGATAACTGTATATGTGTCTTTCCTTAGTGTAGACCCAAATATTGTTTATAAACTTTATAAGACAATAGCAAATCAAAAACATGAACCATGAATTTAAATATTGAACGAAGTACAAATTTTCTATAGGCTGGTATTAAGACTTTGGCAAAACATTGAAATCAAATATCTATGAAAATTCATTTTTTCCTCAAACCACAAAATTTGGTACCCACAAAAGTAAATGAATGTACAGTTATAGCAATAAGCTACCTAAATAATTAACAAATGTGCTTGATTGTGTGTTGGACTTTTGTTGGTTTTTGTTGTTGTTGGGTTGCTGTCTCATTGATTTATATCCCATATCTCCTTTTATTTATATTGCTCATTAAACTGAATAAATGTGTATACCTGCTACAAGTCAATGTGCTTTCATACATTACTTAAATTTTAGTGAAGGAAGGGGATGGAAGCATTCACTGTGAATTAAAATCATTTGATGCAAATGGGCCTTGTTTTGAGTTAATAGCATAATTAAGGATGATTCAATCCTATCCTGATCATGAAGTGATCTTGTTTTCCACCTTAAACATACAAGCAATGTTTATGCATATGAATCTGGTGAGTAAATGTATAAGCTGGCCTTATGATGTTCATTTTTAAGTCTTTTTTGTAAGTTTGCTGCCTCAAAGACTTTTGTTAAATTTTCTTCTTATCCTACAATCAACAATTTTACTACACAAATACAAGTGCATAAATAATTGATGCATTATTTGTAAACTTTTCTAATGCTGTTTCTATTATCAACAAATGGGTATAATCATATCCAGTTTACTTCACATTTCACTTTTAGTGACCTCATTGGGGTCTACATTCAAGAAATATAAATTTAAGTAGATATAAAACAGCAGAATAACAAAAATTATCAGTACAATGTCAAAAAAATTGCTTCGCTGAGCGCAGCTGGATACGACCGCAGATGTCCAACCCTGAAAAGTTGGGGCCAAAATGGACACAATATTCACGCTTGATACAGGTCTGAATTTGGATTGTAACTAAATTTTTGACACATAATAGGTTTCTGACACAGAATAACTGTAGTCAAAGAACTTCAAATTGGTTATATGATTTGAATTCATATTCAATTTTTTGCTTTCGTGCAATACACTATGCTGTTGCGAATTGACCCACCCCCCCCCCCAAAAAAAAAAATTTTACCCCGGTTTTTTGCTTTTGTGCAATACACTATGCTGTTTAATATTAACCCCCCCCCCCAAAAAAAAATATTTGAAGAAATTTTCTTTTAATTTCTGAAATCTGAAATGAGAAAAATTGTCCCCCCCTCCAATTTTTTTCACCTCCCCCCCTTTCCCTTATTCCCAAAAAAAGAATCTTTCCCTCAAGATATGGTCAGTATCTCAATTCAAATTTCTAATGGAGTTTGCAACCATAATTACCCATTTAAATACATCATAAAAGTTTTAAAATATAAAATGACATACATAGTCATGGCTAAAATTAATATTAATTAATAGTAACTGCTAAAAATAAATTGACAGCTAATCACCTCAAGACAATCACCATTTCTTATTACATAATTTACAAGCAGTGTAAGGGAGGTAATCAAACAGTGTTCTTTTAATTGATTTGGATTACCTCCCTTACACTGCTTTTAAATAAAAACCCTTGTTTTTCCCCTTTTTTTGCCCCTAATTACTAATTAGTTTGAGCCATAACCCCCCAAAGTCAATCCTAACCATCCCTTTGTAGTATGGAAACTTGTGGTATAATTTCAGAGAGATTCATACACTTTAACACAAGTTATTGTCTGGAAACTACAAAAATGCTTATTTGGGCCCCTTTTTAGCCCCTAATTCCTAAACAGTTGGGACCATAACCCCCAAAATCAATCCCGACCTACCTTTAGTGGTTATAAACCTTGTGTTAAAATTTTATTGATTTCTATTTACTTATACTAAAGTTATTATCCAGAAACCATTTGTCTTCAGACGACGCTGACGACGACGACAACGTGATACCAATATACGACCAAAAATTTTTTAATTTTTGCGGTCGTATAAAAAAATTACTCCTTTGTACTCACTAGAAACAGGAGAAAAGTTCAGGGATCCCTTGCTTTTCCTCCTGTCTCTAAAGTTCAAGCAATTTTATATTTGCATTAATATTGCATATTCAATCATTGTAGCTGATTACATTCAATTTAAGGCATCAACGCTTTATATTGTTTACCTTTTACGAGGATTATCTTCACCCCATCCAGACACTCTTGAGGGCTTTGGTGGCTCATCCTGAAATATTAACAGATATTTAAAATGGATAGGACAATTCTTTTCTTGGTAGTATATATATAAGATTTAATTATTTCTGATTTGTGTTAAATCTTAAAACTTAGAAATCTACATTGTTCTTTATATACAACCATTTAAGATAGAAAGTATCTTTGACTTGTAAAACAATGATGATATTTAATCAATTATATATACATGTACTTACCAAATCCATGTTGCTTAGTGCATGCCAGAACAAGAACATGAGTCCATAGGACACCATGCCCAGCTGGCAATATCAGGTACAAACTTTTTTTAACTTAAGGTGTGACATGTCAACATCAATTTCAATTATTGATAGTAATGGCAACACAATTTGATTGAAATACATATTCTGTGTCAATACTTCACTTATAAGAATTTGTTAATAATTGATTTTACTTTCTGTTTTTCTAATCAATACATCTACCAATGACATTCACGATTAAATGTGTTTAAATATGTAACAGTAACTGGGACCACTTCTCCCTTCTCTCTCATGGAAGGGGAAGTCACTTCTCCCTCTTCAAAATCCTAGATTAGGCCCTGTGTAACATTACTGTAAATCCCAAAGATCACTATTTTTTCTGGACATCAAGTTTAAACAGAGCTTTGTCATATTATTGTTAGCTAAGCATGGACACAGGATCTGCATTTCAATATGACCGATAGCCACATAAATCTTAATTTGACAAAATTATATGTAAATTCATTTTCTGGTTTTAGTGTAATATGAGTATAACATGTTTCATTGTTTTTATATAGTCTATCTATGTAGTCTGACTATAAATATAACCTACAGGTTCTTGTCTTCCAGCAGGCTGTCTGGACTTTGGTACCTTTGGTGAATTTTCTACACTAGCTTCAAAATCAGGAGCATCTGGTGGATTTGCTGATTTCTGCTGGGCTCTTCTCCCTGTTTTAGCAGTACCCTATAATTAACAAAAAATTATTTGACACATAATAGATGGGGTGGTCAGGGAATATCTGAGTTCCCTGCAGTTATATAGGGTCATATGACCATCAGCATTCTTTGGGAGGTAAAATTGCATTATTTTCAGCCTTATTTTTACCTTAAATGGCTATACAAAGTTGAAGCTCCATAATCATTGAATATTTTGTTTAAAATATTTCGCACAGAGAGTAGTTATCTAAAGGTATCATGTATGCCAAATATCAGGTCAATATGACAACATTGCATTAGCTGTTCGGAGCCTATTGAATGGTTTTCGAGCAGATTGGCTCTTAATGTAATTGTCAGTTCTGCTTTTCTTCCAGAAATATGCACATGGCTTACTATGACAAAAAATTTGTAAGGGTTCCGCGGAACCCAGTGTCTCGCCCACTTTTGCGGTTAGTCGCAGGCTCAACAAAAATGGGGAAAAAATTATTAAAAATTTTCCTCTAGATACTATCTTTTGATTATAAGAAGCTTCTATCCAAGTTTGGTAAAAATCCAGGATTATTTATGAATCTAATAAATGTTTTAAAAACTTTAACTGCAGACTGTATGTAATGTTAACTGGAAGAAAAACTAAGTCCATTTATAAATAATATACAGAAAAACAGGAAATAAATTTTTACAAAATTTCCTTCTAGATACTAGCTTTTGATCATAAACAAGCTTCTTTCCAAGTTTGGTAGAAATCCAGGATAGTTTAAGAAAGTTATCAAAATTTTAAAAACTTTAACCGCAGAGTGAATGTAACGTTAACTGGCAGAAAAACTAAGTCCATTTATAAGTAAAATACGGATAAACTGGAATTTTTTTTTTTTACAAAATTTACTTCTGGATACTATCTTATGATCATAAACAAGCTTCTGTCCAAGTTTGGTAGAAATCCAGGATAGTTTAAGAAAGTTATTAAAATTTCAAAAACTTTAACCACAGAGTGAATATTTGTGGACGCCGCTGACGACGCCGGAATGTAGGATCGCTATGTCTCGCTTTTGCAACAAAAGTCGCAGGCTCGACAAAAAACAAGTGCCTGTAGGTATTTAATGTTGATAAATTTAAAATGATGCATTATGGAAGAGACAATCCAAATCATATTTATACCATGAATGACACGGAGTTGCAGGAATTAAATGAAGAAAAAGACCTTGGACTATTGTTCCAAAATAACTTAAAATTTAGCCAGCATAAAAGTCAACAAAGCCAATAGTATTTTGGGCTTGATAAACCGCACTTTTAGTTATTTGGATCACTTCTCTTTTATGAGAATATACAAATGTGTACTGCACTTGTCCTTCCCAACTTGGAATATGGAAATACTATCTGGTTTCCACATCTCCGTAAAGATATAGAATCAGTTGAAAAGGTACAGATGAGAGCAACCAAGCTTCTCCCTGAAACTAGACACTTGAATTATGAATACAGATTAAAAACTTTAAAGTTACCTACATAAGCACATAGAAGACGTTGTGGCGACATGATACAAACATTTAAGATTTTGAAAGGATTTGAAGATATACCATATGAATGTAATTCATCATTTCGTTTAAGACATTTTTTCCAACAAATTATAAACGATTGGGACAGTTTACCTGAAAATGTTGTGTCTGCAAAGACCTTTGATAACTTCAAAATACAACTCGATCATCATTGGGGAAGATGTTATGTACCAGTTCTAGTGATAAATTAGACAATTATTTTTACTACAAGTTTTTATTGTTTCTTAATATAAGTCGATTGGCATTAGGAATAAATTAAATACCAGTTCTAGTGATGAATTTGGACTTTTTTAAATATTAACCATTTAGAATTTGAATTATTCATCGATCAAGAGGGACCCATAAAATGCAGGATTGTTATAAGTTTAGTTTTTAGTACAAGTACGAATTTGGTTGGGCTTAAAAAAGGATTGAATTCCTTACACATGAGCCCTTAAAAGATTCTACAGGTATTCTACAGGTAGGTATGTGACAGTAGCAAAGGCCAAAGGCAAAGTACAGATATTTTAAATTCGTGATCATGTTATAATTTTTACGTGCCGGAAAGAGTCTTCCAAGATAGGTATGAACCTAAACTTACTTTAGCATTCTTTGATTCGCCGAAATCAAAATCATCTGCCATTTCTATGAATGGTAATTTAAGCGATCGACTGAATCAATTTGCAAATTACTGCTGTCATGGAATGTGTTTATCTAAGGGAGAAAACCAAGGTTAACAAAAAAGTAATTTTAAATCGACGTCGGTTTGTCTCCGGAAAATGTCCAACTGTGTCATAAATATAAATAGTTTACCTTCAATTTAAAATGTGGGAATAATAAACCTGTGTTGTTTGATACATTTGAAGCAAGAACATTCACTATTCCTGTGTTTAACACTTTAGTTGCGCTTTCCATAATAAGCATTGGACGCTAGCAATCAATAGTTGTCCTGGGGCATATTTAATCTCCTCATTGTTTCCTTCCTGAATAATATGTGCATATGTAATCTTCTAATTGTTTCATATAAAGTGTGCACATGTTTGGTACATTTGTTTTAAATGTCATGAACATTTTTGTTCTTATTTAAGTATGATAACATGTATGATCAATAATATAAGTGTACATTGTAGATAAAGTTTAAATTAACAATACAGTCAGCTGTGGCTTATAAATTAATTTATTGGTCCCATAATAGTATAACAGCCACAATTACACATTGACAAAATGTTGGAATGGGCTTATCATCGGGTAGAACATGGGAATTTCCCTCGAGTGTTTCATGGTATATCCAGTATCACATATGAGGTCTAGATATTCATTCGGGACGATTTACATTTGACGTAAAGATTTAAGCGGTATATATATGTCTTGACAATGTACGAACGTATGTACTTTTCACAAGAGTTTATTAATCATTTCGTTAAAAAGTACCATAAGTTAAACGTGTTTGTAGTTTTAAACCGCAATCAGAGGGAATAATAATCCCAACAGAATTCGGATGTTTGTGATAAATGAAGAAAAATATACAAGATCAAATATGAATATAACAAATATGGGATAAATGTCAACAAAACAACAGCCTCAGATAGCATATCATGGAAATATCATGATTACTCAAATAATAAAAATGTATACGATGTATTATTTTATAGAAAAATCTGTTGCTTGTTCAATCTTTGCTTCTAATTAAATATTGATTAAGGCGAGATTGTTGTGTAACGTTAATGAGACAGCAACACAACAACTCATAAATGCAGAAGCCATCTTCGTTGACTTCAACAGGAGTCAGGTGACTATGTCAAGCTCCTGAATAAATCCTAAGCAGCATCAAAGTTCCTAAAATTACCGTAACATTAAGATTCACTTAGTTGCATAGACACTTCTCAATTGTCGATCGAAGACCAAATTTTGCCTTTTCATCGTTTGTTTTAGTGTTGAGTCTCAGTTACTTAGATCCACATCTTTTTTTTTATTCTTATCCCCTATAACACTTAAGCAATACACTATAAAATTGAGAATAGAAATGGGGAATGTGTCAAAAGAGACAACAACCCGACCAAAGAGCAGAAAACAGCCCAAGGCCACAATGGGTCTTCAACACAGCGAGAAAATCACGCAGCCGGAGGCGGACTTCAGCTGGCCCCTAAACAAAAATGTGTACTAGTTCAGTGAAAATGGACGTCGCACTAAACTCCAAAACATATGAATGAACTATAATTAAAAAAACATACAAGACTAACAAAGGCCAGAGGCTCCTGACTTGGGACAGGCGCAAAAATGCGGCGGGGTAAAACATGTTTTGTTCGATCTCATCCCTCCCCCTATACCTATAGCCAATGTAGAATACACAAAAACACAACTAATATACGCACAGTAAAACTCAGTTTAAAAGAAGTCCGAGTCCGATGTCAGAATAGGTAATAGAAGAAACTAAGCAAAATGACAATTATACATATATTAACAAAGGACTACTAGCAGTTACTGAGATACCAGCTCCAGACCTCAAATAAACTGATTGAAAGATTATGTCTTCATCATATGAAAATCAAGCACAATCCATCCCGTTAGGGGTTTAGTATCATACCATCATAAAATATATGAGAAGAACATAACCCGTATCATGCCAACAAATGGTTTTAGAATAAATGTGTTTATTTCCGATGCAAAGACCATATGAGTGAATCAATATTAATTCCAAAATATGCCATCTTTAATGACAACAGTATCGTAACTTTATCCCTTCTGAATAAGTCTGTTTAAAGGTTTGGTTAGCTTTTGAGGTGAATGACGACATTTTTGTTCTTTGTACAGAATACTACCATAAAAGATTGGATGTGGAATACCTGAACGTATAAGATGTCTTCATGTTGATTTATATTTACGAATGATGTCCTTGTACCGATAATAAAATTTAGTAAATGTTTTGACTAGTTTGTGATATCGAAAACCCTGGTGTAATAATTTTTCAGTAGACTTCTCTCGTTAAAATCAAATACGTTGTTACATACACGAGCGAATCGAACAAGTTGAGATATATAAACACCATAAGATGGTGACAAGGGAACGTCACCATCTAAAATGGATAATTAACAATAGGAAATGAAAAATGAAAAAATGAGATATCAAGATCCAGGAAAGGGCAGTGTTCATTGTTAGTATTAGCTTTATTTAAAGTCACTTCAGCAGGATAAATCTCTTTAGTGTACATACTGAAGTCGACATTATTGAGAGCCAATATATCATCCAAATATCTAAAAGTGTTATTAAATTTTTGTATCAGATGTTGTTTCGATGGGTCTTAGCTGATTTTAGTCATAAATTGTAACTCATAACAATACAGAAACAGGTCAGCAATAAGTGGTGCACAGTTAGTCCCCATTGGAATTCGGATAACTTGACGGAATCTCCATAGCGAACAAAAATGTTTTCTAGTATAAAAATTCAAGTGCAGTTATCGTACCAAAGCAGGTCCAATTGGCATAGTTCTTTTGTTTGTTGTTACTAAAAAATGACCTAAAAGAGTTTGAACATATATATTCGCATTCAGACTTTTAAATGCCCATTTAATTAGATGTGTGAATTTTTTCTTAATGAGATTATGAGGCAAAGTGGTATACAGGGTAGAAAAAATCAAAACTTTGAACAGATTCGAAATCACGAATATAAGCATAAGCATGCAATTAATCAAGTACTTCCAACGAATTTTTGACACTCCAAAAGTAATTAATTCCACTATTTTCAAAGGCCCTATATGAACAATTTATTACCAGGTATTGATTGTACCAAGTGTACTAGTAAGTAGAATAGACAGTTTAGTAGTGGAACAATGGCTGGAAGACGAAATAAATCTATATTTGTAATTTCATTGGACGTATATCTAGTTTTTTTTTAATTTTGTTGTTCAAATTTTTATTTTTCATTCTGCTTCAATTACAATGTTGGAAATATATAATAAAAAAATGGAAATCACTTTGCATATAATTTATTTCCATATAATCTAATTCCATTTCGGGTCGTCGAAATATAGCGTTTTTACGCTCACGCGACGGCGTTATGTATAATCATCGATCAATGTATCCAAGTTATTGAAAAATTATTGGAGTCTTTGGTTGATATTGGAACAGGAACGAAAACTATCTATATTTATTATATTTAAATGTCATCGACCATTGTATAGAATGACAATGTACAATAAATCAGAGTAAGTAATAACCATATTTGTAAAGTACATTGTACCATCAACAACGTGTAGAATGATATAACATACCTAGTGTTATAATTACCTCCTCTGAGCTAAAAACTTTACGTTATCTAATATGAATATATGCCAATCATAAATAATGTATAAATTGTGTGACGAAAATACAATTATATAACAGTTAAACATTTATGATGTCTACTCAATGATATGACACACATTTCAATGTGTAATTTTGTAAAATAATTAGCCATAAATATATTCTCTCCAACACAGACGCATACATTAAAATACATTTCTTTAATCTAAACCGTATTAACTTTATTTCAACAATCATATTTTCTAAAATGGAATTTAACTTTAATCTCAATTCATTGTAATTTTGACAGCTTTAAACCTAGATGAAGCACAAACCAGATTAGCAATTGAATTAAAGTTTTTCTCAATCTATGAGTATGATAAACATGCTAATAAAGTAAAGGGTTAAATTATTTAACCTTATTATCAAATATCATATGTTTTTGTACTCAATTGTCAAAAATCCCAACTGTTATCAAACTTGTTTTGTATTAGCTATTGACTTTGTCTGGTAGAGCCGTATCGGACTTTTAAATTTTATACTAATATATAAAATTAAAAATCAGTAACTAAATGTTAACAGACTTAACAAAATATTTTCTTTAATTTTTTGAAGTGCACCGTCAGAGCATAAAGAAAACCGAAGGGATCACACGTCTACATACACGTCTACTTAATTCAATCAAAAGTATCGTATTAATTGCATTATTCGGGTGGATTAGCGGGTCATCTCCTAGGCGACCGAAGACAATAGAATTAATTCGAAATTGGATCATTATGTCTTTGTTATTAAATTATTAAGTATGTAACAGGTGAAAATATAATCCCACTAAAGTAAAGAAAAACAAACCAACATTACCGATGATGTTGTCTGATTAGGATATTGCAATCTACAGTTGGGATAGTAAAGAATTAGGAAAATATCAAAATGGAATCCATAGATGCAAGGAGAAATCGCTTATATGGTCCAGAAAGGAATTTACGAGTGGAAGAAATCAGGCGAAATTTATCTAAAAGTTGTGTTTTGAAGGAGGGAGAATATAATTTTACACCAAAAGGACTGTCAAAAAGTGTATTCGGTACCAGTTATGAAACAGATTTTCCTGTAAGTTTATAATTTATGTGCATTCATTATTTATGTAGATATTTTGTTGGCATAGATCAGTCCTACATTGTTTTTATATGGAATCGTCAACTTACTTTTATATTTTGGTAACCAATTTAGCTGCTTATTTTCTTCGTTCCTATCTTAAAAGTTTAATATATAGTTCATGTTGACGAGTTTAAATAATCTTGTCATCGCGGAAAGCTTGGTTGTCGAAGTATCGAGACCCCCAAAAAATATTAAGTATCCTTGCAAGACCCATGACCCCGAGGGGGTAAAAGCCTAACTTTTTTGTCTGTGAAAATTAACAAATTTATTTAACTAAGCATATGGTAAAAAAGAGAAAGAAGATATCAATGTTAGGAGGCTATCTGAAATTTCATGTCCAATAAAAACAGACAGCACCATGACCAAACTTAAAAACGGTAGACCAAGAGCGTGTAGCAAATGGTCCTTTTATAGTTTACTATACCGAATGAATTTGCTCACTGTCAAAGGCCGTATGGTGATCATGTAGTTGTTACCAATATTGTCATTTGGTCTTTTGATAGATAGTTGTCTCATTTTGGCAATCAAACGATATATTTTGAACTTTGACAAGAATGACCATTTGGTCATGCAAAAGCGGCACATATCCAATTAAGATATAACGGCTGATTCGCAAGAAAGACACTAAGTACTATTTTTGCCATATCGATATGCATCTAGCTATATATATCATAGATCCTGTCAACCACCAGTATACAGTTAAGATCGACAGATATATTACACGTGAAGATGCATAATTACTACTGTAAACATACACCAAAGTGTAATCTAAATAATTTCCTATTTCAGCCGAAAAAAGACTACAATTTCCACCAAATATTGCCTTTTCTAAATTGAATATAATTCAAACCCAATTCATTGGCGTAGCTTACGTTGAGGCAGCCTCGGTAAAAAATAATTAAAAAAAAAATAAAAAACTGTTTTTTTTTTTCACAAAATGCAGCAGACTCGCTACTTAACCAACTTGTATATCGTCTTTTTGCCGTCATTGATTCATACCGTTTGGGAGTGATGCAAGACTTGTGGAAACATTTCCCTCTGGAAATCCCGACCCCTTTGCGGTAGTTTTCTAAATATGTCAGAGTCAAAAGAAATCGACACAATTGAAGCTGAAAATTTTTAATCCTTCCCCAAGCAAAATCAGTAGAATAGATGATGATCCATTTTACGAGCCGGTAAATTATATATTTTGTGTGAGAATAATTCCTAGAATATGAGGGTCTGAGTGAGGTTTACAGAATACAGAAACATGCCCTGAAATTATTTTAAACTTAAAAGAATAGAGATTTAAAATGGTGCTTAAATATAAAAGAAAGGAAATCAAATTATGGACAAAAAGGATTAAAATAAATATTTGAAGTCCCCCATTCAAACCTTCATATTTAACCGGTTACGTCTAAAATTGAAACATCGTTGTGTGTTGACATTTTCCCTAATACGTGTAGTACTCCAATTAGTACAGAGTTTCATTGACTTTGATATAAATTAGAATAAAATATACGTTAATCAATATGCACAGAATAATGATTTGTATGTTGTTCTAAAGTGTTATTCTCGCTTTTTTAAATTTTATAGTTTTTCAATAGCAGGGAACTTGAAATACTTGAAGGAGTCATTTATTCCAGCGACATATATAGTAAATGTCTGTTTCTATATAAAAACTTTATAAAAATGTTTTCATTTATTATGAAGACTTCAGAAAAACGAAAATGTTTCCGTTAGTACTTCAACGGTTGTCACTTTCACAATGGGAAAACCATGTAAGAATTTGAAGACATTCCAAGAAATATTTTTTTAAATTTTTTTAAAAATTCTGTACGTAAGTTGACATGGTTTCTTAGCTGTATTGTTTGACATACTGTGTCATTTAAGTATACCCCCATATCCATCTCCTTTTATTCTCAACGAATTTAAAATCTGAGTTCACTGAAAGGATTCAATTTGAAATAGTGGTATATGTATTTGAGAACATTTATGTATTCATCTGAACCGTTGATTGAAAATGATGTAGGTACTGTACCAGTAATCAACTAATAAATCTGTAGTATAACTTAGTGTAAGGCATATTAACATTATTATGATGAAATTAAATAAAAGAACTGTTATAATTTTTAATAGATTCTTCTGGTTCAAATTGCAAAACCTCAACAGCTTCTGGGGGCTGCAACCCCAGACCCCTGCCTCGGTAATAACAGAATGCAAGCTACGCCACTGCAATTGTTTAATCTAAAGGCAACATTGAAAACGTTTGAAAAAAACATTGTATCTTTGACTTCTAGTGTAAAGTATATGAATAATTGACGTAAAAAATATAATTACCCCTCCCCTAATGTTATTTTTTAATTGGGATCTGACCCTTGAATACTCAACATAGTCTAATCAATGTATGTATATTTCAGTGGAAACGAACTGATGAGAATGTCAGGGTAATAAACATCATAAGTTCATTGGGAGGTTTTCTGGATTTGAAACTTTAGCTTCACGTTGCAATGGTGAAAGCGCACCTACGTTGGCATAATCAATTGCACAGTTTGTCTGTTTATGGTTACACAGTTTGGAAAAAGTATAATGGAATAATCCAACATATTTTTATTCGTTGAGTAAATTCATTGGCGATTCATTATTTTTTATATGATATATTCATTATGTGATCTTATGCCATATTTGTTCTTATCACGTATTTTCATGTAGGCTGTATTACATAATTTGAGATCATCTCTTGTTAAACGTTAATAAACTTGTTTCATTAAATGGCATATCTGATCAGGTGTCCATGACAAAACTGATTGTATTTGATTCAAGGAGATTTAAAAATATATCCTAAATTAAAAGTACTAAAAAGAAGATTACATAGTTTTTTATAACATAAGAATATCTTTCCAACACAAAGCCATAAACAATAGAAACTTATGTATACATTTTGTCACCTGAAGTGAAACATTTAATTAAATACAGACACATAAAGCAGCGGCACTATGTTTTTGCCCCTAATTTTCAGGTTAATATAAGTCAAAAGGAAGTGGTATACCTTAAAACGCTAGTATGTTTTTGGACTTAAAAGCATTTAATGGAACAGTTCAACACTGACGAATGCACAAAGATAACTGACAAACAAAACCATTTTTTTGGATCTTGTTAAAATGCAAAAGTAATTCAAACAAAATTTTATAAATCTTTAATAGTATCAGTTATATTCATTCTCAATTTTTCTAGACACAGGCCGATTTAGAGCATGACATATTGTAAAGACACTTGTCTTTTGTTAAAAACTTTACGTTGACTCGTATACAACTTTTTATTTTCTTGTCGATGTGTTGCTTTCTCATTGACGTATACCTACATTCCCTTTATTCATAACATGTATACTATCTTCTTCACCTTGAATTATAAAAAAAAACAAACATTCAAAATATTCAAAAGAGGAGCAAGCTTTGCATGCAAGACATATGTTACAATATCTTGAAGTAAACACTTTCATGTATGTATTTTTGCAGGGACAGTCTTTGGACCCAAGTTCATTCCCAGAAACAAAAGAACAGGTATGTTAATGGTTAATAGCTGTATATATGATATAAGGTATAGTATGTTATCTACATGTTGTCACAGTGTATATCGGCCGTATAATGTGACATGAATCACCCCTAAAACAATTATCAATTCTAATATTTTTTACCTTTAGTATTTTCTTCTTTATCTTGTTACCGTTTTCGTATTTATATAAATACGGTTACTTTGAAAAGGTGTAAACTTGCTGGAAAGCAAAAATTATATTTGAATTTTCATATTTTCAGCTTTCTCACCATTTTGAAATTGGAAACGACAGTGGAAAAGACGTTCCAAAAGAAACATACAGAGACAGTACGACTAAAGCTGATTTCCTGACTAAACCACCAAGTAAGGTTAGTATGAAAACGTGTTTTCAATAGTAAATAATAGAAGCGAGGAGACTAAAGGTTAAAGAGATACAGTTAAAACTGTCCTTCAAGCTGAAAACTGTCACGATTACCCTATAAGCAATATGGCTCTTCCTGGATCTTGTTCGTTTTCAAATGCAATTTTGATTTGTTCTTCATCAAGTAAAATTTTCAAAACACAGCAGCCAGCCAAAATGAATGATCATTTTGCAGGCTTGAGGTTTGCAGGGGTTTATATTATGATAAGAGCTTTAATAGGGTTGCCTTTATTGTATACCCCTTTTACAAGAATATTTATAGATGCTTGATTTTCTTATTGACAACATATTTGTTACTTTTAAAGGACGTGTTTTCAACAGACAATCATATGGGAACCAGATGTGCTCTTCTTACCGACTTGATCCTTTATTCATATTTGTTTTACAGCAGACATTATTCGCGAGCTTCTCATGAAGAACGAAAAGAAGCTAACATCATCCTTTTTTAACTCCTTTTTAACTTCACGTTGCGCTAGATTGAAGATGTCCTCTCACTAGATTATTCCAATTTTGTTCAACGCATCTATCCAAACGAACTTGAAATAAAGGATACAACAAATACAGTAAAGTCTGTCTCATATCTTGACTTACATCTAGAAATTTACAATGAGGAATGGTTGAGGAACTAAAAATGAAAATGATCTCAGTATTCATATTACGAACTTTTCATTTCTATGTGACAACATTACAGTAGCCCCTGCATATGGAGTTTATATCTCTCAACTCTTACTATATTCCAGCGCCTGCGTTTCCTATCATGAATTTCTTGATAGAGGGCTGCTTGCTGCTTACAAGGAAGCTATTGAACTAAGGGTTCCTAATGGTAAAGTTGAAGTCGTCCCTACGAAAGTTTAACGGACGCCATCATGATTTGCTTGACTGCTATTGAATATCTTTGTCACAGATGACAATTTGGCAAACCAATTCGGCAAAAATCTTGAAAAGTTGTAAATTTATTCATCGACTCTAAATTCTTAAAATGAAGAAATATAGAATAGATTATTGATTGATTGTTAGTGTTCAAGACCACTTTCACTATTGGTTATATCGTGGCGGCCAGTTTTTATTGTTGGAAGAAGCCGGATTGCCCGGACGAATCTTAAAAAAAAACAAGCTTACGCAGCCTTCAAAGCTATAATTGTTTCTTTTAAGATTCGTCCGGGCACTCCTTGCATATCTGTTTCGCATCTCAATTTGTGGAACGAATGCTTATAAAATAAGCTTACACAGCCTTCAATGCGTATCATTGTTTTATAAGCACTCATTCCACAAACTGAGAGGCGAAAAAGTTATTAAAAAAATGGAAATGAAAATGAAAATGCAAACAACATTTAAAACAAAATAACGTAGAAAGTTTTAGATTGATCTACACGAACTCCACCATTGACCGGGGATACTCAAAGGGTAAAATGTCCATGCATCCATGATCTAAGTCTCAAAAAAATTTCCAAAACGCAGTTTTGTCTCATTTATACTAATTTAAGAAATGATGATTTTATTTTCAGCCTGAGATGATACTGGATAGTAAGATAATAAATTGGCCTGTAAGTATATATTAAATACTACATTATTGTTATTTAAATAAGTTTTTGGACTATACAGTTGTAACATTTTTTTTTATAATTTTGAGAAAAGTGAATATGGAGTGAAAGAGCACAAAGCATTCAAGGAACAAATGCAAAAGAAAAGAAGAACATGTTTTAATATTCTGGGTTACATTTAAATTATATAGGTGGACTCTAACTCAAGATTATATTGAATTTGAAAAATAAACATTCACAGACACTGTAGATTTATCCACATTGTAGAATAATTATCTATATATTATGACCGTGACCTCAAATTCCTTTAGGTGTACCAAGGACCTCAAATCAAAATACCCTAGGTTTCTATCACTTACGGTTCCTGAGTTAAATCTATATATCACTAGTGAGATCACTAATGTCAAATACAGAAGGGAAGGGGAAATATCTCGCACATGGAGTCTCCGTATCGCTTCGGTCAAATTTGAACACAACACTAGTAATTTGGAAAAATGAATTTGTCGATTTCTTTTTATACGGTTGCGAAAGTGAAGTGATACAAAGAACAAACAGTGTCCGAGGAGAAGACTCTTAAAAAAAATAAGTCACGGTTCGGTTAAACAGGGTTAGATGATAAAGCCCAATAACCGTTCGATATTATATACCAAATATCTAACGGATATGTTGCGAAACAAAAACACTGCGCTAGAAAAAAAATAATGGCGGAAGAAAAAAATTCAAAAGGTGTTTCCACGAAAAAATGGAAAGACCTAATAAAATAGTTTTTCTCACCCAAAGTTCAACAATCAATAGAAGCTCGTACATGATTACCGATTTTATTAATACCACGCTTTATCATTCTTAAACCAATAACTTTCTAAATCGTTTCAGAAAAAGTACTTTAAAGAAATGAAATACAATATTCCAATTTTAACGTCATCTTTTCAATTTACATGTTATCAATATGTCTATGACCTTCTGGCACTAAGTGTAATTATCAGGTCTTATTTATCCCACAACAGTTTATACTTCAGATATTAAAGATACACCTGTAGGCAATGTATTTAATAATTGATGTCATATGCTAGTTCCTGCTACTACAATAACAATAAAAGTTTCTTTAGTAAGATATCTGAACTTTTAACATACAACTGTTATCATTTGAACTATATTTTATTATATTTTTTAATTCCAGGATATGGCTCCAAGATATATGACCTCTAGAAAGATTGGAACTTCTGAGTACTCAAATGCTTATATCCCAGAGGTATGTGTTGTCAAAGAATAAAAAGCACTTCAAATATCAGTCACTGAGGTCAAAATCAATTAGTTATTGTGCTCTATTACTTTATAAACTCAAGCAATTTTATATCATTGGCCAATTAACTTGATTTCAAAATATTTGTCAAATATAATAAGATTTTCATATTTGACTAAGGTTCAGACATTACATATGATGCACCAAATTTTATGAATTATAATCCGATAATATCGCTTTTACAGTTTTACAGTAAAATAAAAGAACGAAAAGTTAAGTAAAAAATAAAATCGAAAAATTTAGAAACGAATGATCAATTTGATATTGGAAAATATTGGTTAACTAATGCAATTTCAGTATAAAATAACTATTTTTCAATATGAATTTCGCAGAAAAAAAATCAAAAGAAGGATCTTTAATGAGTTGTTTTCTTTTATCTTCAGTTTTTTAGGACTAATTCCTTGCCACCAAACCATCCTAGACTAAATACTTCCATTATGAAACTACCACTTTCAGCCAAATTTGTTCACCCACAACGAGGAACTAGTATAGCATTTGGAAGTGACGAGCCAGAGTAAGTTTGAAAATAAAAAGAAATAAAAAAGAGGAAATATGAAAAAGTGTAACATATAAGATATACTCCAAGTGAATGAATTTCAATTATAGACAGAAAGCAAATAAATTGCTATTACAAAAAGTGCTATATTTTACAAAATTAAAATAATCTTATGCATATAGGCATACAGTAAAACGAAAGATATTCTCCAAATAACATCAAAACAAATGTCGGCAATAATTTATGTTTGTATATTTGTGCAGAGTATTTAGCGAATTTCAAAGAGCTTATGGTGTTGGTGATGAACCTACAAGTAAAATGGAAGGATTAAACGATGGGAAAAACTCCGTTATCACTAACATGAAGCTGATGGAGAAAGAATCACATGTATTCAGAACAGGAGATTATGACAATATAGGTAAGCTATGGAAACGTATATTAGTCACCAGTTGATCAGTTCTCAACACAACTTGACGACAAAAACGTAAGCCCCTGGTAAAACTCGTATATGACCAGGAGAGTAGTATGTTACCTTAGGGAAAGCATTGGTAATAGCATATACGATTAAGACAATGTGTCATGATGATGATATAGATGCATCACTGTACCGATAATGATTGGTGATTATGATTATGTAGATTAATCACCGATGAATATATACAATTATGATGACCAAGGGTTGTGGAAAATGCTTAAACGACAATGTATGTGATGAAGTAGATATAAGAATATACTAGACACATGAAATATAGTAAGATAAGTTCTTATGATTAACTTCATTGTATAGTTGGATAAATAGCAAGACAAAATAATTTTATGATATTTGATAAATTACATAAAGTTATCTTTGAAATATTATAGGTAAAAAAAATCGTTTTAAATCGTAGACAAACCAATAATTAAGCACATATATAAGTACAGCCATGAAATTATACTTACTTGTAATTTACTACTCATGATCTAGATAGGGGATCGTGGCAAGTTACTACGTACCCAATCAAACGATTTATAGGGACTACTCGAACATTTGAATAACTCTTATGCAGGGGAGATCTTGCCAATAAAAGTAAATGATATTGTTTAAACACAATTACTGGTCTTTAGTTGGTTGTATAATCTACATACATATGAAAGCCCAAGGGAATTTGGTAACATTTCTAAACTACTTAGGAAAGCTCAACGCAATTTGAATATAATGAAAAAGGCTTACAAGTAATGACAAAATAAAGAAATACGACAATTACAGTGTACAATTGTTTTAGGTGTTTAACCAATTCAGCACCATAAAACGATAATAAGACAGCCAGCGACTTCATAGGTTTTATTTCAAAACATGACAGCAATTTTCTTAGTTTGGTCATTTGATTCATGGGAAGGAATACGCAGAAAAAAACTGATAGAAATACAAATGTTACGCGCGGAATGAGGAATTTATATGCTAGAGAAAGTAGTAAAAAGTAATGATGTTAAAATGTATGTTCAGTTGTTAAAAAGCCAAATAGATATAATCATGTGTATAAGAAATAATAACTTGTTTTGAAAATATCTTCATTTGGTTTCTATCTCTTCTTTTAAAGTTGGCAAAATGAAATCAACTGTTAACGACGATTACGGACCAAGAACTCTTCCACCCGGAGAAGCAGCAATTCGAAAAGCAAAACTTTCAGAGTGAGTGAAAAAAAATATACAACACGCAAGAACACTTTATTATTATAACAACATATACGTTTTAGGATGGAGGAATTGACCTGTGAAAAATCTATTATATGCACAAATAACACCCTGTTATGCAATGAACTGATAAAATTAAGTTCAAGATTTGAAGTAATGCATTTCCTTTCTTTCAAACAAAACATACAATATAACATTCGTTTGTCAGATATCTCCATTAATATATTTGAACTGTGTCACATATTGGTTTTAGATCTTCAGACTTCTTGCATTTGTGTAAAACTGCAAAAACTTCCAAAATAGACTCATCTTGAAATCTTGTTATCAATTTAAATATGAGCAACACCCTTTTTTAAAAGAAAAATGCCTCAAAATTTAGTTTACAAAGGTATGATTAAAATATCTGTTACATTTCTGCACACAAATACCAGACTACAGCATCTTTTAAAACTTTCAAAGGATTGAAGAATTTTAACATTTCGCAGATTCAGGAACACAAATATGGCTCTTATCATAACTCCTCTTATTGTCAGTGTTTAAGCCCATTTCATAGATTTAAAAAAGAAGTTGTTGATTTTGCTTCATGTGCATTAATAGAAAAACAAAGGATATGGGGTATCCATCCATGACACAAAATCAGTACATGCACAGTAAAAAAACACACAAAAAGCAAAGGAACAGTGCTTTTATTGCTGTTCTTCATTAGCTTACATTAAGACCTTCTTCCGATTTAGTTCTTCAAAGGAAAAGCGGAAGATTCCAAGGAGATTCAAAATTCATAAGTCGAATGGAAACCGGTGGATACCCCATGGCGAAAAGCGAAAAATACAAACAAGTTCAGAACACACTTCATATAAAACTAAAAACTGAGCAACATTAATTCCTCCCAAAAAACCGGGGATTACCTCAGGTGCTCCGGGTTGTGCTATGTTTTGGATGAACAATTGTATTGGCCTCCAACATTACTGAAGAAACATTATTTGTCGAAATATGAATCGTATGCATTAAATAAACTCATCGTAGATACCAGGACTAAAACTGTGTACGCCAGACGTTCGTTTCGTCTACAAAAGACTCATCAGTGACGCTCGAATAAAAAAAGTCTAAAAATTGGTACCGTTTAATGTTATTAGAACAATTATTGGTTATAACACTAAAGGTACAATTTTTTCTGCACCAGAAGCGCATTTCGATACTCTAGGCCAAAATATTTGAAAATCAAAAGATTATTAAAAAAATGAAGAGCTTATGAACCAAAAGGGACAAAAAAATAAAGCCAAAGTCAGGCATTTATCTTTTGAAGTATACTTGTAACCATAACAATTGACATTTAATCACAAAAAAAACAACACCCGATATATTTAAGTGTCAGAAAAAATTTTGTACAATTGAATTTTTGCATAAAGTTATCAACCGTAAATCTCACAAACATTAGTCAGCACTTCTGTGTTGACACGAATTATCATTGATATGGTCATAATTTTGAATTAACTGGTTTACATAACAATGAATTTTTCAAAATACTAAGGATTTTCCATCCAAGGAATAGATTACTTTCGCTGTATTTGGCAAAACAATTCGAAATTATGGTTCTCAATGCTCTTCGCTTTCGTACTTTTCGTAGGAATGCTATTAACAAGATGAAAATACCCTCTCCTCAACAGACAACTGGTCCATGAAATATAGAATAATAAAAACAAACTTCCAGAATACTTAATACTACTCGAAATTTTATATTTTAAGATATTCCTTAACATGTATAGTAATGATTCATTTCTGTCTTATTAAGGTCATTTAAGTATTTTTTTTTTCAAATCTAGCGCAGTGCACTCTTAGCTCAAATCAACAAGATAACTGTAGAAGTAATGAAATGGACTTCCTTAACGCAGCTGTCATATTGACAGGAAGAAAATCTACACAGTTTTGGAATTGGAATTTTTCCAAGATGATTGCAAAGAGCTCTATTTGACGTTTGAAAAAAAAACAATGGTGTAATTGTTGACTCTTTGCTTCCATTAAAAACATCATCAAAATAAAAACAACAAAAAGTAATTAATACATTAAAATTAAACGATTGCTCCAATATTTGAATAGTTCTAAAAAGTCACTGAACTTTTTTCATATAACAAGCCTATCATGTGTTATTCCTAATATTTCATTCACTTCTCTAACTTTTATACAAATCAGAATTAACGAGGACCCGGAAAAGAATGAGACAGAGGAGGACAGTAACCAGTTAGCAGAATATGCCAGACAAGTTATTGTTCCTAATGTTTTCAAAGGTTTGTTTTCAAATACTTATAAATACGAGTATATCACTCGAGATCTGTATGAAACGCGGATAGTCTTGTCAATCATTCTTTATAAGTGAACCGTTCTGTCCAGACATCTCGTAATCTCTGTCCTTTTCCACTTGATTCTCTTGATATATTTTTGGTCGTGAATGAACATGAAAGATATCATTTTTTTTTTTCTTAAAACCTCATATAGTCTCTGTTTTTCAGACACTATTCCCATTGCTTATATACATTCTATAAAATAAAAAGGGCGTGTTCTGTGAGTGAGCACTTTTTATGATTTTAGTTAAAAATGAATATGTCTATTTGCAGATGCGGGCGAAGGTAAAACATACCAAACATCAGCCCACTTCCATGTAAGTAATACAATGTATAGTAGTAATTCGTCTATAATATCATTGTCAAAAATATGGCAAGCCAAAATCATTAAGAAATTCAAGTTTAAACAATTTTGATAATTATTTTATTCTATTCTTTATCTAGAAAAAAGTTAATATCTTCTCTTTATTTTATTTTGTTCAAACTTTGTCAATCAGATAAGAAATATGAAGACATGTTTACAATCCACGAAGAAATAGTTTTAAAATAGTAAAAACATACCAATAAGACATTCAAAAACCAATTTTATGACTACACAATAATCCGCATAAAAAAAAACCTTAAGATTTGGCCAAAAGAATTCCATCTAGAATCAAAGGGTCAATCAGGTGTAATGGTACACGACGTAATATCTGTTGTGTTACTTCTGCAAAAAACCTATGTATAATACAAAACTACTGAAAAAGAATCAGACAGATTTGCATTTGTAAACTAAGACATCACCAAGTTTATAAACCATCAGTACATTTATCTTACATTAATATATGACCGAATAAGAAAATTTGGAATGAATACAGTAATTTTTTAGAACAAATTATAAAGTATTAACAAGACCATTACTGGGGGGAATACCATAGACATGGAAAAATAAAATATACAAAGCTATTTTGTTTTCTAAATCAAACGTATATGTTTTTTCAATATATATTTGTCATGTCTATCATCTTTGTTTTTCGTAAATTGTTTTGTTATGAATAAGGTCGTTAGTTTTCTCGTTTGAATTTTTTCACTATTTTCGTGTCTTTTACAGCTGACTATACGGTATGGGGTTCTCATTGTCGAAGACTGTACGATGACCTACAATTTTTTACTACCACTTTGTTTGATAGTTGTCTCATTGACAATCATGCCACATCGCCTCATTTTTATATATATCATATCTTGTTCACAGAACACAAATATAAAGAACATCTATCTATCTTGAAAAATACCCTTTAATGTGTAAAATGTTTTGAAGGGTACAGAATAAAGAAAAAGACAACAACACAAATAACAGATGTTTACTTTTCACACATGAACAGTTTATGTGAAATCACATTGTCATTATCAATATTTCACAAAATGTCCATTTATGAAATTTTGAACCCAAAACAAATGGCTAGTATGATGTTATGTATAGAGGAAACACCAGACTATTCCTTCTCTTCTCAATCAGGACAATGATTGCCTTCTGTCTTGAGATTAAGATTAACTGTACAGTTCATTTGCGCTTTTTGTAATTGTAACTAATGATAACTTAACTTACTTTATATATCATTGTTAATGCACTACTGTTTAAAATTGACTTTTGTTTTGTTAGTTTGGAAGTGATCCTGATACATCACATTCTATATACAACAAGGACTTTATCTCCAGATCAGTGACAACACGTGGTCCTCCGAGTAAAATGATAACAGCTGATGCTGGCAGCGTAAGTTTTTTTTTAAATATGATACATTTTAGATTAACTTCAGAATATTTCATTGTTTCTTATTAACCGACTTAAACGCGTAATTCATTGTATTGACCCATTCTCTTGTGAGTTATAATATTGAAGCTTTCTTGCTTTATTTAAGAGTTTACTTATTGCTGGATTAGAAAGCAATAAATGACTTTTATTTCAGGCGAGTTTATTTTCCAAATTAGCATTGTTTCCTATCATTTTCAGTTATTCCACAATGACCCTTCATACTTAAGAGAACCAGCTACATCAAACAAAACAGATTTTAGTTACACTCCTGCTATGCCGTGGAAGGTAAGTACAATTATCAATACAATGAATATATACAACTCACCGAGTAAAAGTTAACACTTCAAATGTTTGGTTGGCCTTTCAATGCCATATGTAGGTACGCCAGACGCATTTGAAAATTTTGAAAAAGTTGTGAAAAATACGACTAAGCCAATCTTTTCCTGGGGATATAAAACCTTATTGCTTCGAATAATTCACCATTTTATAAACAGTAAATTTACACAAAACGAACATATGAATGATATATCATTTTTACACAAAAGTGCTGACTACTAGGCTGATGATACCCTCGGTGATATTAGTCTCATGATTAAGCTTTCGTTCATTTGGTAAAGTTCCCCTCTATGAGTTATAACCATTTTTTTCTGATGTAGCTGCATGTACGAGTTCAATCCAATTTTTCCAACTGATCAGTGTGTTTAAAATAAACCCATTATAAATACCATGATTAAAATTTGATACGCCAGACGCATGTTTCAATGACGCTCGAATCAAACAGGTTTAAACGATACTTTGTATCTCCTACCAAAAGAAAAAGATGAAGACACAAACACAAAACACTTGACAAAAAACTAAGGATTAAGATAAACTCACATATCAATGACGATACATTATCTCTCTTGAAAAATTAATGCGGTTATCACCATTTAATAAAGAAACTATAAGAACACATAAACACAAAACACTACACAGTAAACTAAAGATTAAAAAACAGAAACCCCACAAATAAATTCTGGACCACTTATGACATCTGCCATGCTACTCAATGTTTGATATAAAAAAGATTTTTTTTTCATTGCAAAGGATAAACTAATCAAGATAACCAACACAGACAGTGGAAAAGAGTTCGTAAAATTCAATTTGGAAAACTAAAGCAAATTAACACGAACCCCCTAAAAACCTAGGGATAAATTCTGGCTTTCCGGAAGGGAAAACAGTTCAGGCTCCACTTGTTATATAAATATATTTCTCTAATTCTTCGTTAATTTATCCCTTTCTGCACCCATTGTATAAAAAAAAATTAATCAACGAGTGGTTCGTTTGATCTCAGTTCTTCATTGGTTTAAATCCGATTATGACGTCGAATTTTCTTGATTTCCTCTGAATTTCCTATTGTGACGGCATGAAAAAAGGCGATCATGCCTGATGACGTCACATAGAAAGAACACATCTTTTTGCAGATCATTCGAAAAGAAGGAATAAATTTGCCTGCGTATTGTTTGAAAATCATTAGCGAAACAGATTCCACCACCAAATCTCGTGTAATACGATATTTATCCACTCTCGGCAGTTAAATTTTAAATATTTAAAACGCTCGGCGAGCCTCGCGTTTTAAATTTGAAAATTTAACTGTCTCGAGTGGATAAATATCGTATCACACTCGATGCAGTGGTAGAATCTATATTTAGTTCGTGATGAACATGTAATGTTATTTCTTAAAAATTTAATGAGACAGCAACGTCTTAAACTTATAAACCTACGATATTTTACAACTAGCACCTTCATAAATCTGTCTAACTTGTGTTTTTTTTTCTTCAGAACTCCAAAGGACAAACTGCAATGGAAATGAACTTAGAAAAACGTGATACAGACAACGTTATAATGAGCTTCGACCCAAATCGTCATACATTTGACAGACAGATCTCTTGTGAGTTACATTAAAAGTTAAACACGAGACAAGAATCATGTCATCCTCGCTTTTGACCTATATATCTTTATGTCCTCTGAGGCAACAAAAACATGACAGTACTAAGCACTGGAGAATTTCTAAGGCTCCTGTATCTTTCTACTGTGTTGTTAATTGAATTTTTATAAAAAGTGAAGTTCTATAATTTTCAAGAGATCTGTTGTAGGACAAAGATTCCGAACATTGCCCTAGGAATCAACAGTTTTAATCAATACATATATCTTTGGTTTTAGATATACTGAAAATTACAATAAAGGTACATTTTAAGTGCAAGGCTGTTGTAGTTTGTGTTTGATCTATCAGTTTGATGTCTTTTTACATATTTTCAAAGTCATGACAATCTTGTAAGCTTTCTATTATAAATGTTCATTAAACTTAATTTAGAAAAGGATTTTTGAATGTATTCCCATTTCGTTTAGTTTCTGGCATGACCAGTTACCGTCTGAAATTTATCGGTTTTCTTGAATTCTCTTAGGAAATGCACTTTTTACATGAAATGGGTTTCCCAATAAGTTCATTTTAGAACCATGATCGGGTTTTTATTCCTCTTATTTAACAATGAGAATATGATCATTAGTGTGTCGATTTTGACACGATATTTCATAGACACGAGAACCAAAAATGAAGCCACGTCCTCTCTAACATAACTTTATTTGACGCGATCAAAGAAAAGAAAATTAAACTCGTCAATCTGTTGACAACATCGATTCAACCAAAACTGTTATTTTACAAAAAAAAACATAATTGTCATAAGTTAACAGTGGCCCAAACGGTAACGGGTCTTGCTCCAGTTTGTTTCCTTTCGTTTAATATACATTGCTTACCAAGCGTAAAATACATTTCAATAATAAGAATAATGTTGCATAAAATATGAATATTTTCTAGAATTGATATAACATAAATAAAAATAATCAGTTTTGGAAAGAAAAACGATCATATATATACAGTTGAGAAAAATATGGCCTTGAATTTAAACATCAAAATGAAACAAGTAACAAGCAATCGTATTTCTTTTATAGGTATATGTAATAAACATGAAGGCAGAGACAAATATATTAGTAACCGTATTTTATTCAAACCTCAAATGCACACAAATACACTCACCTTAGAAATTACCTGTAATCAATATGTTGGAACGAACAAGAAAAAAAAATAACACATGTGCAAAATACTGATTTTTTTCAGTCATTTTGAAATCAATTTTGTTATTATGATTTTTCATTATTCTTCAGTGGCCCATGCAGATTACAAAGGTCCGCCCAAGGGATACAAACCGATGGAAGCAATGAAAAAGCCACGAGTAGTTTTTGACTACTTAACACCTAATGATGCTTTACCTTATCCTGGACTTGTGAACAGAACGTCAGAAGCTAAGGTACATAAAATTCTCAAATGGCTTATAATAAAGAGTATAAGAAATAATTCTTAAAAGAGCAATAACTCTTAAAATTACTTTAAGGCGCGTGAAATTTACGAAAAAGAAAGTCACAGCCTATTTTAGAAAATATAAAAAATCAAATATTAAATCAATTAACTAGCTATCCATCATCAAGTTATTTCACAGAAATTATCAAACACCCTCAAAGCCATGGTAAAAGTGTGTGTACGAAATGGAAGAGCAATGCAACCCGTTTCAGCATGCAGTCATGCTTTTGCTTATTAAAATTGGTTTACTGCTGACTAAAACCCTTTATATAACGTGTGCCACATGTGTAGCAGGATCTGCTTACCCTTCCTGCGATCACCCCCGGTTTTAGGTTGGGTTTGTGTTGCTCAGTCTTCAATTTTCTATGTTGTTTTTCGTGTACTGTTGTTTGTCTTTTGGTCTTTTCTGTTTTTGCCATGGCGTTGTCAGTTTATTTTCAACTCATGAGTTTGAATGTCCCATTGATATCTTTCGCCTCTCTTATACTTGAAGGAGTCAAAAATAAACAATCATGCTTTTGTTTATTAAACTTGGTTCACTGCTGACAAATATCCTTTATAAAATCATGGTTGATATGGAGTGTGATAAAACTTTACATAACCATTGCTATGATATACAAATGATATCAAATCAAATACAAAATACAAATCTTAACCTGTATTGACACAAAAATACCTAAAGTCCATGTATGAGATGTGTTTTGTCTAATTATTATGACTTTTTACTCTTCTCGTAAACCCAGCAATCTTCCGAGTATCACAGTAGTAACTGTTGACCTACGTTCACTTATAACTTATAATATCCTTAATGTAGTCATAGGTTTTTTAATCAATTTTGAGTGACCGATTTTAAGGTGGAAAAGTTTTTCCATATATATGAGAGCTGTATCATGAAAATCCGTAGAATGGAAAATTTAATGGAATCAATAGAACTCGGTTAATTTCCGGTATGATACACTTCAAGACTGGGTATTTATCTGTTCTATGTCTAAGATATGACAGTTTGACGTGTACTTTAGTTACATCTTATTTTCGGTTAAACAATAGTCAATACATTTTTAGTTTGAGTCCTTTATAATTGTTCATAAGACTTAATTGATATATATATCTAAATATCTTTATACTTTGATATATATGTTTTCTAATTTTCTCACTAGTATCAATTTATAAAACAAAAACCACTGACACTTAGACGAGAAACACTCAAAATAACATATTCTAACTTTAGTATAAAGTTTTAATCATAATTATACGTGTGAAGCAGTGAAACCGATTGGACAGTTGATATGTATGTATATCTTCCAAATATCGTTTCGATTCCTAACATCACTGAAGAGACATTAATTGTCGAAATCCGGATATGGTGTACTAATTTTTGCACCTTTGGTTGCGGTATACCATCTTTTCCGCAAGTTTATTGTTTTCTGTTTGGTATTAAATTAATAGTTAAGATCCATTTTGTTACATCTGGTGATACGTTTATTCAGCAATCGCCAATGGCAGTCAGCAGGGTTTAAGAACATCCGTTGTTCGACCTGCTAGTCAAATGCGTTTTGTTAAAATATACTTTTTCACTTTTTTGGTCTTTTGGAAAATGTTATTTGTGCTGTATTTAGACCCCTCTACCAAGAATTTTTTTTTTTTGCATGCACACGTATAAAAATTGCGGTTTTTATCCAACGCAATCATAGGTTTGAACGTTGTTTTCAATTTAGACTTGTTTATATTTTTTCGTTTGGGCTTGTATTATATTTGCCTTCGGGTTTATATGATCCGTTCATCCTATTTCGACTCTTCAAAATTTAAGAGTCTATCCTAAATTGAGGTAAATTATATGGCCTTCCAAATATCGTTTCGATTCCTAAAATCACTGAAGAGACATTAATTGTCGAAATCCGGATATGGTGTACTAATTTTTGCACCTTTGGTTGAGGTATACCATCTTTTCCGCAAGTTTACTGTTTTCTGTTTGGTATTAAATTAATAGTTAAGATCCATTTTGTTACATCTGGTGATCCGTTTATTTGGCAATCGCCAATGGCAGTCAGCAGTGTTTAAGAACATCTGTTGTTCGACCTGCTAGTCAAATGCGTTTTGTTAAAATATACTTTTTCACTTTTTTGGTCTTTTGGAAAATGTTGTTTGTTCTGTATTTAGACCCCTCTACCAAGAATTTTTTTTTTGCATGCACACGTATAAAAATTGCGGTTTTTATCCAACGCAATCATAGGTTTGAACGTTGTTTTCAATTTAGACTTGTTTATATGTATATATATATACATATATTAAGGAGTCTAAAAAACAACCGACCAGAAAGCATAATTTGTATTTCATCGCCTAGAATAAACTGAAAAACAAAAGTCTTCAGATATTTGCAACGATACCGATAAGAAATAAATAAGATATGATTTCATCTTTTGCGGGTTCTCCTATCTGATTCAATTAACCAATTTATTTATATTTGTGTAGTTCACATTCATACCACTAGTCAACAGTCTGCTAGTCCAGACTAATTACACCATCACATTATTTAGTTAGTCACATTAGATATTATCAACCCAATGGCCTGTATATAACACATGTAATACTGACATAAAAGTGTTGTAAGTCTTCCAAATTCGTTATATCCAAGTTGCCAGTCAGCATTTACGTCAAATTACTTCATAATGATGACGAGTCAAAATTATGAAGATTTTCTTCAAAACTCATACTGCTCTTACAAAGAAAGCTATATTTGGCTTTACCTTTTTTAAGATTTTCGTGACCTTACGACAGGTGGTATATCCAATTTGCTTAATCCATGATACACATATTCTTCAACTCACCAACGAAACCATCAACAGTCCTATTTGCCCAACGTGTGATGGAACAGTATAATATGATAATATGGGTAACTCATACAAAGCAGTAGGTGTTTTAAGTTTTGTGGGAATTTGTGTGGGTCTTCTATTCCATTTTTGGATAAATAGCCAAATGGTTACTGTGCCTTATTGCACTGTTTAGAAATTCATTCTACAATCATATTTAAATTAGAATTAAGTCTGTTATGTGATGAAAATTTATATGAATAAACATATAAAGGTTTTTTTCTGAACCCCATTATTCCAAACGTTACAATTCAAAGTAGTATAGTATTACTATAAACTGTTAAGATCGCCATTTTTTCTCATTTCAGACAAACTTTAGTGGTAGTCTGATGGCTGGGCAACATGCTGTTGGTAGACGCAGGCAACAGGAAAATGTATGCAAACAAAGATTGAATGAAGGAAAAGAAACTCACTTCACTATTGGCTACCAGCCATTTGACTTCGCCTCCGAATCACAACTTCAATATCAAGGAGACCAGAAAAATGATAGTCACATTCCACCCGCTGGAAAGACTGAGAAAAAACAAGAAGGAAAACCTTTCTTGCATTTCTTTGTCAGCCAAAACACTCAAGATTTGAAAGCAAATGATCCATATACAGTAAATACTAATGAAAGTTTAAGAGCACGCGATAACCACTGTCGTCTGCCAGTGGAACATGCTATGAGGAACTCTGTAATGAAGTCAGATTTTACACCCCTTGAAGCAAGAACGTAAGTAACTGGTGATGCCATTAAAATAGAAAGATTTGCACATCTGTCTAGATTTAAGTGTGTAGGTAATAAATCATTGTTCTAAATCATGTCAATAATTATCTGGAAGTAATAAGATTTGTAATAACATTCTTTTATACTTATCTTGTCCGTAAACTTTATTATGGATATGTAAAGGACTGAGAAAATAAATATATATATAGACTTGACGGTCACAAGAAAATATTATGTTGATGTAATGCCTTTTTAGCTCACCTGGCCCGAAAGGCCAAGTGAGCTATTCTCATCACTTGGCGTCCGTCGTCCGTCGTCGTCGTCGTCTGTCGTCGTCCGTCGTCGTCGTTAACTTTATACGTTTTGAACTTCTCCTAGGGAACCACTGAATAGAATGGAACTTAACATGGCAAGAATGTTCCTTATGAGGTGCTGACCAAGTTTTGTGACTTTGAAGCCGATCCATCATCCAAGATGGCCGCCAGCGGGGGACTTAGTTTAAAATAGGACCCTATGGGAAATACAAACAAATGTCTTCTTTTAGAGAACCACTAAATGGAACGAAACCAAACATGGCATAAATGTTCCATATGAGGTGCTGACCAACTGTTGTTACTTTGAAGCCGATCTATCATCCAAAATGGCCGCCAGCGGGGGACTTAGTTTAACATAGGACTCTATGGGAAATACATACAAATGTCTTCTTTTAGAGAACCACTAAATGAAATTAAACCAAACATGGCATGAATGCTCCTTATGAGGCGCTAACCAAGTGTTGTTACTTCGAATCCGATCCATCATCCAAGATGGCAGCCAGCGGGGAATTAGTTAACATAGGACCCTGAGGGAAATACATACAAATGTCTTCTTTTAGAGAACCACTGATTGGAATGGAACCAAACATGGCAAGACTGTTCCTTATGAGGTGCTGACTAAATGGAATGAAACCAAACATGGCATGAATGTTCCTTATGAGGTGCTGACCAAGTGTTGTTACTTTGAAGCTGATCCATCATCCAAGATGGTCGCCAGCGGGGAACTTAGTTTAACATAGGACCCTATAGGAAATACATACATATGTCTTCTTTTAGAGAACCACTGAATGGAATGAATCCAAACATGGCAAGAATGTTTCTTATGAGGTGTTGACCAAGTTTTATTACTTTGAAGTCGATCCATCATCCAAGATGGCCGCCAGCAGGGGACTTATTTAACATAGGACCCTAAGGGAAATACATACAAATGTCTTCTTTTAGAGAACCACTAATTGGAATGGAACCAAACATGGCATGAATGGTCCTTATGAGGTGCTTACCAAATGTTGTTACTTTGAAGCCGATCCATCATCCAAGATGGCCGTCAGCAGGGGATTTCGTTTAAAATAGGACCCTATTGACAATACATTCAAATGTCTTCTTGTAGAGAACCACTGAATGGAATGAAACCAAACATGGCATAAATGTTCCTTATGAGGTGCTGATGAAGTGTTGCTACTTTTTTTGCCGATTTACTGTTCAAAATGGCGACCAGTATTTTTTTTTTATTAAATTACGCAGCCAATATTAAACCAAATTCTGCCTCAATCATTATTTGGGTATCTGTTTTGATTTTTATCTATTTTTACATGATTTCCAAAACCAAAGTAGAGTCAGGAGAGCGACACAGGCTCTTGAGAGCCTCTAGTTCAATCTTAACTTTATTATTTTGCTAATGTCAGAACAGGTAAATCTTGCCAACACAATCAAATGTAACAAATTATACAGTAGTAAATTCAATGTTGCAACTAGCTGAAATATGCTCAAACATGTAAGGTTGCAATCCAAGCATTCAGATGCTTCTGTTTACTGAGGTAATCAAGGGGGGGCATAAAACAGTCACCTGCGCCTTGCATGCACATTACTAGTATATATTTATATATTGAACTTTACTCGCTAAAATTCTTTAAATCGTTGAAAGGCATAATTTTAAGGGGTGGAATGTCGTGTATATTCTCTTTGTTTGTGCTAAAATCACACATCAAAATACCAATGACAAAGTGTCTATAAAACTTAGAAGAAAATGCAAAACTCTCAGCAAAAAGGAGAGTTTGGGAATGAGAAATCATAGTTTGATTGAAAGGAAGGGCCAGGGGAACATTCCTAATGACCTCGTGGAACGCACATTTGTTATTTTTCTTAATTTTTACACTTTGAATGTTCAATCTGTCTACTATAAGCATCAAGGTTTGAAAAGATTATCTGCTAATTGAAAATTTAGCATTTTAGCAAAGACACTTCTGAAGTACAATGTCAATGTGTTAAACATTATGATATTCTGAACCACATTCAAATAACAATCGCTATATTGATATTCTTTAATTTTCTTTTCAGTGTTTCAAATATAGAACTACGGACTATGATAGACTGCGATAAAAAATTTGAGAAACCAATATCTTCAAGTCATTTGTTCCACACAGACAATTCTGGACGTACGTACCTTTTAATGCATATGTTCATCTACTTAGGGATTTGTGCATTTCGATGTATGGCATTTTTGCAAAATTTAGCATGGTTTCACAATCTCAATGATTTCATATTCTTTAAAATTCTATATACATTTATATAATGTCGTTGTTTGAAGCCATCCGAAGACCATCAACACTTTCAGAAACTAATCATAACGGTGTTATATGGAAATTAAAATCATATCTTTTATTTGTATTGGGCGTGTTTCAATGTTAATTTCGTTAACTTCTAACAAAATCTAATTTAAAAATATTATCTAATTTTAAACCCAAAGAGATACATACCAGTGTTAAAAAGTACATAGTAAACTGTTAAAAGGTAAATATATATGAAAACAAAGCGTATGCAACTGATTTGTATATTGTGTACTTTTAACTTTAGGAAATAATTTTGCGACTACTGCCATGGCTGACTTCATTAAACCAGAATCCATGACAGGTAAGATTTTATTGTCATTATGAACGTACAGAGATATTCATTTATTGTCATTTTGTTCTTTCTTAAATAAGATCAAATAATATAGCAAAAAAAAAAAAAACTTTCAGAGGCCTCGTTGAGCTAACCCATAAAACCATGCATACACTCTCCGTTATTTAAATTAGCCAATCCCAGTTCATTAAGCTCGTTGGCTTTAGCAAAGTAAGAAATTATTTTCTTGAGACAGATTGTCTGATGGATATTTTTTGCTTGAAACATATTCCGTGAACAAATGAAGAAAAAGTCCAAACGATAAAAAGAATAATCGAAAAAATCACTATAGCATGTGGAAAATGTGATAAATATAATAAATACACACGAGAAGGTATGCTAAGAGATATCGGTCGATACTTATATTTAAGCATTACACAAGGTCATGATTTTCTCAAAACTGTTTATAACGTCTTTACACTCAATCCGTTGTATGTTAATTGATTGATATTTAAGTCCGGGATTATAATTTGAAATTGGCTTTGAACTAGCTTTCAGTAGCTGCAAGTCCTTTTAGATTGATAATTTTGTTAAGTTTTTTGTAGTGCTTCGTGCCGATATGACGAGTCAAGCCCTTTCCAACTGATTTTTTGTTATGCTGTTACACCGTTGTCCAAATTCTTACGAAGGCTGAGTGCCCGCAAACATGTTTAACCCGCAATATAATTTATTTGCTAGCCCAAGTCAGCAGTCTGTGATTCAGTGGTTGTCATTGGTTGCGGTCTGTCATATTTGTTTTTCGTTTATTGTGTTTAGCATAAATCAGTCCGTTAGTTTTTCTCTTTATTATTTTCACATTTTGACATTCCAGGGACGATTTTATAGCTTACTATACAGTATGAGGTTTTCTCATTGTTTAAGACCGTCACAGACCTATAGTTGTTTTCATCCATTTACATCCACATATTGAGGTACACGGTGGATTGTTGATATCATCTGGACATTTTAGTGCAGAAATGTTACTTGTGTTGCTTCTATGATGCCATTAGGCTATCGAAATTGATATGTTTTACCTGACTTGCCATTTTACACACTCTTTTGGACAAAATAAAACACGCCACGATTTTAGACTAAAGATATTTCACTTACATTGACATCCTATATATATATTTTGTAAGTACTTTCTCAAAACTGAATATTCATGACAAGATCTCAAAGTGTGTTTATTGTGACAGATATCTTTGCAGTTTTACATTCAATGCAACAAGTTTTAAGCCGAAATAAAATATGCAAGACGAAATTCAAATATATATAAATGCTTATATCTGATAGACTTATGTCTTATGAACATATGACAGATGTTATTTGATAGATTTATAAAACTTTTTGATTTTCGAATTTAAGGAGCTAACACAGTAGTCTTATCACACCATATTTTTTTTATTTGCAAAACAGGAACTGCGTGTTCAAGTCCAAGAAAGACATTTCAAATTAGTTTTGAGACATTGACCAATACTTTCATTGTTATTGATGTTCAGATGTGATTTAAATTGCCAATTATTTGTAATAAAGTTAATGATGAATATTTAGAATCTAGAAGAATTGCAGGTAAGGTATCGAGAACATAGTAGAACTAGAAATAAATAAGAAACAAAGTTAAACTGTAGTTAGATTACATAGAATTATATGGTGCTGGAAATTGTATATACTTTAATTCACTTGGTGGCTATGTGTATTACTTAGAGGGGAAGGTTATCCAATTATACAATGCATAAGTATAAAGGAGACATGCTGTATACGACAATGACACAGCAATCCAACGGCAAATTAACTAAAAGACATCTTTAAGACAACAAACAACCTTCTACAATATACAGGTGACAATATGTCAAGCAAAAAAACATCACGAGACTATTTCCCGAGTTCTGCCATTAACATCAAATTGACTAAATTACGAAAATCATTAAGGTGTGTTATACGATAACTAATGACGAGGTTCCTGAATTGCGACATGCACATTGGAATGTGGCGGTGTTAAACTAGTTTCAACCATCTCCTTTTGAATCTGGTTCAGAAGATAAACAAAACATATATAAAAGAACATAAAATAAACCTATCCGTTCCATTACGCTTTTACGTGTTAAGTTCAATATTTCCTCAAGCAAACGGGAAATGGAAAATGTGTCCGTTTACCTGATTTATAAGTAATTCATAAAAGAATTAACAAAGTATTTTTTATAAATCTTATACATCCTTGACTTTCAAATATTCGGCTTTGAGCGTTCCTGATAAAGGTAAATCTAGAAAAGCTATTCGGACGCATGCAATTTATAACGTGTTGTTTTCTTTACTTATAATACATTGACCCTTTGTATAACATAGCCCGTATGTCTTATCGTGCCGTAAAATCACTAACATTAATCAGTTTTGACAATCTTTAGTAAATTGGCTGTATGCATTTCCTATAAAAAAAAATACACACTGAAAGGTGTAGCAAATTTTGGTTTTATTTGAATGTATTGCACTTATGCTGGATTGAGGGTATCATTCGCTAAATACTGAATGTTAGTTTTAGAGGCTGTTGTTATGTTCTTTTTAATTAAATAGCACATGATATATTTTGGACAAGGACAGCAAAGCTCAGTCTGTTTAAAATACAGACTCTGTGTCCACGCTATCGGCTTGTAAGCATTTTGTGGAAACATGATCTGTATTTTAATCAGATTGAAAAAATTGTACTTAGATATTAAGAGGGCAACCATTAGTCAAAGAAACACCAGGGCAAAAAAGGAAAAAAGTTCATTTCAAATTTGTTACAAAAGCATTTCATTAAAAAAACTGCTAAAATCAAAATTACAAAATTTACACTGTTTATGTATCTGTATCAATTTACCCGCATTCCCTCTGATTTAAAAAAGACATCAGTCCATAAAATATTACACTGAAGCTTAAGACAAACCCCACCAAAATAACCGACTTTACCATGCACATGTATATGTAAAATTAAGGCGACAGAAATTTACCGATGTTCCAATTTCGTATATTAATTAGGAAGTAACTATTGAAACTGTCAGAAACTCCTCGTTTGCTTTCAAGGAAATGTACATTTTATTTACATTAAAAAAACTTTTCGAACACATTAATTAACTTAATTCACTATTTTCGCTAAACATGGATTACTCTGTTCATGTTTACTTTTTTAAAAACTCAGCCAAACAATGTTAAATCAGCATTTTTTTGTTGCAATATGTATTGTTCCCTCAACAGGATTCAAAGTCAAGCTTTTGATACACCAACGACAAAGTTCTGCTGCATTCTGTTCATCATCCTATACCATTGGAATAGTTCTAAAGGCTATACATATGTAGCTGTCTTTCGTCGGTTGATGCCTTATCTATGGTTTATTGCACTGCAACATTCCAGACCTATACTTTTAAAATTCATCAAATGCCGTTAATCAGTAAAGCTCAATACGTTTACCTTATATCACATCGGTAAACTACTGTCGCCTTAATTTATATACTTCATTATTTTGTATTTCCAGGTCAAAAGTTCCTGGCAGCTCGTTAAATTGTACAGTAGCCAATTTGAGAAACATTTATTGATAGTGTGGACAGTATAAAAGGTGCTAGACTACTAGAAAATAAAAACATGTCTACTAGCTAAGACATTTTACAGTGATTGTTTGTGTTATATGAAAAACTTGATTCTGTTACAGTTTAAAGCAATAAATTGTGTAAATTTCATTTTATATTGCCTTTGTTACTGATCTTAAACTAAGGGAAGCAACTATAGGGCTGGAAAAGTTATTTTCGGCCAATTTTGGCTCTGATGCTCCACAACATTTTATGGGTTTGGTTTTCAAACGGTCTGTCTAATCATACCTGATGCAGGCTTCCAGATAGTAATGTTGCTCTATTAAAATTGTTTGTGTTATATGAAAAACTTGATTCTGTTACAGTTTAAAGCAATAAATTGTGTTAATTTCATTGTACATTGCCTTTGTAACTGAACTTAAACTAAGAGAAGCAACTAGGGCTGGCAAAGTTATTTTCGGCCAATTTTGGCTCTGATGCTCCACAACATTTTATGGATTTGGTTTTCAAATGGTCTGTCTAATCATACCTGATGCAGGCTTCCAGATAGTAATGTTGCTTTATTAAAATTTTTATTCTCTTGAGGGTTGTTAACTTTCGTAGACATTAAATGAAAATAACGTCTTTATTTATGATTATTTAAAATGTATGATAAATATGTGTACAGGTAAATTGGTGCAAATGAATTCCTATATTGGCGCAATTGATACCTTTAGATATTTTTTTAGCGCAAGGATACATCTCAAAATTAACAATTGGCGCAAAAGGACTGCTGCCAGTAGTTCAGTGCTTCCCCCTGCAAAAGTCATATGAATGTTAATGAACAATTCAAAGTTAATAATCAACCGTTTATCCACAGGAAACTTCATGAAAGACATCTACGTTAGCATATAAATTAAATTCGGCCTTTGACGCTGTTCTAAAATTCAGGTCATACCGGACAATTACCGAGCACTAGGTTGGCGGAAAATTGTGAAATATGCAACCTCTATATGATCATAATGATACTTGTAATTCCGGTTTCAATTTAGAATTTATAGATTTTTAACTGATCAATTGGTAAAAAGTGATCATTTTTAAAAAAGTGATCAGTTATAGATTTTGAACTGATCATTTTTTTTACCAATTTGGGTTTTTTATTCGTTCTCTTTGTTTTATATATACATGTAGTTTATTTGGGAAAATGCCAGTACTAAGTCAGGAATATGACGGTTGTTTTCCATTCGTTCTGTTGGTTGATATAGTCGAGCATTTGCTTTTTTCAGGTTTCACATTTTTTTAATTTTACCTTGGAGTTCGGTTAATACAGATTTTAAAAGTCGTACAGTTTTATAAATATCCTTGGATAGACAGCATTGCTACTGGAATTTATGTCTGTCCTGTCGCTGACATACTATATAGAAAAAAAATCTTTCTACACCTCTTATAAATCGGTTTCAACTATCAAGGTAGATTAAATTTCAAATTACAAAATTGAAAATGTTATTTATACATTGTTTACAACTTCAATTCAATTCTGACAACAACAAAAAAGTTACATCAGCTATCTATCAAGGTTTGTTTTTGGTATATAAGATATTATAAAAATGATATGTGTTCCATGACCACTTCTACAATATTTTGTATTTCTAGTCTTCAGACAGCAGACAGCAGACAAAATGACATATCTTATTAACCTGATTCTGTTAACGTGTGATATAAAAGGTTTCAGCTACTAGGTCTGCTGTTAGACATGATAAATATCAATTTGACATACTGGCATGCTGAAAAGCTCTGTGCAAACATACTAAAAAGTGCAATTATTCTAAACAAAAGTTGACAACGCCCTCTTTGCCTTGACAAAAACACTTTAAATACTCACACAATAAGTATTTGATTCACATGCCTAATAGTTCATGTTAAATATACAATACACGAAATAAAATTTAAGTGAGTCAACATAAACACGGGATTTGCGGAATCACAGTAGAAACTGCATGCTCCCCAGAACATCACATCAATCCGACTATCTACTTTATTATTTGTGACTAACATTGTCAAAAAATTATGAAATGTTTATTCCAAATGGCCAAAGTACCATGAGCTTCAATCCATAAATTGAAAACATAATTTTACAACTCTAATGAATTGTGGTGACGTTTATTCCAGACAATGTACAAGACAAGAGAAATCAAAGGTATTCTTTCCAAATTAGTAAAACTATCTAACTTAACTTTTATTTTATAAAATGTAATAAAATGATAATTCGAACCACCAGGTTTTTTTACCAACAGACATAGATTTCCTATGCCATTTTGGTACAGTTTTTCGAAATTAACTGTTTTATTGCTACTCAGCTTCGTCTTTTATTTGGCTTTCCAACTCTTATAAATCGAGAGCTAATAATGAATCTACCAGACGAAACGCGAGTCTGGTGTACAAAATTATAAGCCTAGTATCATTAATGAGTTTTTACAACAATTGGGTCCCCGAGGTATAACCGGCCCAGTTGTCAGCACTTTTGCTTTGACATGGAATATCATTGACATGTTCATTGTCTGTACTGTTTATAAAATTTCAAATTAATCAAAAAACTAGATTTGTCTACCCCAAGTCATAGATTGCCTTAGCAGTTATTGCTCAACATTTCGGAACTCTCGGTTTTTAATGCTCTTCAGCTTCGTATTTCATGTTGCTTGGTAGACTAAACCATCGTCTGGCGTATATAATAATAAGCCTGATACATTGGATGAGTTTTTATATTCATGATGAATATCTATATGTTCGGTTAATACAGTTTTTAAAAGTCGTACAGTTATATAAACATCATTGGAAAGATAGCATTTCTGGTGGAAGTTATGTCTGTCCTGTCGCTGACATTACGAGGAAGACATGCTATATAGAAAAAAAACCTTTCTACACCTCTTATAAATCGGTTTTAACTATCAAGGTAGATTATATTTCAATTACAAAATTGAAAATGTTATTTATACATTGTTTACAACTTCAATTCAATTCTGACAACAACAAAAAAGTTACATCAGCTATCTATCAAGGTTTGTTTTTGGTATATAAGATATTATAAAAATGATATGTGTTCCATGACCAGTTCTACAATATTTTGTATTTCTAGTCTTCAGACAGAAGACAGCAGACAGCAGACGAAATGACATATCTTATTAACCTGATTCTGTTAACGTGTGATATAAAAGGTTTCAGCTACTAGGTCTGCTGTTAGACATGATAAATATCAATTTGACATACTGGCATGCTGAAAAGCTCAGTGCAAACATACTAAAAAGTGCAATTTTAGACAAAAGTTGACAACGCCCTTTTTGCCTTGACAACAACACTTTAAATACTCACACAATTAGTATTTGATTCACATGCCTAATAGTTCATGTTAAATATACAATACACGAAATAAAATTCCAGTGAGTCAACATAACCACGGGATTTGCGGAATCACAGTAGAAACTGCATGCTCCCCCAGAACTTTACATCAATCCGACTATCTATTTTATTATTTTGTGACGAACATTGTCAAAAAACTATGAAATGTTCATTTCAAATGGTCAAAGTACCATGAGCTTCAATCCATAAATTGAAATCATAATTTTACAACTGTAATGAATCGTGCCGAGGTTTATTCCAGACAATGTACAAGACGAGAGAAGTCGTATTCTTTCCAAATGAGTAAAACTGTCTAACATAACTTTTATAAAATGCTATATAAGATGATTATTCGAAACACAGGCGTAGATTTCCTGTGCTATTTTGGTACAGTTTTTCGGAATTATCTGTTTTATTGCTACTCAACCTCGTCTTTTATTTGGCTTTCCAACTCTTATATTTTAGAGCTAATAATGAATCTATCAGACGAAACGCGCGCCTGGTGTACAAAATTATAAGCCAAGTATTATTGATGAGTTTTTGCAACAACTGGGTCCCCGTTGTATAACCGGCCCAGTTGTCTGCACTTTTGCTTTGACATGGAATATCATTGATATGTTCATTGTCTGTACTGTTTATAAAATTTTAGATTAATCGAAAAATTAGATTTGTCTACCCCAAGTCATAGATTGCCTTAGCAGTAATTGCTCAACATTTCGGAACTCTCGGTTTTTATTGCTCTGCAGCTTCGTATTTCTTGGTAGACTAAACCCTCGTCTGGCGTACCTAATTATAAGCCTGATATCTTGGATGAGTTTTAATATTCATGAAGAATATCTATTGGATGAGTTTTGATATTCATGAAGAATATCTATTTGTTCCTACAGAGAAAGCACCTAACATTGTTGTTTCTCGTGTATAAACCCTATGGTATCAATGCTTGATAAAGAAAGAAGGTATTAACAATTCATTTTGACAACCAAAATATATACAAATAAGGAATTTAGACCAAACATAAAGAATGGTATCATCCGACAAATAATGAGGTTGCGCAGTTATGTTGCATTAGGGATAACAGACAAATATAATACCTTAACTCAAAAGGAGTTCTAAGGGAACATTGCTTTAAATGGCGAAGTCGCGTAGATATGTTGAATGTGGTATATGATTGTGTTGTATACAAACATATTACCCATACTCCGAAAGCTAACCTTTAAGTAAAACAAACAACGTTGATAAAATCGTTTCAATTGTGACATTAATAGAAGGAAAACAAATTATTCAATGGAAAAAGGTTATGATACTGGAATACCTTAAGTGTCTCTAAGGTATTGAAATTGTTATTCCCTTTACAGTGTTTAAAATGTGATAGTAAGTAAACGATTATTAAATATTATCTCTAATTTAAACCAGCGTTTGGCATGCGTTCTTATATTAAGGATATGCATTTTTCAATAAAAAATAACAACAATAAGGCATACATAAATCAAAATGATGAATATCCTGTCGGGGAGCTGGCTTTTAAAATGCTTTACAAAAAAAATCATTCGAAATTAGTGTGAAAATGTTAGCTAGAATTAATATTTGGATTTTACGCTTTATATATTTGTAAAAATCAATTATTGGAACCATACTTATTTTTAGCATATCAAATTTTGAAAGCTTTATATAAATCTTCAGGTTCGTGTACTTCCATATTGAAAGCAAATTCTTCAAATCATTCTGAAGTTTTATTCCAAGTTATTCATAGATCATGCAATGCAATCTATCATTAAAAGTTAAT